AGTGGTTGTTTTTCCAGGTATGACAGATTGCGATGCCTTCAAAGACTTACTGATGGTTCAGATTGATGGCTTAAACTGTAACACTGATGATATGGTTAGATTGAGAAACGTGTGAAGAGCACATAAGACTGACGCTGTAGTTGAAAATTGATGCTTTCTCGTCCCGAGGAAGCCATAAGAACAATAATTTATATGTAAGTGAATGTTTGGTGGCTTGAAAAACGCTAAATGCCCTTGTGCAGTGGCCCTGAAGGGTCAGCAAAATAACTTATGCTACAAGAGGATTTATGCTAGAGCAGGAGTTATGCTGTAACAAAGTAATTACACTAAAAAGGAACTTTTGCTTAAACCAGATTTATTCTAAAATAGAAGTTATAATTAGGCCTGTCACGATAACACATTTTCCTAGACGATAAATTGTCCCAGAACTTATTGCGATACACAATAATATTGTTGTTTTGAGACCATTTCCAAGTAAGATGATAATAATGGAAGAACACTTTCTCAAAGATTGATAAACTTTAAATTTATGATGAACATTTAAACATTGGGACTAGAAGACATTTTAGATGTCCAAAATAAATAAACAAAACAGACACAACAAATAAAATTAACTCTGAAGTATCTATGGACAAAATTGTTGAGACCAAAGATCAGTTTTGGTAGAAAGAGAGAAAAAAACCCAAATGATTGAGTTTATTTTAGTTTATCATGCGATTAATAGATGTATTGTTTATTGTGACCGTGTGTTTTAGTGAAATGGACTTCGCAGTTTCTCATGAATTGGTCTGTTTATGCAGTTGAAGTGACAGTTTGAGTCTTTGCATGCTACCATTGTTTTTTTAAATAGTCCAGGGGAAAGCCCTGGAATTTAAGATCCAACTTTACAAGGTTTCTTGTGTGAGAAGGCCTTTGACCGCAAATGACCAGCAGGCCTCTGCTTACGTTCGTCCTTTTGCAGGATTTTAGGGTTTCCTTCATACCCAGGCTTTGAAGATTTGGACTGACAGATTTGGATGACCACACGTTTTAAAGGATCACAGCATTTACTATTTTAGCCACCTGTTTTTCTCAGAAAAACCGAAATGTTTGTCGCTTGTCTATTTACAAAATCCAAAAGTATTCAAGTGCTCAAATATTGTAATCAATGATAATTTTAAAAAAGGTGTTTGTTCAAAACCTTCACAACGCAGGTTTCAGCTAAACGTGACTGACGGGTGATTTAAAATTGCCAGTACTTACAACGGAGAGTAATTTTAGCCACTGGAGTCCAGTTTATGGTTTTTAAGTGACTCAGCTCATATTTGAGTGTTTTGCCATCGAAATGAGCCAGGCTTTCTGCCTTGCCTACTTGCAAAGTTTGAATAAACAACCAACTTAGCATGCATTTCTTTGGAGATTAGGAGCGAGTAGGAAGACTTGACGAAAACCCAATATGCAGTAACCTATTATTAAAGCTGTGCCTTAAGTAGCGTTATAAAAACAAGTAAATCATTTCTGAAAGTCCTCAGTTGTGCCAGTACATTTCAGTCAGCAACATGTTTTTTTTGTACTTCAAAAATGCATAAGTTGAGCTTCAGGGTTTTACATGCTGGACTGCAATAGTAATGTCTTTGTTCGACTTCATTCTCTTAGTTATAAAATATCCCAGATTTATGGCCACATTTACATGTGGGGAATAGTAAATGCACGAATGTAGTGTGTGTGTTTTAAAGCACATGTTTGTGGATTTAGTTGGACTCTGTTTGTCGTTGTGGCTGGGAAGGCAGATGTTCTGCCCCCCCTGGATTTCCTCTCAGTTTCCGTCTGGGTCTGTTTTTAGGTCTGGCTAATCGAACACACTCTGCCCTCCCAGGAGATCCAGGAGATTCTCGTGTGATAGTAACTTTGGCTCTGGGACTCGACGTATCTGCCAGTTTAGTTTGACTTACTTTGTGCTACAACAAAGACTTTAACAGATGAACTTGTCTGGACTTGTGTTTTTCCGCCTACTTTTTTTTTTTTCAGCTTCTTCTTTAACCTGAACAGACTTAAGTTTTTCAATTTGTCTCTGTTTAGTTGAGACCCAGATTAGATTTGCTTTCAGAGATGAAGTGTAATTACATTTAGCATTGGTAAAAATATTTTTTTATGTCTAGTCAACCGGTTAGTCAGAATAACATTTTTATTCTCTATTTACAGATTTTTTTTTTGTGACAATACTAGCAGAGATTGAAAAGAGTGTCAGAAATTAGATTTAATTTCAATATTTTGCCAGATCTGAGTCCTTCTAATATGATAACAAGGAGCACCAAATGGAAAAAGATTATTTTAAGTTGACTCATTTTTATTTTTACTTAAATTTAAAATACTTTTTTGCTGCATGATTCAACGTCCTGATGGCAGTTCTGCATGGTAATGAAGTTCACTGTTTTGAAAAAGAGAGTTTCATTTAGTCGTCATCTGCAAAGCAATAAAAAGAAAAATCAGAGAAAGGAAAGTGTGGCTACAGAGCAGAACCCTGAGGGACACCACATTGAAACTACTGACGTGATAAAAAATAAAGTAGTAGAATGACATAGAGCAGTTTCAAGAGTTTATCAGTCAATTACTTGGTGGCATCAGCTTGAAAAACGTACTGGAAAGTGTTTCTTTAATTGCTAAGCACACAACGTCACTTCACAGCACTGATTCATGGTTATTATACGACAAATACTTCCTGGAAAGGTTTAGGTGTTCTAATTTTGGTAAATGTGAAATTATAATGTGGAAAAGTAGAGACAGTCACTTCAAATAGTGGAGCAATTACAGTAACTAATTAGCCATTACCATATATTTGTCTGCCATATTCCCGTTTCATCATCAAAACATGCGTTAATACTACAAATGTAACATTTATCATTAATGAGTCTGCTTAGTTTTACCACACAGTTGCTTTATGATACTATAAAGGTGTTATATGTTTGTACTCAGTCCAGATGGAGCAGATCTTCTGGTTTTTGGTCACTTCCTGTCTAAATGAACGCCCCGCTGCGGCAGAGTTGCAGTAAGTTAGCCATACAGACCCAAACAGAGATGTTTGGCTGCTGAATAATTCAAACCAGCTTCATCTCGGTGCCTGAATGTTCCAATAATTTCCTCCATTCCCACCTTTATTTTAGATCCATGTCTGCTTGTCCTTCCATCATTTTATCCCTTGTAGCTGCGCCTCCCTTCGTTCCAGTTCCTCTCTCCAGAAGCCAGGTCTGGTCTTTTTATGCTGTGGACCTGTGCGTCTGTTTGCGTATGTGTGATCATACCACTGTGTACTTACTACCTGTCAACACATGCAGCCTGCCAGAAACTGAAATGTTATATTTTTCAGATACAGTATTTCCACTGTTGAGCTGGAGGTGACTTATTATTCAGGTTCAAATTAAACGGGGTTCCTGTAAACTTTAAATGAAGCTATAAAACAGATTCTCATGGACTTTCTGCTCTCACTCGGTCTTATGTAAGGTGTCTCCTCTGAGTTTAAAAGCCGCAGAAATATGACGGACCGTCACATGCTTTTGTTATCAAATGAAAAGGGCAGACCGAGACGCAAGTTGTCTGCACCAGATGAGGTATTCCTTCATGGTTTTCTCTCTGCGTTTGCATTTGATGTGGGTTACTGGGTGCATTTCACTGCCAGCAGCTGCTGTGTGCTTTACAGTTGGTTAACTTCTCCTGTCTGACCTGCTGCAGCCGAGGAGAAGGGAGGAGAGACCTGGCAGCGGCTCTGCAGTGGAAATTCACACCTAGCCTCAGGCCTCAAGAAAAGCAAACGAGTTGTGAAGAGCATTAGGACTGTGGATTCTCTGTTGCCGCCGACATAATTAAAGCTGCTCACTGAATGCGTCTGAAAGTTGCTGTCATGTAATTTTTATTCCTTCTACAGTCATAAAGGTTGGAATTACTTCGGTCTTTCCGTTCGACTCAAACAGCCTCGATTCCCACGAGACTTTCCATGTTTTTGAATTTCTCAAAGTTGTTCCAGCCTTGTGTGGAGATTTATGGTTTTCTTGTTTTCGAGCACATGCTGCCATATTAAAGCTGCTTGAAACACCCATTCGTCTGAGGACGGTCGGATTTGGACAAGGATGTAGTCAGGATGAGGGATCTGATTTATTAATTGTTGCAAACTATTTTTGGATTTGCCTGAACAAACTTTGGGAGAAACGTGTTTGCTGTGTGTTTGCAAACTAACGTTCTGGGATTAATGGCTCAGTTACAGCGACAGCATTTGTCTGAATTCAGTCAAAGATGGAGGCGTTTTAGTTAAAAAACATTCTGTGTTTGTACAGTTTTGACCTGCACATATTGATTTTATCCCAAACAGGAGTTTAAAAAGATAAAATACTGATTTCTAGTTGTCCTGCTATGAGTGGTGATTAATTGTTTTCATAAGAAGCACAGGCAGTAACATGCTGTGTGAAAGGAGTCGCTGTGTAAATGTTTCACGGTTTTAAGACAAAAGATTACAGCCCTACATGTCAGTAATTGCATAAATTCAAGTTTCTCCCAGTGTTTTAGAGATTATGGATCTTTTCAACTTAAATGTTGTTGTAGATATTTTAAAATTTGACAACATTTTCAAGTCTTACATATTCCTTCACAGACAGGTTCAAATCTCGAAAGAATAAGACAAACCATCGTTGCTGTTTTAATTTCTCCCTTCTTGCTGAAAGTCATGATCTCTTTAACTTTCCTGAAGCCAAAATAAACTTCAAACATGCATAGAAAATACAGTTCCTCTTCGATGGACTTCTTTCATTTCTGTGTCCAGTGACTTCAGTTTAAATACATCAAAGTAGTTAACTTTGAGTCAAATGTATTTATTCTTAATAAGACAGTTTTTCATGTCGTACATCTCCATCATTCTCTCCATTAATGAGTCGCCTCTTTGTGATTTCTCTCATATATGTTTTGTGTTTCATATTAAAGCCATGTGGGATTGGTTTCTCAACAGCAGCGTCTCCCCGGTTCTCTTATCTTCACAGCTTGTCCACCTGGTACCTACAAACCAGAGGGGACGCCTGGAGGACTGACCACCTGCCTGTCATGCCCTGACGCTCAGCACACGTCCCAGCCTGGCAGCACCGCCCTCCATGACTGCGTCTGCAAGCCGGGCTATCAGCCAATAGGCACGACCTGTCAGGGTGAGACAAAGCTGCTCTCTGGGAGCAAACCTTTTTGACATACATCTGAATTATTTTGACGCTGTCCAGCGGCACTTTATGTGTGACTACTGTAAATATTTAGACTCTGGCATGATTTTTCCAGGAAAAAGCTGAGCGCAAATACTTTTTTTGTTTTTCTTTTCTGGCTTCCAGTCAGCAGTATTTAAACTCAGTAGATCTGAAATGTTTCACTCATGGTAAACACAAAGATAAAACCATATTGTCTATTTTTGGTCATGGTGTCTTAGTTGGATGTGTTGCCAAAAAGAAGCTTCTCTGTAAACACAATGTAAAAATACAAAAAAATGAAGTTCACACTAAACTGAAAGCACATTTCAGCATTAAATGACAAACAAAAAGTGAGTTTTGTCTGGAGAGGCTTTGAGCGATCAAGAATATCGTGACCCAGGAGCGCCAGGGGTTTCCATATTTTTTTGTGGATGCACCAAATGTCTGTGATGAGAATTTGGCGGCTCGTTATCGTGGTAGCAGAATATTTGATGTGCTTTCCAGTTGAACTCGGAATTGGGAAATTCCCACATCCCAGTTGGAAAAATCAACTGGTACGCCCTCCGAAGTCAGACGTCCCACTGGAAACTTGGGGCTATTTCGACTACCCACAGTTTCGACTTGTAAGAACAAGTTTTAGTTTTATTACGGCCTTTTCTTGCATCAACAGTGATATTTTAAAAGTGCGTCTAAAATCAACGTTGCTTGTAGTGCATGCAATTCAAATTGATAGTGGTGTTTGCTTGTGGAAATTAAAGCTTAAGTTGATGTTTGGTAAGAGCTGTTCCAAAATGTCTGTCGACGTCGCCATGTTGAAATTCTGACTTCTCAACTGTTAACTTGGAAAGAATCTCTTCCCACAGCCGAGAGGAACAATCCATGCAAAAAGAAGAAAAAACAAACAGGCTACTTGCAAATAGAAATATGTATGTTTTGTTTGGGAAGAATTGCACACATCCCTAAATTGTGCATGTAAGCTGGAAGCCGAGACACACAGAGAAATTCCAATATTGCTAGACTGCTGTGTGAATACAAATGCTACCAAAGAAAAGCCCTAGAATCATATTCAGCAAGTCTTTGTCAGTCATAATGTCATTTTATAATTGTTGCATTGGGACTCATCATAAAAATACAACATTAGGACTCTGAGCGTCAGAGTACGTTCATATTAATCAGTTAAAAAACAAACATACAGATTGTGGATCTTGTTGGCAGCATAAACCAAGAAGTTATCTATATGCTGACTGTTTTCTCAAAATACCACAAGGCTGAAACTGATGATGGAGGTACAGAAACCTCTCATGGAGATTCATTTGGAAAGTTCCGTAGATCGAGAGGAAACGGATCTGATATTTGCGGTGGCAGCATTGTGACTGTGAGACAGGACAGCAGAAAAAGATCCAGGGATCGGCTTGGAAGGTTTTTCTAAATTATCTGCGGTCATCAAACATTCTTGGAGTTCCTGGAGTTTGTACGGTGCTTTTCCTCTGGTGTGAAGAGAACTGAAGCATAATTCACTTAAGCTGGGACCCTTTGGTTTTTTTGGTGCAAACGAGCAGCGACTAACTGTCCGTATTCAGGGGGAAAGAAAACACAGAATAACACGAAAAATGGCCTTTTGTACATGAATCCTTTGCTCTTGATTTTGCTTTATTCTCAGTAAAACCAGACAAATGCTTGTTCTATTCAGTTGGTCATTATATCACCTTATTTGGACCTGCAATAAAGCAGTGCAGACGAGTTATTATAAGCCACAATCCTCTGTTGATGGGAACAAATGCATATAGATAGTAACTTCAATAGAAACGCTTAACACTTTTCCACAGAAGCATAAGATTAGAGCGAGCCATATCTCTGAATTTGCATCCAGCCGTGAACTTCCCTGTCGTTTGAAGAACAAGCCAGAGACTTTCCACTTGATTTTTGAAAGCAAAGGTCTATTTATCACCAGCTTCAGACACTACATTATGGTTTCTCTTCCTCCCTCAGCGTAGATAAGACGGTGGATCTCGACAGATAACATTCTGTTAGTCTTTCTCTGGTAATATTTTATGTATTCATAGCCTTTTTCATGCAGTGTTGACTATCTTAGTTTCATCCAGTGCATAGTTTTTCATGGCATAGTGAATTGTCCCTATTATATTGACTTTTTAAATCTTCTTTTCTTTCAGTGATTCACTGCCCAGCACTGACCCCTCCAGAAAACGGCTTTTTTGTCCAGGATGTGTGCAACAACCACTTTGAGGCTGCCTGTGGAGTTCGGTGTCAGCCGGGTTTCGAGCTTCAAGGAACCGGCATCAGACTGTGTCAGGCCGACGGCACCTGGTCAGGGACACCTGCTGGTTGCACAGGTAAGCAACTCATCTCAGGTGTAGCTTTTAAAAAGAAAACTGGGCCAATGGTCACATTTTACACTGACAACCAGTTTTTTCTTTGTGAAAATGGTGGCTCTTCAAGACGTGCCTCGTATAGTTGGAGATAATTCACACCTTTAGTAGCTTTAAATTTAAATAATCATTTGAATTTTTCAAATGAATTTCTTGTGAAGTAGTGCTATATTTTGCAACATCCCAACCTGAATCTGATAGAAAATTTAAGGTCTTCCAACCCAAAACACTTAAGAGTTCATCACTAAAAATAAATGGGCAGAGATCATAAGAAACATCTGATTGCTGCAATACCACTAAAGGCTTTTTCTGTTCCTTTTTTAGAGAGATATAAATAGTTTTCAAATATAAACTCGCTAGATCTACAGGCTTCCAGATAACTGACAACAATTTTAAGGAGCAGCAATAGGAAATCGCTGGTGTCAGCAGTTCCGCCGTCTGACTCGTCACATTTTGAGGGACCTGATTTTACGCAGAGTACTTTTTCTTTTTTATCCCATTTATAAGTCATTAGACTTTGCTTTGTTCTTTAAAGTTGTTTGCCGTTTTATTAAAATGTAAAGAACTTCAATGGCGCCGTTTTACCCAATAAAGTGTTGTGCTTTCCCTTGTAAAGGTTTGATGAGTTTTTTGGTTCTGAAACCTAAAAATCATATCCATTGTTCTTTTAGATCACAACAAAAATACTAAAGAATGTATATTTGCATAACCACATACATATGTATGTATTCTTTATAAATTTATGGACAAAAGTAGCTCTTTGATTTATGAAGGTTGCTGTCCCATTGTATGTACTTTTAGAGTCACTACTTTGCACCAGAGAGTCACTTTGCAGGCTGTTTGAAGCAGCCAGTAAACATCTAATGCCCCAGGTTAGTTAGGCTTCTTCGTCGGTGGCTTCAAACGTTGTAGGTTTGAATCCCCGCCGTGGTTTTCTGAATAGTGTGTTCACATCCCTTCATTGCTTTTCAACAAGTACAAAAACTCTATATTAGACTGACAGTCAACTCTTAAGCTGCGTTCACAGCCTGAAGTGACCCAATTCCATTTTCTCTTTTTTTTTTTTTTTGCCATAATGTGATCTTTATTTGATCTTTTCACAACAGTCTGAACAACAGAGGTCGATGTTCGAATGTCACCCAGGCCAATCGAGTGTCCGATTCAAAGTGACCTGAACATCCGGGTCGTATTCATCCGAATACTCGACAATTGTCACTATTCTGCATCTTGATATGTGCAAGCGGGAAGAAAAACAACACCCAATAGTGGATTATAATGAGGATTAATTTAATATTCTGGCTCCGGGTGGGCAGCAATTTTAAAATTGTAAGCTATGCTCCTCCGTTAGCATCCGTGTTTACTTTCTTCTTCATGGAGGTTGGCAGTAGACTCTCTATGTGTGACGTTATTGCGCCCTCTACTGCAGGACACTTGCAGGTCATTTGCAGTTCACACTGGAGAACACACACTGGTCACAGCCACGGCAAAAAAAAACAGATTAAACAAAATATTGGAATCGAGTCACTTCGGACCGCAGTGTGAACACAACCCGAGAGCAAAAGCTATCAATCTCTCAGCATTTTTAATTTAACCAACTCACTTGCACATTCTTCTGAACTTTATTTTGTTTATAACTACATAGTATTTATGGTTGAATATTTTCATTCTTCAATCTGTTATTAAATATTTGCCGTATTCTGTCTTTGTGAGTCCTGTTGATGTTATTGTCTGTCACTTTGCTGCTATTGCACATATATTTTCCCATCCTCAGACAATAGAGGATATTTCTAATCTGTTTTATTCAACAACTCTACAAGGAATAAACAGGAGTCAAAAGTGGATGAATGAGAAAAACCTACAATGCTCACCATCTTAATATTTTTCTTCCTCTTAGTACTCAGATGGGATTACCTTACAGTCTAAGGCTTATACTCACTCAGCCCAGATACCTTGAAGCATTGCAGCACTTTCCTATGTTTGCAGCTCTGACTTAAATTGTCAAAATAAAGGCTATAAGCTGATTTGTTGGCTGAGTTTCTTTTTTCAAGAGTCTCCAATGATTCATGTGAGAGTTATCCTCAAACAGCATAGTCTCAGCTCCCAACATGTGTTTTTAGAGCGGGTGACAAGTTAACATTTCCTGGGGACTCCACCTCGTTTCGCCCTGCCAGCCGGCACGAGGAAGAAAAGGAGGGAGGATTCAGTCGAACAGAGACGGAGTGACCAACAGGAGGAGCAGATAAAAGTCAAAGTTGAGGCAGGCAGGAGCAGAGTGGGGGAGTTTCAGTAAGCTGAAGGAAAAGAAGGGGGAGCTCCAGAGGTCAAAAGATTAATGAGGAAAATGCTCGTTTTAGCAGAAAGGCAGCAGCACAGTGACTCACAGAAATACCAAGACACTGAATATGTAAGGGTGTGTGGTACAGATTTATAGTATGTGGCTTTGAGTATATATTTTCTAAGTGTGTGTGCATACGTCTGCTTGTATGTGTTCGTCTCGTCTTTGCCGCATACTGTAGGACCTCCCTGCTAGTTGGACCCTGAGGGAGAGGGGTCTCATCCGAACTGCCTGTCTGTCTATGGGTGGCGATGAGAAATAGCACACCGCACACCCTGTTACCAGACCTCAGCATAACTCAGAACAGACACACACTCTGAGTTTTTTTTTTTCTCCCCTCCCCTTTATTTTATAGGGACTTTCGCAGTTTTGGTTAAATGATAGGCCCCAAGTTACAGCCAAAGATGATTCATTCATGTCTTCCACTCCTCTTGTGATTTATGAGTTACAGCATCCGAGTTTATCTGCTACATCTCATATTTAGTGATGGCGAATTATGATCTGTTTGAAGAATAAACTGGAGTTGCCTTGGAGAAGATAACATGTGGGGTTTATCATAAGATTTCATTGAGGAGTTTAAGATTACATTTTGTTTCCAGTGCTTGGGATAACAGGGTATAGGTTTCAAGTATCAAACTAATCCTAGATAAATAAATAATTATGGAACGATAGATCCAGCAACAAATAGAGCAGCTTCACTTTCCCTGGTTTGGATCCTTGTGTTTATTGTCTTATTCTGGTTCTTTCAGTGCGCTCCTGCCCGGTCCTCTCCCGGCCGCAGCACGGCTTCCTGCGGTGCAGCGACGGCGGGGTGTCCTACAGGACGCAGTGTCAGGTTGGCTGTGAGCGAGGCTATAGATTAGAGGGAGACTCCACACTCACCTGTCAGGCTAACTCCCAGTGGAGTGGACCTCTACCTCGGTGTGTGGGTAAGCCTTCACATCACTCTTTGCCATCGTCTCAAATAAATGTTCTTAAAGCTGCAGGATGTAACATTTATTCAAAATATTTTTTCACATATTTGTTGAAACTGCCGCCATGTCATTAGCATGAGACTGACGATCTGTGAAAAAATTGAACTCCTCTGCCTTCTCCCAGTGTGACCCAGAAACAACCAGTCAGAGCCAGTAGGCGGGTCTAAGCGCTGTCAATCACCTCTCTGATGGAAAGAGTCTTTCATGAATGCTCAAGTGAGTTAGCATGACCACTAATGATGGTTTTCCTGTAATGGTAAGTGGCTTGTCCTCCATTAGCACATAGACCAGCAAGTACACAAGATTGATGGACAGCGCTAAGATTCTCCTTCTGGCTCTGATTGGTTGTTTTTGGTTGGGATTGGTACATTTCTTCAAATGGCGATATTAACTCTGGGAGAAGATCATTTGTTTGTAGATTATCTGTCTGAAACTGTCACAGCATGGTGACAGTTTTGACAAATATATTTAAAAAATTTCATTTTTTATAAAAATTACATAATATAGATTTGTTTGGTGACCTTCATCTAAAAAGAAACATCTGAATTTGTAGACCTACAGAGGCAAATTTGTGACATACGAGAGAAACTTCAATGTTTTTAGCGTAGAACAAGTTCTTTCTCAGTTCGTCATGTGTCAGAATAGAAAACATGACCAGCTTTGTTAGCATTATTAAACAAAGTGGAGATCTAACCTCTTAAAGGTCGCATCAAAAACCTCACTGTAAAATCCAAGTGCAGGTCTGAATGAACTCCAAACTTTTCAGGGATAGTTTCCCCCTGAGGGAGGAACTACCTGTGAAGGTTGTCTTGGACGCTTTTCAAATTAGCAAAGTTCAGTAATAACCTGTGCAGAGAAGCACTGAAAGACCACCCACTGGCGTGACGTCGACTGCCCCAAGCAGAAAGGTTATTACCTGGATGGCTACCAGAAGAAAAGTTCCCAAAAAAGCTTTGTTAAAGTTGTAAAATTGGACTGGTTCTTAGTTGTTTAAAATGTTAAAACACCCATCTGATGATTAAAAGGTTAATGAACCCAATGCTACAATTGTCTTCAAAATTAAAGCTTTTTCCAGAAAGCAGGATTAGACAGATCAGTAGATATCAGGATGTAGATAGGAGTTTTCTGTGATGCTTGATGAATATTTAGCTTCTTTTTTTTGGAGACCATTTTATACTCTGTGGAGACCCTTCATCTTTTCAGGTAATGTATATATTTTCTATATCCTGGGCTGGTTGCACTCTGAAGCTGTGCAGAGCTGCTGCCAGCAGGCGTTTAGGCTTTACTGCTGCTGGTCAGTGTCTTCAGTGTCCATGCGCTGACATTGAGCTCTAATGAGGCCCACTTTATTTATTTTTCTCCATTTTTTTGCGTCTCGTTAGATTTTAGTACCAGGTTTGCATGGAAAAGAAAAGCTGTGCTGAGCTAGAAGGAAAATTTGTTTTTTCATGTAGTGACAGCTTTCTACATATTTTAGGCTTCATTTGTAATAAAGCTACTCTAAAACTTTCCCCCTATTTTTGTCATAATTTTGTGGATTCCAGATTCTAAATTGACAAGTTGATATTTTTCTTAAAATCCTAAAATCATTGGGCAGCATATTATATATGCATATATTTGTAATTTCTCTCAACCTCAGGACTGTAACTGTTTGTTTTCTCAAGCTATGAATGAAGCCCAGGAACGTTGCCAAATATTTTAACCCATCCTTAGAGTCTTTTGTGATGGCACATTTCTATTTACTTTGAAGTCTGATATTTATAGGGTATTTATTTTGTTAGCTGCTCTTATTTTTTGTGGGACGGCAAGAACACCTGAGCAAACGTATTTAGAGCTAAAGCATCGTAAAAACAAATTTTTAACACTGTACTCTTCTTTAGGCTTTCTGCCTGGAGTTTAATCAGCTTAGGTCCCTTTGTTGAATTTGCACTGTTGAATATTTGCAGTGCCGAGTTCCCAGGACTCATAACAGACGTGAAGCAGCACATCGTTCTTGTAACCTGACAAGTAACTATAAGCTCAAGAGATTTGTTTTGCTTCAGCTCATTGAAACATGTCTGCCTCACTAAACCCAGAGAGAATTTATCAAAAGCAGGAGCCTGAAATAACACATGATCTGTGTGTTTCTGCCGTAATCATGTGGTTTTACACACGTATGTAAACACACGTGCACGGTGGCTAAACACATGGTGTATATTTGGACCTATATTTGGTGAAAGATACATCTGCTTTCTCCCAGCAAAATTGTGTGCATTTAAAATTGCTCGCACACTTTGAAACTGATAGTTAAGTTAAAATAGTTGCACACACTCGTGCCCACCACAAAGAGCTCTCAGGTCAGGCACACAAGCACACAAAAAAGGGACAGTGTGAGAGTGTTTAGCCGCAAACCTCCAGCCTCACTGCTCCGGCTCGCGCTGACGCACTGCAACCAGCCTGCCAGCTTGGTGAGCTATTTAAAAAAAAACCCGAGCCAACTGCGTCTGCTTATCAATATATCCTATCTCTGCTGCTGAGAGGGAGCTTGTTTATTTGATCATCTGGCCCAACAAACTGTCAACACTTTTTTAACACAGACGAGAAGCCTCTGTGGGCCCTCGATGCAGCTGGCTGGATTGTTTTACTGTTTGTTTGTCCTGTGGTGAAAGAGAGACTACTCATCTGGCAGTGGAGGAAACAGAGATATTTTAGTCTGTTTAAAATCTGACTTTATGAATAACCCTAAGAGAGTTTTCTCTTTTAAGCCTTCGGCTATAGCGAAGGAAATGCAAGTACAGATAGGAAGCGTAACCTATTATCATTGGAAAACCACCGAGATCTGAGACCGGTTCACGAAGAGAATCAGGTCCAGAATAGACCTGAACTTATTCCCTTGATTGTCGAGTTGGGTTCAGGCTTCTGTGGTGCGTTCAATAAGCAATACATCCAGCACAGAGAATTCCCAATATAAAGTTATGTCAATCTACGTATTGTAGTCCAAATAGAGGAGAATATAGTTTAACCTGTTGAGGAAATAAAGAAAGTAAATCCAGAGCAGAAGTTAATCAGACTGTAAGGATCACAGTGTACTACGCCCGGCTCCGCTCCAGCGGTCGTGCTGATAGGATCCTATCAATCACACATCCCAGATGATTTGACCTTAACTCACCCTGTGGCCACAACAATCAACAAAATGGAGCTGGAAGACGTTAAACCTAAAAATGGGACGACCTACACTGCTTACTCTAACGGTGGTCTGAAAACAAAAGCAGCAAAATCTTAATTAAAACAATATGTTGGGCTTGCTCCGGGCTCAGGCCTCTAATTAAAGTTAAATACTTGGGTCGAATCAGGCCTTCAGGCCGGATTCTTTTTTTTTTTTTTAGGCCTGATTTAGTCTCTTGAACAGAAGCAAAACCCAGAAATCCCTCTCCCCAAAAGACTCTGGAGCTCGTTCTCCAAGGTTCCCAATGCAGAAGAGAAATGCACTGGTTCGGCATAACATTATGACCACTGACCGTACCTGTTAATGGGTGGGATATATTTGCCAATTTTGTACTCAAAGTCGATGTATTAGCATCAGGAAAAATGGATAGGCATGGATGGAGAATTTAACAAAGGTTAAACTGAGATTAACTGAGATTAAGAGTTGTCCAAGGGATTTGGGGCGGGAAAGGTTTGTCCGCCGAACTGTGAATGGACATGCTAGGATCAGAACTGGATGAATCGTGTACATGGCTGGGAATAGATGCTTACATTGGCATGTGTACTAACTATATGGGAAGAAAGCAAGCCAGTGGAGCCAGTGTGATTCCTCAAGCAATGTCATGATTAGGCCTTGACTTGACCTTCAATTTCCCAGATCTCACAACCCCACAGAAAAATCCTTGCAGGAAGCAGCAAAACACATTTGAGCTGGACATCCCGACTCTCGTGATCCTCACAGATGAATCCGTTGGTTCACTGAACAAAATCCACACCTCTCATCCCAAATCCAAAAACTCACAATGGGTTGTTAACACCATAGAGTACGTTTACCCAGAAAGGCTGAATAGAGTCTCTGATCCTTTTTTCTGTCATTTTTTACTGTTCTACCTTTTTCTCCTTGCACCTTTTGAAGTAACAAAGAGAGACATACAAGATCTTAAACATCTTTTATGTGCAAAATGTACAATCAAAATTATGAGCTGTGTCGTACATTAAAATAATTTCAGCTTTTCTTATCTTACCTCCCCAGAGGTTCGTTGTCATCCCATCGTGAACCCAAAGAACAACGTCTTGCTGTCGCCTCCTCCCTGCGGGAAAAGAGCCGTGTCTCCAGGCTTCACCTGTCAGCTCACCTGTCGCCCAGGGTACAGTCTGCAGGGAAACCGGAGGGCGACATGCCTGGGCTCTGGGAACTGGACCGCTAATGTCCATAAAGCTACCTGTAAAGGTGAGGAAAACGCCCTTTTCTCTGAAGCTAGGGTCAGATCAGAGGTCATGGCAGGTCAAGCTCTAAACAGACAACAGTAATACTAATGGTGTTCTTGTAGGAGTTTAAGTTTGGGTTTCACTTATTTACTTAGTTATTTATTGATTTACAGGTGAGTAAATGAAATTATGTGTTCAGATGAGGCTAATCTGTCAGATTAAAATAACCTTCAAGCAGCATTAAACATACTTATTATTAGCCCACATTTCTATTAAATATTGTTTTTTTTTATTTTTCCTTCCTGATGTTCAAATCTAATCTAAGCAGAAAATCTAAACAATTTACAGAAATAAAGACTCTAAAACATCAGCTTGTGTAATTAATCTACGAGTTTCACTTTGTGAAATTAATTACTGAAATAAATCAACTTTCTAAAAGTCATCTAACTTATTGAGATATAGTGATGTGGCTGGACACTTTAAAAATCATAGTTTTCTTTTCAAACATATTGAACATGATGCACTGTATCTAAATGCAACCACATCATTTAGGTTTTTATTCTCATTTAAGTGCCATATGAACACAAATAAATCAACATCAGCAATATTATGAAGCAATAAAGGAAATGGTAAAACCCGTTAAACTGCTGATACTCTCAGCAAAAAGCGAAGGCCAAAAACAATTGACAAAATGTTCCAGGAGTTTTAGGATGTTTGAGAGTGGTAAAGCGTTCAGTAGATTGGAGGCAGTTCATCCGTGTCTTGTTTTAGGGCTTAGTTTTAGGCACATCCAGGGAAATATGACTGCAGCTTTGAGTTTGTCTTGGTGAGGTGGTTTCAGTGTATTCATAGATTTAATAGTCAGTAGTAAAACTATGAAATCAATCCTGCCTTTAATAAGACTCCAGCAGAGGAAGTGTAGGAAAAAGCCCTGGATGTTTTTCATCACACAAGTGGAGCCGTTGCATTCAGGGCTCGCTGCAGGGCTTTCACTGGACGTATAGTAATCAAGTTCACAGACTGGGCTCACCTTCTGTAAATCTTTTTTGGCGAGGTGGATCTGGATCCGAGTCTCATCTGGGACTTAACAACTGAGGAAATCTCTGATTATGAAGGCAGAGGAGAAGGTTATTAGCTTTGCATAAAAGCCTAATGGGGAAAATAAACCTCCTTCCTTTTGCTGTCCAAAATGGTTAATGAGAACTTTTGAAAGAAAAATAAAGAGAATAGGCTGACAAAGTAGAAGCTGTAAAACAGGAACAACAGGGGACTTGGAGAGTGTTCCCACTTTCCATTCTTGTTTTCTGCATTTCTCAGTGCTCGTGAATGACGCTACCTCTTTTTAAGCAATCCTGCATGTCTTTAACTCGAACCATACCGTGTCCGAGATGTCATGTTCCTCTTTCCTGCTCCAAACTGGTCTCTGGAGTTTATTATAATGCACTGGAGCACTCCAGATGCCTTGCAGGTGTAACAGGTGGTGCAAAGCAGCTTTTCCTATTCCGCTGAATGTCCTCAATCCACTTCTGCCGCTTGGCTAATGGAGGAGCAGCTGCTATTAAAAGGAAAAGAAGTGTCATAAAGATTAAAACAAATGGAAAGGTAATGGTGACAGGGAAGGGGAAAGCATGGATGAGTCACTCCAAGGGGTTTTGGAAAGGTTTCGCAGGTTTTTTTTTTTTTTTGTTTCTGTTTTATATCCTTTGAGCCTCAAGTGGGCAGCACTACAAAATCAAACATAAAACTAAAACCTTCAAAGCAGACTACAAATTACACCTTTTTATCACGAGGATCCACAGAAAACAAGAATTTCTAGGAAATTTCTGTCCTTTTTATGCATTCTCCATCCTCCCGAAGACATCTAAGAGATGCTTCCCTTGTTGTTAAGATAAATAAAACCGATTGGATCTGAGTTTGTTAGTGTTAGGCAGAGAGAGATGCCAAAGTGAATGGATCATCAGTACCAGATGAGAACAGTTCTCTTACACAGTCCAAGAAGCATGACCACTTTCAGATGGGAGACTGAACTTTTTGAAGCCTAACAGCTTACTGCAGGCTTGAACTGAGCTGAACTGGGCTTGTTTCTGATTACATAGAGTTCAGGAGGCGGACGCATCCTTATGTCTGCTCCACAGAACAATACGAGAGCTTATGTCCATCCTCATATATTCCCCTCTGCATGGCCAGATGCTCTGCTGAAACAAATCCATGCTTGAATCAACCCTGGCAGCTGACTGTCCACCTATCTTAAGTTTGAGCTTTGTGCCAGACTTTTTACATAACCATCATCTTTGTTTTGAAACTTTTTCAGTAAAATCCGGCCACACCTTCCTTTTCAAAAGGTGTGAACAACCAGCAACCCAGAAGAAATTAAGTTGGCCCATCAACTTCGTCTGATGAAAAACAGCCGCTTGTCCTACGCTTTGCTTGGTAGAGAGGGTCTGGACCCGCGATTATTGAGAAACTGGAGACATGGAGTCTGTTGAAGTTCTAAACTTTATTGGATCTGATTTTATCCAATCACTAACGTTTGGCCGTGACACCAGTTTCTGAAGCTCACCAGAAGTTGCCCGCGCTGCAAACAGCCATCCTCCACTGCAAAGAAGGAACTGCTGGTCCGAATGAGGCGGCTGTAAATGTAAACTTGATGTTTGGAAGCGTGGCCAACGCGGACTGAATGGCTTTGTTCTCTTCCTCCTCTGCCAAACTACAGTTCTGATACAGCGCAGAAAATCAACGTCATCATTCACAGCTTCTCCTTCTGTTTGCTGATTGGCTGAGGTGAAATGCATCCAGAGAAATCAGACTCACTGAAAGAAAATGAGAATGCAGTGGTATGTGGAGAAAGACAATAGCCAGGCTATGATTCACTGTGCATGCAGATAATTAAAATCTCAATTAGGACTCCCCTGACTGATTCCACGTTTCTGTTCATGACGTTTTTTCCTTATCGCTCAATCAAAAAGCACCATGGTGTTACGGTTATCTTGAAATCTTCCAGATGATCAGAAATCTTTAAAACAGGTTGTAACCACTATGCATTGATCTCTGATCCACATCAGTGACATTGTGTTTTTTTCTTATTTAATATCCTTCGCCAGGACCAGAGCCACTGATTTAGTGGCCTGCAGGGATTAAACAATGAATTTTTAATTCCTCAAAGATTTAAGACGCGACATATTATTTGGACTTGAAGTCTGGTTGGAACAGTGATGCTCCCTTGGATAATGATCAATAATGAATGTGCTGGGATTAAAGACATAAGAGGTCAGATGACTTCATGCTGCTACTCCCTCTGTGATAACAAAGAGCAGAGTAAGGTCACTCTCAGGGCTCGATGTTATTGCATAAAACTCGGAACATTTGGCTCCAATGTAAAGCCAAGAGTTAATCTGCTGGAGTGTCTTATTTTTTTATTCTTTCTGTCTCTTCAGATACTGAGCCGCCACAGCTCCAGTGTCCTGCAGACATTGTTGCAGAGACGGATGAACGGCGTGGGACCGCCAACGTCAGCTGGAACGTCCCTACCGCCGTCGACAACTCCAATGAAGAGGTTAAAAACACGAAAATTTAACCCCAGACAGGAGCAAGCTTACAATGTTTCCCCTCTCCTGTAATTTTGTCTTCCTTCTGCAGGTGGCGGTGCAGGTGAAGCCAGTCTACAATCCCCCTCAGCTGTTGCCCGTCGGAAAGGAAACAATCACCTACATTGCAACTGACCGCACCGGGAACCAGGCCAACTGCTCCCTCACAGTCACTGTGATCGGTGAGCTCATCCCGAAAACCGTGTCAAAGCAAACAGTCGGTTCTGTGTGTGTGGCCCCGGTGTAACTTCACCGGTGCATTTAATTACAACAAGGGAGAAGGCTCTTCTGTTGGACATTCACTTGGTTTTTAACGGCACCTGGAATAAAATGAATCACGTTCTTTCAATGATTCAAAATTCCAAAAACACTGGATTTTTGTAAATATGTTGTTCATGATTTTCTTGTAAATGCTTCCAATTTCAAAAATATTTTAGATTTGAATCAGATGCCAAAACAAAGACATTTTGTAATAGCTTTTCACTTTAATAAGATTAAAAGGACAATGAGATTTTTGAAACTTCTCCTTTCTAGTTTTGTTCAATCTCCTCAATAGTTAAATTAATTTCAATGTCCAAAGTTTTATAATGTATAAAAAATGTGTGAGACAGAAATTCACCCAGAATCCAGTCAAAAGTTGCAAACGAGGGATGAAGTTGAACAAGGAAGACAAAACTCAGGCATCACTACATGAGTGAAAACCCAGATCATAGTTAAACCCAAAATTATTCATACGTCTGGCAGATTTAGATATTGATTGGAAACTATGCACAACAATGATTCACATTTTCCAATGAATTCAAGGTATTTGTGTTTAGAAAGGTCTCTATGTCATCACCCTAATCTTTAGCTCTCCTCACAGATTCTCTACATTCGAAAATGTTATTACATATTTTCAAATCTGTACGTAATACATAGTTTTGGACTTAGCAGGGTAAGTTGTTGGGATTTTTCTGAGTGAGGACGTTGTACGAGAGCAGCAGTTTGGAGGCTGAGCAAACCAGCACTCGACCCGGGCTCTGTGGTGAGCCCAGTCTGACTCTAATTCACCACAGTGGTAAATGACGACTTGTCAGAAAAACTGTAATTTTAAAATTCAGACATATGCTGTAATTTCTGCTCCTGGTCTCTCCAGCATTGTTACTCTAACCCAACAGGCGGGCACCAACCCTCCCTTTTCTTCCAACAACTGGGTCACCAGGACGCTTCAAGTCATCGGCTGAAAGTCTCGCTTCTCTTCACACTGAGAGCTTGACTGCACTCAACCTTTTTAAGTCCATCCAGCCTCTGGCTGTTGCTCTTTGACCTTTGCCAGGGTTTATTCTATAGTAGCAGTTCTTCCATCAGCCCCTCCTTAACTCTGTATTTTATTAGAACAATTTTTTTGTCTTACTATTTTTTGGCTAGTTGTCTTCAGTCAACATGGAGGAGGAACACTGAAGTTGGTGATTTAATTTAATAAAGGAATCTGTGGATTTTACTGACAAGGCCACTTAAATATATATAAAAATATATAAAAAAACAAAGCAAGGCGGTGAGGAAACTTTGCCTTTATGGTCTGGCTAATCTGTTACAGTCATAGCATGAACTGGGTTGTTTCCTGAGGATGACGATGCCGTTCTATTTTAAGGAGGAGTGTCCCCAAAAGATCTCTGTATTTTTTTTTCTGCCACGTACATGCTTTTTAAAACAATAGAATAACTGTTTATGTTCAAGAATTACCCATTTATGGCTCTAAAGCATAAAAATTCCCCTTTAAAAAGATTGATTGGTCTCTCATACACACTCCAACATGTTTAACTCGTTGTAGACTAACTTGTTTTCTTTGAAACACAGTCTTTCCACTTTATTTCAAGGTTTAAAAAAAAAGAAAATCATTGAGATGTTCTCCAGGAAGGGAGTTTATGTGCCCCAACAGGTGCCAGATATTGTTTCTGTAGAGGCCGAAAAACGCAGGTCAGCCTCTCAGTAATCGCTGCAGACAGGGGGAGAAACCTCAAGCATGGTAGCTGTGAACATTTCCATGTGTTGTTATGGCTGTGGAACGTAGCGGGTTTTTATTGGAGACATGTGTTCAACTTGTGCCCTCTGACTTTCAAAAAGTCGGATTGCGGCGCAGCACTCCGCTGTCAAATGTCAATTCTTCAATATCATCTAAATCTGCTCCAGTTTTGGTGTTCAAATAGATTTGTTTTTTCTCATCTTCATAATGTCATTCTGATGTCATTGTGGGTCCTGGTGAGTGATTTTTGTCTCTCTATTTCCAGATACTGAGCCGCCGTTCATTGACAGGTGTAGGTCGCCCCCAACAGTCCAGGCCACGAACACAGAAGCAGCCGTCGTCTGGGAAGTCCCGCAGTTTTCAGATAACTCAGGTATGTCTGCTCAGCTCTTCTATTTGTGCTTTCCTCTGCTCCACTCTGCTCCGCCGACCACCTCCGTCTGATTATGGTTGAGCAGGATCTTTTCCAAAGAGCGATTGGAAAATGTGAATCAGGAAAGAGCTGCGTCTGTGAATAACGAGTGGAGACAGTGGACATTTCTGTCTGTGTTTAGGAGAAAGGAAGAGAAAAGGACGGAGGGAATTGATGAAGTGGTTGTAGTGCCTGCTAATGTCGTTAATGCTGAAACAGACGGAGACAGTGGAGAGACACAGGTGTTTTTGCAATGAAAAACTTCATTCAGAGGGAGTGTGTCCTCATTCCATCCATTTTTCACACAGTCATTTGTATAATTAAGCGAACACACCCAATGCTGTGCTGCCTTCGTATTCTAGTCTCAATTTTAACATTTATTTTTACATCATTGCAACTTTGTTACACAATGAGATTGTAAATAATCCTCTGAGGCAAAGCTTAGGCTTTAGCAGAGGTGAATGGAGTTTCCAGTTGAAATAAAAGTAGCATTGCTTCAACACGGGCAGAATTTCTAGGCATTGAGTGGATCCATTTTGGTGGCCTCAGGATCGCAGCTCTGCTTTTTGCGGATGATGTGGTCCTGTTGGTTTCATCAGGTCGTGATCTGCGGCTCTCGCCGAAGGGGTTCACGGCCGAGTGCGAAGCGGCCAGGATGAGGATCAGTGCCTCCCAGTCCGAGGCCATGGTCTTGAGCCAGAAAAGGGTAGAGTGCCTCCTCCGGGTCGAGGGGGATGTTCTGCCCAAGTGGAGGAGTTCAAGTACCTCAGGATCTTGTTCACGAATGAGGGGAGAAGGAAGCAGGAGATACAATATTTAGTAAAAAGGCAACTCAACTACTGAGCAACAGATCATTTAATATTTAACAATGACATCAGCAGCAGGACCAAGGTGTAAAGTTGCATAAAAAGTTTGATATTTTAAAGATGAAAATGAAAATCATGATTACAAAAACAAAATAAAGCAATTTATATTTTTTAAATCAATTTATTTCAAACTTTAACAAAAACTACAGGTGTGTTTGTATGTGTGGTTAAAACTAGCTTGTTCTTCATTTAGTGAAGTTAGTCGCAGTGGGTAAAGTCTCCAGAAATTTTACGCGAGTATAAATACTCTTACTTCATTACAAAAAGTTTCAGAAATTACAAAATTACTCAAGTAAAAGTAAAAAGCACATTGTTGCAAAAATACGTCTAAAATAAAATCTTTTCAAGTTATTCAAGCAAATGCAATTAGCTACATAGCATTTGAATTGGTATCAAAGTGTATTTTATGACAAATTAAAAATACCAATTAAAAACCAAAATTCAAGAGAAGAAAACTGAGAAGAGAAGTGAAATTACTAAAAAAAAAAAAAACCCTCACATGCTGTGTTTTGTTTTTTTTGTAGCAGACTCACTGATGCTATAATTAGGACTCAGAAGCATAAACAGTGATTGCAGTGATGATTTCCTGCAGGTATCTAATTAGGAGGACTGTGCTGCAGGATCCATCCATTGTCCTTATCCACTGACCATGCAGTGTGGGGGCTGGCTGCCTGTTTCCAACACTCACTGAGCGAGAGGCAGGATACACACACACACAGTTCGCCAGTGTCTAACATATACAGTCATGGAAACTTAATGTTTGCATTACAGTCCATACTGTTATGGGAAAAGATGTTCACAATGCTGCTATGGTAGTTAGAATCCCCTTTATCTCTTTATGACCTAAGTTTCAAATCTTCGCCCGGATATTTTTGCTTATATTAATTGTTCGCAGTTCTTTAAATGTGCTGTGAGTAAATGTATTTGCCCATCTATCCATAACTGGAACTTTTAATATCTAGCAAGTCATTTTTGTAATTTACCAAAGAGCACCCCTCAGATTAATTTCTCCCCTTGCTACGGTGGGGATGAAATTACCATAATAACCCGAGATTGACTGGAAAGCACAATGTCTCCCCTTTCAGATAGCACAAAGTGTGGCAGAAACATGGTACTGCAAGTTCGGCTGGCTCGTCGGGTGCCCCTTTCGTTCTGGAAGGGATAATATGGATCATTGTCAGAACTTGTTTTCTCTCTCATCATTATGTTGGAATTTTAGTCAAATCTTCTTCAATGTTTCAATAAATTATCAAAATTTTGGGACATTTGTGCTTGCATTGATGTCAGGATTTTGATCAAACCATTGCAACGTCTTGTTTTCTTTTTCAGCAATTCTGTTCTGTGGTTTAGATGATCTCTCTCTTTCATGACCCAATCTTTCACTGTTGGACATTTGACTCTAGAATAATAAGTTCATGTTGGAATCAGTGACTGATGGTTTCCCAGGTTCAGAAGCAGCAAATAAGATTCATCTCTCCCATGTCACCATGTTTCATTGTTTTATGAGATACTTTTTCCAGATTGGTCTCCTCAGTGTAATAGATGTTGTTTCAGAACTTTCACTGCAAACTAGGAAAAGATTTTGAGGTTTTTTTTCTGCTCCTGGGAGGACCAGCAGCTGTTCTAAAAGGTTTCAACTCGCAAACATCGTTCTCATTGCCTTTGAAATTGGAAAAAGCCTTATGTGACTTCACACTGCTGAGCAGCAACAAATGATTCTCCAAGGTCACTGCCAAAGTCTTTCTGTCTTTACATTGTGTTAGGAAAACATCTTTTCATTCTGCAAACTACACAAACTGCTGCTTTAAAGAAGCAGTAGTTGCAGTCGCTGATGATCAGGTTCTGCTTTGCAGGTCGTTAGTAGAACATGATTGCCTCTTTCCTTCTTCAATATTATCGAAGCATTAAAGGTGGACTAGGTTATTTCCATGACTGCACTGACAGTCATAAAATTGTTTCCTTTTTCCCATGACTGTAGCTCAGACCATGTGTGCACATATTTCATAGGTCAGTCAAGCCTGATATGCTTACGTGGAAATAAAACATGGAGGAAAACAAAGGCCTTAACAGAGCCGGTATTTTTTATAACTTTATCATTGCATTTTTACGTAAACATGTAGTTAATATTTTAGAGAGATTGCATTGAAATTTGTTTCTGTTTAAAGTAGCACCTTCTTGTTGCCCTTCCTTCTCAACTCTAACTTCTTTGCAAACTATAAAAATGCATCTAAAAACGGTCTTGAGAAATACTTTACTAAACTGTGAGATGATCTACGTTTTGAACACAAAGTTGACTTTTAAAAGAAGAGTTAACCTGGGATAGTATAGCTGCAGCAAAATTTCGCAATAAAATACTGTAAAGCTTGTTTTTCGTGTGAAAGTTTTAAAAATATTATCTTTGAGCTTTGAGACGAAGGAAATATTTTTGGCAGCTTTTAGGAGACAAGCCCAGTTTACACGTAACAGGATCTGGATCGAGTACCCTGAGTGAAAATAAGCAGTGATTGTGGATCTAGAGGTTATTCTGTATGAGCAGAATGTTAATGATAAAGTAGCTTTTTGTGTTTCAAAGACTGTATTTTTGGTGTCTTTATCTCTGAAGTGATTTTGACTTACTGTTTAATTATTCATTGTCTTGTTGGCACCAGAGATCTTCTAAAGATTTTTCAATGATGCAGAAGCTGTTTTTTGTTGTGTATTTGTATAAATCATACGTATGCGATAGACCCGGTCCATATAACTTCACTCCTCACAGGCCGGTATCCTGCATGTTTTCTCAGCATGTCCCCAGGTTCTGCATAGTCCTGGTAATAATCATTTTATTTGGTTTAGATTTGAACAAGAGCAAAATCTAAAACGGCGTCCCTTTGAGGGCTCATTTGGATCCCATTATAATGGGCAGATCTCTGTTAACCAATTTGAAGAGTTCATCTCCAAAGTTAAATAAAACTTAGAAAAGAGTGTAAAAAAAAACCCCCCAAAATGTTAGAAATTAATGTTCAATTTTTCATCCAGAGTGAAACCATTTTGATTCCAACTTCAGTCCTGTAGGGGTAAATATAAATTTTAATCACCGATACTAGGATCAGCGTATCAAAGTGAACTTGCTTCTTATGGCAAATGCACTAATGTACTGAATGCAGCAAAACTTGAGCAGTTTTGCTGCATTCACACCGAAAGCATTTTGAGCATCAAGCTTGTCTGGTTTATATTCAAAGTCTGTGTGGAGTGTCAGACGCGTCGAAGACTCAAAACGGTTCAAATTGTGCCGCGCCAGACGCTCAAAATGCGTTCGGTGTGAACATACCATAATTAGCCGCTACTTTTTCCGAAGTAGCAATGGGAGAGGGATCTATTTGGAAATGTTTGGAGAAACTGAAGTCCCCAGTAAATTAGCTGCAGACAAGTAAAGACAGTTATTGATGTTTGAACACGATGGTATAAAGTTAGACATCTGAAGGTCAGTATATTGAACATATCAGAGATCCTGTTAACTTCATTTCATAGCTGTGTTTCTAAAATCTGTTGGTGAGTGACAAAATGATGGTTTCATACGTAGCACATTAAAATAAATGACCCAGATGTTTTCTTAAAAAGCTGAGTGCTGGGCTGGACACCTGCTATTGTTATGATGATCTAATAAACAATCTGTTCAGACTAATCTTCCAGCAGAGCAGTGCTGGAAGGCCAGTCTAGCAAACAGACTAAATATTGGACGCTTTCTCTTGGCACTGCAGCTGTTCCAAATAGCTCGACTTCACTTACTCCGACTCTTTATCTGCACTTTGTTAACACCAAAGTGCTCTCGTGAGTTAATGAGCTCCAAACCTAACGTCCCGCTCACAAACAACTCAGAGTAATCACTTCCCACCTGTCTGCGGAGGTGAGCCCCCATCAAACGACCTCAATAACACACACACACACACACACACACACACACACACACACACACACACACACACACACACACACACACACACACACACGCAAACACGCACACATGCACTCTAATAACAGACTGCCACTGCTGCGGCTGGTCCAGGTCCACACGACGTCAGCACAGCGCCGCTTCGACGTCAGTGTTTTGTTTTTCCAGGCCCACACCCTGATGCCAACTCTATTTATAGTCAAGATTCGTTAGGCGCACACATACAAACACACGCACTAAAATAAAACGTAAAGGGAGACTCCAGACGCGTGCCAGTCCCTCTGGAACGATATTTGCCGCTGTTACTGGAGGAGGTGGACTGGAGTCGAGTCAAAGGCAAATCCCTCACTTTTCTCAATGCATTCTGTGTGTCTCGCTCTTACAGATGTGCTCATTGTTCTTTTTGTTCCCACAGCCTGTTTCTGGCCTGCAGGCAAACCTCGAAGCATCACACACCAGCACACAACACAGCTCCTACTTTCTAACAACCTTTATGCATTTACATTCTTTAAGAGCTTCAGACAGATGCAATTTATTTGTATAAAGCTCTACAGTCTACCTACAAGAGTGACTCACAACCTTCAGATGACAATCTAATCCCAAGCCTGCCCCCTACAGGACATGAAGAAAACCACTTTTAAATCAGAGTAACTTAAAGAAATGCAGCTTCTGGTTGTGTAGTTTGAACAGTTGGGATGATTGTGGATTTTTATTTGAATATATTATGATTACGGTGATTCAGTTTTGGTTTATTGCACTGTTTCTTTGCTCTGTAGGTGGTCGCCTCACTGTGACCAGTAGCCATAAACCGGGCTCGCTGTTCCCAGTAGGAGAAACTGTGGTCCAGTACACTGCAACGGATACAGCAGGAAACAGCCGCATCTGCAACCTCACAATAACTGTGCAAGGTGTGAATTAAGAATCTATTTTATTCTATGGCAATTTTTTAAAATCCTTTTTCAATTACATTTTTTTAAATTAAAATTACAGTGTTGCGCCACATGTTGAATTTTTAAGTAGCATCTAAATATTAACAGAAAAGCAAACATTTGAGTCTAAGAAAATAAATCAAAACAAGAGTTTATTTAAAGTGTTCCTGTTTTCTAGGCCTACCTGTTGAAAGTATACAAGTGCATCTCAATAAATTAAAATAAAATGTAAAATTATTCAGGAATCCCAGTGAACATATAATATATGACGACATACGTATTCATTACATATACGGAGTAGATTTTATGGCTTATAGCTGTTGAAAAGTCAAAAATTAGATAATTTATTACACGGGATTAATAAAAAACATTTAATAAAGTAACAAACTCCTGTTGGAAAGTGTCCATGGACTTTGAGGCGGCTTATCCTGTTTCCCACATTGCCCCCACTGCTCACATTCACTGAAATGAATGTTTCTTAAAATTCAAATCCAATGAGGCAGAATCTCATCGCTATTTTTTTATGATGGATTTAAGTGATTAATGTCATTCTTTGTCTTGTCCAGGGTCTACTTGTGAGCAGCCGTATGTCCCAGTGAATGGAAAGTTCATCTGCTCTGAAGACGAGGAGGGGGTTAATTGTACTCTTCAGTGTAAAGAAGGCTATAGCTTTGCTCAAGATGCAGTGCAGAGCTACTTCTGTGCCTACAATGGCGTTTGGGAGCCGGCATACTCTTCAGACAGGCCAGACTGCTCCTGTGAGTGCAGCTCATGCTGAACTGTCTGTACGTTTTACAGACTGCCCATTTCTTTTCTAAGATACTTCTGAGACGTCTGGAACAGTTTATGAATGGTAAAATGATGAAATGGCCTTTACTTTATCAAATTCCAAGAAGGATGGAGTAGGGTTTTGAACCGGCAACCTGAGCCACTGCAGCTCTAGTTCATGATCAAATTGCTCTCAATGGGGTAAAATATCACAAATCGCCTCTTTTCTCTGTTTCAGTGAACCGCATAGCTAACAACGGATATAAGCCCTTTGAGATGTTGTTCAAAGCATCTCGATGCGACGATGCAGACCTGGTCAAGTCGTTTGCTGGTCATTTCAATGCCAAACTGGGAAGCATGGTGAGGGCCAGTACTCACACACACTCAGAAATACACAAAGAGCACGATTAACCGTGTTTTCCTTTTCTCTGTAGCTTCCCTCTATTTGTAGCAGTGATGAAATCACCTGCAAACTGGAGGTCATGTCCCAGGGTCACTGCCTGGAGTACAACTATGACTATGAGAATGGATTTTCAATTGGTAGGCGTCTGTAGATGTTCTTACTCTAAACAAGACATCTAACCTTCGGTTTAAGTGAAGCGTTATCAGCCGATTGTTGTTTGTTTTTGCCTTTCAAACAGCACCAGGAGGATGGGCCAACAACTGGGGCTCTCAGGGTGCGCAGGACTATGCCTACTTTGAGTCAGGCTTTGCCACAGGCACCCGACAGCTCCCAAGTCAGCAGCAAGATGGCAGCATGAGGCATCGCTCCAAGAGGCACAGGAAGATCAGAGGTCCGACCAAAGACCACAAGATCCAAATTTACTTCAACATCACAGGTACAACAACATTCTGTGTGTTTAAGGAAACTGATTTTGAATTTGATTGCAAAATCTGTCGGCAAAAGCAATCGTAACACCCTTAACACAAGAATAGACAGGAATCTGACAACATTAGCGTGACGGTTTTGAGCATGAACAAATGGTATTGCTAATCATTTTGGTGGAGACTAGTGTGCACCACAGAGCAGGACAGCAGAAGCGTACACGCCTCCAAATTACGCAAACATGCCGGTTGCTAAGCAATACTCATGAAGTTGTTTAGAAATATTTCTGTTGTCAAAGCACTAATCTTTGGCCGTTCTCCCAGCAAGCATCCCTTTGCCTCTGTCGAGAAATGACTCAGTCGAAGTGGCCAATCAGAAGAGGCTTCTGCGGACGCTCGAGCAGCTCACCAATCGCTTGAAACGAACGCTGGCGAAACAGCCTCTGTCCAGCTACCACGTCTCCTCAGAGATGATCATTTCTGATCCCAAATCGCTGGAGAGCAAAAAGGCCTCATTGTTCTGCAGGCCAGGCTCAGTGCTCAAAGGCAGAATGTGTGGTAAGCTTGAAGAGAACACATTTTGACTTAAATTCATTTAATTTTATGCACACTACATTTACAGCATGACTAATAGTGCTGTGCAAGATTTATATGTTCCAGGAAATCGCTTAGTGTGAGCCTTCTTGTTGCAGTCCAATGTCCAGTGGGCACTTACTTTTCGCTGGAGCATAACGAGTGTGAGAGCTGCTGGCTGGGGTCCTACCAAGACCAGGAAGGTCAACTGGAGTGCAAGTCCTGCCCTGAGGGGACATCTACAGCCTATATGCACTCCCGCAGCATCACCGAGTGCAAAGGTGTGTTTGAGAACAAATGTCAGGCTTTTCATTGTTAATCAGCATTTTGACCATCAATTAGGTGTAAACTGATTTGTTTTAAGCTTGTTCTCACAAATAAAAGTAAAGCTTTTTCTGGTTTCTTGATGGTGTGATATGTGTGTGTCTGCAGGGCAATGTAAACCTGGCAGCCACTCGCTGAATGGACTGGAGATCTGCGAGTCCTGCCCACTGGGTCACTTCCAGCCTGGTTATGGTGCCAGGAAATGTTTAGTCTGTCCTGGTGGAACCTCTACAGTCACCAGAGGAGCAGTGGATGAGGCAGAGTGTGGAGGTGATGCAGTCTAATAATGCTGGCACTCTTTGTAGCTTTATCATCTTTATTTCTTCAAAGTTTGACTTGATTTCTGCCTTAAATATGGATGGATTACTGGTAATTTAGCAAATTTTATAAAACTATCCTGACAAAACACATAAAATAAGTTTTTTATATAAACATTAGGCTTCAGTTTGGATTTTCCTCACTGAATGCTACCATCTGATCATCTTTGACATTTTTTAATCGTTCTTAATTACTTTATTTGCTCTCATTTTTCCTCTTCCTTCTTGCAGTTCCCTGCATGGCAGGTCATTTTTCCCGCACTGGTCTGGTTCCCTGCTACCCGTGTCCAAGGGATTACTACCAGCCCGATCACGGACGCTCGTACTGCCTCTCCTGCCCCTTCTATGGGACCACCACGATAACCGGGGCGTCCAGCATACAGCACTGCTCCAGTGAGTCTTTCTGCCATAAAACGGTTTTGGTAAACAAATGACTGAACTTGATCTCGTCAGGTAATGTAGGGAGCCTTTCTACGATCTTTATTGGTAGAAGTTGAGGACCTTCAATAAACCAGATGCTTTATCTTGCTGATTTTGACTGAAATCAGCGCTTCCTGATTGATCATTAAGCCACTGTGACCACTTTGGCAGTAATCTTAGTATCATTGTTCATTTGGAAGACCCATCTATGCCCAGCCTCATGTCTTGAGTGACTTCTTCAATCTATTTTGTGACGCACACTAAAATGTCTCCAGAATTTAAGATGTTCCTGAGAACTTTTCCAACTTATGATCTCAGTTTTGTAGTAAAGGCACAAATAGGAGAGTAGCTAGAGTCTCTTACCAACCTCAGACAGCATCCTCACAAAGTCTTTTGGTTTTGTTCTGAGTTGATTTTCACATTTCAAACAAAAACACGTTCACTTCTGGAACACAGAAGCCGTCTCCTTCCTGAACAGGACGACGGCTTCATGCTGCTGGTCTTTGCATAAAAATTGTTTGAGCAGATGGCACCTTCAGGCATCTGGAAGTGAACCAGACTTGTTCGCCTCCACTTTTCTCTTCCCGATAGCTCGGCTGATTTCTTTTGGCTTCCCCATCTTGTCTGAAAAGGACAGGTGTGCCTCTGGTAAACTCTGATATTGTCTTGACTTGTGAGGAGCCTTCAAAGTTGTGACATCATCATCTTAGTTTTACCAAATTGTTTAAGATTCTATTAGTGTGTATACAGATCATAATTTGAAAAGAAACACCAGATGAGATAAATCCAGAAGACTAAAGTGATTTTCATGGGTTGACCATGTTGTACAGTGTTAGGCTGACATGTGAGTTATATTAACTCTCTGTAGAAAGAGCCAAGTTACGTCAACGTTGCTGTAAAGGAACTGCTTTGTGTCAGGCTTTCCCATGTAAAACGCCACTTGTGTGGTGGCTGATCTGTCTCTTGACAGCTCAATCCAATTGGAAACAGGATTACTGAGCAGGATCAGGGGACGTGGTAATAATAAGGTTTTTATTGCTGTGAAGCAATAGAAAATAAACCGCACTGCATGCCGAAGTGCAAAAATGAACAGTGGTTACAGCAAAGCGCCAGTTATGAATTTAAACACAGACCTTTTTCCTGCTTGTCTGCCAGTCTTCTAGCTAATGGCAAGTTTTTTTAACGATGGTTTTGTAGTTTTCTGCATTAATTTGACAGCATGTAGTGAGAAGGAGTTGATACGATGGCGACTTGCAGTGAATTGGGCATTGACTTTTGGCCCCTCTTCAATTAGTTTTATTGCCTTCCACCAAAATCAGAAACCTCCCACTGAGGCTTTTTTTTTTTACAGACTTCCCTCTGCTCACATTTTACAGTCTCTGGGTGTCATTGTCAGGTTTTAGCTCAAGCTTTCTCGCTAAGGAGGAGAGCGTAACTCCTGCTCCAGAAGTGGAGGTCATTGAGGACTACCAAGTCAGCAGTCAGGTGATTATTGATCAAAATAAAAATCTGCTCTGTCTCCTGTCTTGCCACTGTGAAATGAAAACATTGAGGACATTTTGGGTATCGTCTATTTCTGTCTTAAATCCCTCTTGGAACGCGTTTAATTTCGTCTCAATTGCCACCTCTCCCTGTATTGCTACAAAATACAACGTATATAGAGTGTAAAACCTGCTTTACTCTAAGAATAAATTATATTTTAAGCTTTAGAAATATGTTGTGTATCCCTGCAAAAACACAAAATCTAACCAAATATCTTTTGTCAGTTACATAAAAGATTATTTGACAGGGTGTGCATAAGACTGACATCACGCGATTACAAACATAACACCTTCATGAATGTTTACGACTGTTGTCATGAAGAGTCATTCGGTAAATAAGGATACCTTTGACGCAAAGTTTTAATGGACTTTGTATTAAGAGTGTCATTATTCGCCGAATGACACTTCATGACAACAGACGTAAACATTCATGAAGACTTCTTCATGTTCAGGTTGTTATATCATGTTTATGATGGTATCATGTCAGTGTTATGCACACCCTGTCAAATAAAGTGTTAGTCTTTTGTCTTGCTTCTACAGCAGATATCTTAGTTAGACAAAACTAACTTACAGAGGAAGTTTTCAGTAAGCTATATGAGTTTGTTTGAAGTTGATAATTTCTTAAGATTATATTAGTTATAGTGAAGTAATCTGCAGATTACTAGCACTCAGAGACCTGCTTCTGGCTTTAGATCGATTCTGTACAAATTATCCTCAGGTGGTCAAAAACTTTGCCACTAAATTTAAATTGAATAATTTCTTCAGGTTTTCCATGAGTGCTTCCTGAATCCCTGTCAAAATAAGGGGACATGCGAGGAGGTTGGAGCGGGATACGTCTGCACCTGCATGCCTGGATTCACAGGTAAATAAATAAATCCCGCTCATCGGATATCAAGATGTCGCCGCTGTACGGCACTCATGTGACGCCGCTGACATTTCTCTCTCAGGTGCAAAGTGTGAGGTCGACATAAACGAGTGTGACTCTGCCCCCTGCCAGAATGGAGGCCTGTGTAAGGATGGGATGGGGGACTTCCAGTGTCAATGCAAACCTGGCTTTTTAGGTACAGACACCATCAAACAAAACGATAAAGGCTTCACTAATACTTTGAAGGTTATGAAAGACTTTCTGTTTGTCTGATTTAGGCTCCCTGTGTGAGGGCGAGGTGAACGAGTGCCTCTCCTCCCCGTGTCTCAATGAAGGGCTGTGTGTGGACGAGGTCAATAAGTTCTCCTGCAGCTGTGCTGAGGGCTTCACAGGTCAGTCCTAAACAGGCATTTATGGCGTTCAGCTGGACTTCACTTCCAGTTCATAGTAACATTGATGTCAGCTAAATATCTCTTTCAGTTTTAAAAAGCAAAAGTTGCTGTTCATCAGACAGTCTGATAGGCGTTTGAACTACGGTAATTCGTATTGGGTGTCAGTGACAGTTTTTGATTCATGAGCAGCATTAAAAACTGAGGACTCACCAGATCACATGTGAACATGAACATGTTTTCTGCTGTTTGTACACATTTGAATTTAATGAGGAGTTGGCTCCCCACACTTGCTGTTGAGAACAGGGAGTTTATTTTACTCCCTTTGTGCAGTGCATTTTATCAAACTTTGATCTCGATGTGGCCCAAATTAAAAACGAGTTTGACACTCCTGACGTAGAAAGTTTTCCAACATCCCTCTTAAATTTCCACAGGTTCTCTCTGTGAGCTTGAAATCAACGAGTGTCTGTCCAGCCCGTGTTTGAACGGAGGAGTGTGTGAAGACTTGACAGGAGACTACAGCTGCAACTGCGCCGTGGGATTCTCTGGGGATCGCTGTGAGGTCAACATTGACGAATGCTACAGCTCCCCATGTCTCAATGGAGGCTCCTGTATAGATGATGTCAATAGTTTCAGGTAAAAAAAAAGGTCATGATAGTAGCTAAATGCTCACAAAAACTGAGAAGAACCTGAGTTTTAAAAACTGTTGAACATCCTTATCGCCCGTCCAGGTGTGAGTGTGTGGAGGGCTTTCAAGGCAGGCTGTGTGAGGTGGATGTGGACGAGTGCAACCCGAACCCCTGCTTGAACGGAGCCAGCTGCTTTGACGGTCTGGGCTCCTACACCTGCCGCTGCCTCCCTGGGTTCAACGGATCCAGGTGTGAGACAGGTACTACTGTATAGGACAGATGCCACAACACCATGGCAGCTGAAGGAAGCACAGCACGACACATTTAAAGGGCATAGTCGATCAAATTTACTCTTTTAGTTCTGTTTAGGTTTTTATTTCATTCTGTTTTTATTCTTTTATATGTTGAAAGTAAAAGAAAATGCTCAGTTGATCTACTTATCTAATTTAAAGAAATATTGAAAAGTTTATTGTGATTTATTTGATAATGTATTAGCCTTAAATGTCATTTATGCTTGCTATAGTTTTTCTGTTTTAGAGCTTAATTTCATCATGTGTTTCTCTTCACTATCAAATGAGATACTGCTGTGACAAACCCACATTTAATACAAAAATGGTTTGCTTGTTATTTTCTGGTGTGTCCTCAGAGATGTCCTCTGCCTTCAACCTGGACTTTGAGGTGTCTGGCATCCATGGTTACGTGATGATGGATGGAGTAATGCCGACGCTGACAGAAATCACCTGCTCCTTCTGGATGAAGTCAACAGACATGAATAACTACGGCACCCCGGTGTCCTACGCCGTAGAAGGCAGCGACAATGCTTTCCTGCTGATCGACTACAACGGGTCAGAAATGCAGAACCATCTGGAAAAATTTAAACTCCTGTTTGACCGTCTTTAACTGCTGTTTTTCCATCTGATTTTGATGGTAGGTGGGTGGTCTATGTAAATGGTAAGCAGCGGATTTCTGACTGCCCTGCTGTGAACACGGGTCAGTGGTACCACATCGGTGTTTCGTGGCGGAGCTGGGACGGCGACTGGAGGATTTACATCAACGGGAAGCCCTCAGACGGAGGCAAAGGCCTGTCAGTCGGCACCCCTATCCCAGGTGTAGTGCTATCCTCAGCCTGGACGCTTTCCTCAAACGCACTTTATTTTCTGGGAAAATGTTTGTGGGTTTTCTGTAAAGTCGTTAACCCCGGTGCTGCTTGTGTTCTGCAGGTGGCGGGGCTCTCGTTTTGGGTCAGGACCAAGATGAGAGAGGTGAGGGCTTCAACGCTGTTGAATCTTTTGTGGGCTCCATCAGCCAGCTCAACATCTGGGATCGTGTTCTCACTCCTCAACAGGTAAACGCCAGACTTTCTCTTTTCGCGGTCAACGTTGTCACACAAACATATTAAAGTGCAAAACATGCCGTTTTGTGTTTCTGACTTTGAAACACAAAACGGCAAATTTTTTTGTGATTTTTTTTTTCTTTTTTTTTCTTTGTGTTCACAAAAAAATAAAATCTGTTTTTTGTGGACAAACAGATCAAGGTTCTGGCCAGCAGCTGTCCAGCTTCCCATGTAACCCACAGAGGAAACGTGCTGGCTTGGCCCGACTTTCTCAGTGGTGTGGCAGGCCGAGTCAAAGTTAACCTCAACAGTATTTTCTGTGCTGGTAGGAGAGATTTATCAAGTACTTACAAACGTTGCAGGACTTTTTCCATTAAATCTGGTGATGAGGTACAACGGGTTTCTGTTTCTGCAGACTGCCCTAAGTTGGAAAGCGCCGTGCCCCACCTGCATGCTTCCAGTGTGGAGGTGAGCCCTGGCGCTCAGGTGCACCTGTCTTGTGATCCTGGCTTTTACCTGGTGGGGGAGCCAGTGCTGCAGTGCCAGAACAAAGGCGAGTGGAGCCATCCGCTGCCAAGCTGTGCAAGTAAGGTCCAAAACCACTATTCAACCAGATGCATCCATAATAACTTTAATGTTTGCTGTTGGAGTTTAGTAGCAAATTCTTGGCTGGAAGCAGAAATCCCATGGTCGCCGTATATTTCTTTCTCCGTGTGTGTTGCAGGAGTGTCGTGTGGACCTCCTCGCCCGCTGGAGAACGGTTTGTACCAGGGTTCAGATTTCCAAGCAGGCAGCTCCGTGGTCTACCAGTGCAACGTCGGCTTTTACCTGCTGGGAGACGCCAAGGTGCACTGCAGCAACAGCGGCCAGTGGGGAGGACATCCACCTGCCTGTCTGGGTAAAAGGACGCAATGCTCGTCTGATGCTGGCAGCGAAACTGCAAAACAACAAAATACCCGACTCGTTCTGCCTATCTCTACATGCATGTGACTGTTTGAGTTCAGATGTGGACGAGTGTGCGCTGGGGTCTGACTGCGACGATCACGCCAGCTGCCAGAACACGGAGGGCTCATACTCCTGCACCTGCATTCACCCGTACACCGGAGACGGCAAAAACTGCACAGGTACGACGACACCAGGGTTTCCGTGCTTCATATTAGTGGATGAGTTATGATGCTAGCAGATCATGAGAGAACCTTGAGTCATGCTTAAAACTTGTATAAACTTTCAAAATGAGAAAACCCTGTGATTGTATGATTTCAGAGCCAGTGAAGTGCCAGAACCCTGGGTCTCCAGAGTTTGGTCAGAGAGACGGCAGCAGCTTTCTGGTGGGCAGCGCTGTGGCGTTTGGCTGCGATAGCGGCTATGAGCTGATTGGCTCTTCACGACTCCACTGCCTAGAATCAGGAACCTGGGACCATCCTGTCCCTTACTGCAGAGGTGAGAGCTCAGGTTCAAGAAAAAACATAGAACAATGAACTTATTCAAGCAGGAATATTCGCCATGAATAAAAAAATGAGGCTCTTAATCTTAACTATGATCTCACACTGCAGCACGTCTATTGTCTTTACAGAAAATCTGCTCTGGGAACAACAATAAGTTTTTATTATGTCTGGTAACAATGGGGAATTGTACAAAATTACTGAATATTTTAGCATACAAGTATGTGGTTTCACTTGAAAATTATGTCTTCTAGTCTGAGACACAGATTTTAGATCAAAGCCTCAAATTAAGTAGTAGTAGTAATAAAATCCAAACATAATTTCCCTTTATTTTATATTTTCTGCACTGATTCACATGCAGCAAGTTTATTGTGGGTTCAAATTTGACTTCACATTTTAACGCTGATTTTTGACATTTTGAATTTAAACGCAGTTGTTCTGTTTCAGTGCCTTTCTCAGTTATAAAACAGGTACATTTATAGTTTAATGCATGTACAGGCAGGCTTCCAAGTGTATTTAAATTTGATAATAGTATTGAGTTATACAGTTCTGTCAACCCCGAACATTACAGTTTACAGCTGTGACTGTGTGGAAATTGGATGCAACACATTCAGGATATAGAAACATACATTTTTAGATTTATTATGAAGAGGCAAATATTACAGATACACGGTGACAGATTCACAGTCTGTGTTATTTGAGTTGCATGAATGGTGGATTACATGAGCAGCTCTCTTCCTGTCCTTTTTCTCGGCCACTGCAGTGTCTCCATCTTGGCTCGGAGCCACAACGTTACTCATAGAGGAAGTGGAAGTGCCAGTCTGACGTATTCGGCCCATTCAGTCTTTTTACTGTCATGCTGACCACAATTTTTCTTTTAAAGGCACATATTACGCACAACATATGGTTTTGACTGCTTCACGTTATATTAGCATCAGGAATTATATCATGTGGAAAATGCAGTAATTTTATAATTGCTGCTGGTTTTTTTTATCTTTGAATAATATCATTAACAAACAATGTTTCTATTTGTGACTAGACACGTTAGAGTCATCTTTATGAGAGGAAACAAATGTTACAGTGAGCTAGTTTTGTCCTTGAGCTCCACCCTGGATTGAAGCAGCTTGTCTCTTTAAAATGTTTACAGTGAACGGAAAATGTTGTGGTGCATAAATGATGTAAGGCGTCTTGGAGAAGACTAATCTAATCAAAAATTTATTGCACGAGGCTCTGAAGTCTTAACATAAAAGTTGCAATTGCAATATGAAAGCATAAAAACAAGCAGGTATTAATCATTTTCCCATCTTCTCCCTGCAGCTCTCTCCTGCCCGATTCCAAGCGTCCCTGAAAACTCTGTCATGACAGGAAACAACTTTACGTTTGGAAGCAAGGTGACTTTCAGGTACCATGTGCATCATACTGCGTATCACTGTGACAAACATCAATCCAACAAAGGATCTTAGATTTTGCAGAAAATAAAAATAGTTTTGTTGTTTGTTGCCCCTCAGCTGTAAAAACGGCTTCCTGCCTCAGATGCCCTATGAGTTCCACTGTCTCTCGACTCTGAGGTGGAGCGGGGCGCCACCTATCTGTTATCCGGTGACCTGTGGGGGGCCACCAACTGTGGAGCATGCAAGCTATGTCCTCGACACGAACACCTACCTCTCTACTGTTAAATACACCTGTGCTGAGGGATACAGGTATGGATGAATTACAGATGATGATGTCTGTTTTACTGCAGTAAATTACCTCTATAAACAAGTGTCTATACTAAGTGCTATGTTATTGCAAAGACCACAGGGCTCCATGGAAGTGGTTTGTGAAGCGACAGGAGAGTGGAGCCGGCCCAATCCTCGCTGTGTGAGCATCCTGTGCAACGAGCCGCCAGCACTTAAAGATGCTGTGATTGTCGGAGAAAACTATGAAGTCGGAAATAAAGTTCACTACATCTGCAAAGAAGGGTAAATGTGGATCTGCTACATCAAATCAAAACTTAATTAGTTCAAAAATAACTGGGTTTACATTAACCAGAGCTACAATGATATAGATTCTTCACTGTGTCATTTGCTTTAATCTACACCTTAGAGCAAAACAAAGCACATATTCTTGCATTAGAATGGACTAGTCAAAGTCTCAACAACAATACAAAGAACCTGTAATATTCTCATGGATCTTTTCATATGTTTTCCATTCATGCTGACTGGAATGCAGTCAGAATCAATGCATTCCAGAATGCATTCCAGAAAGCCTAATAAATATTCGTTTATATAAATAAATAGCCTAAAATGAACAAAAATGGCAGACATTTGATGTTCTAAGTTCAAAGAAACATTTCTCAAAATATCAGCAGCTGTAAATGCAGCAAAAGTTAGTTCTGCAAACCATTAACTGTATAAAACTATATATGTTCTACTTCAAATTTAGTCTATCAAAAAAAATTCCAATAACATGAACTTGCAACATAACAAAATGGTCAGATCTTCAAAAGATATGAATATCAAGACACTGTAAAAAGAAATAAAAGTCTGTACATTTCTTAATGCTTGCTCGCTAGGTACACTCTGATTGGCCCAGAAACCAGGGAATGTCTACCCACTGGCCAATGGACTGAAGGCTTTCTGCAGTGTGTCCCTCGCTCTTGTGGCCCACCCCCTGCTGTCGACCACGCTGTGCCACACGAGACTCACAAGCTGTTTGGAGACACAGCCAGCTACTACTGCACAGATGGATACACGGCCAGCAACAATTCCAAGATGGTGTGCAACGCTCAGGGAGTATGGGTGCCCCCCGATGGCATGGAGGCCCCTCGCTGCATCGCAAACTTTTGCCTACGCCCCCCTGAGGTTTCCCATGCGATTTTAGATTCAGTCAACAAACCCAAATATGCCAGTAACACTGAAGTGAGCTACAAATGTGAAGAGGGTTTCATGCTAAATACCACCGCCACACTCCGATGCTTATTAGGAGGGATGTGGGAGCCTTCGCCGTTTGAGATTGATTGTGTGCCAGTAAGGTGCTCCAAACCGGAGAGCATCGATCGAGGGTATGTGAGAGGAACCAACTACAGCTTCGGAGCCGTGGTGGCGTACAGCTGTGAGACAGGGTACCTGATTCGAGGGGAGAAGAGGAGGATCTGCAAGGCTAACGGAGAGTGGGGAGGGAATCTGCCCACTTGTGTTCCTGTGTCCTGTTCCTCCCCGCCTGTACTGCTAAATGGATACATCTACGTCAGTACAAAAGACAAAAATACAGAATGCACTTTTGAATTTGTTGTCATTTTCTATAATTGTGGATGTTTGTGTTTCTTTTCTTTTAGGTCAGAACTCGATACACTTTCAATAACAAGGTGACTTACGCCTGTAATGCCGGCTACAAACTGGTGGGTGGGCCAGAGCGAGTTTGTCAGGCTAACCGACAGTGGTCCAACAATGACCCACCCACCTGTGTCCTTTTGACCTGCGACCCTCCTCCTGCTGTGGTCCATGGACACTACAGGGGCTCCAACTTCCGTGTGGGCAGCAAGGTGGAATATTTCTGTGATGAGGGTTATGAGCTTGGAGGGAATCCTGTCTCCACCTGCCTCAAGAACGGAAAGTGGGATCAACCTAATCCTCCGCGCTGCTCTCCTGTCAAGTGTCCAGAGCCACCTCTAGAGGAGAGCCATCTGGTCCTGAAGAGCCTGTTCTCTGAGTCTGGAACTGTGGAGTTATCCTGTGAGGATGGCTATATTCTGGAGGGCGCCAATGTTCTACGGTGCACTCCATCCCAGGAGTGGAATGATACATTTCCGGTGTGCAAGGAAGTATTCTGTGGACCTCCGCCTGAGGTGACTTTTGGTGCTCCAAACAATGCCTCTCATTCTTTCCCCTTCAGCTCTGTGATCACCTACACATGCATGGGAGGCTTTACTTTCAGAAAAGAAGACTCTGTATCTTGTCTAGCCAGCTCCCAGTGGAGTACTCCTTATCCAGAATGCATCCCAGTTGAATGTCCTCAGCCTGTGGAGATTTCCAACGGATTTGTTGACGTCCAGGGTCTGATGTACCTCAGTAAAGCTCTGTATAGCTGTAGGACTGGACATAATTTAGTAGGAGACTCCATTGTCCTTTGTGGAGACAGAGGTGCATGGATTGGCGGGGTTCCATCGTGTCGCCCTGTCGAATGCTCCATCCCTAAACAGATAGCCAGTGGGAAAGTGGTTTACACAAAGCTCCAGTATGGTCATAGTGCCACCTACTCCTGCCACCGTGGTTTCCGGCTTCGCGGCCCAGAGACTCTGAAGTGCTTAGCTAATGGGGAGTGGGACTCAGAGCCCCCTGTATGCACACAGATATCCTGCACTCTTCCCCAACCAATCGAAAATGGTTTTGTGGAGGGTCAGGATCACAGTTTTGGCGTTACGATTTTCTATAGCTGTTTCCCAGGGTTCCAGCTTGTTGGCCAGGATCATCTAACCTGTGAGGAGACAGGCTGGTCTAGTTCTGTTCCTATGTGTGTACCCTCTGACTGTGGACTCCCTCCTCATGTTGACTTTGGAGACTATGTCAGGGTGACAGAGTCGGACACTACTCCAAAAGACACCATTCCAGCTTCCCCTTTGGACTTGAACTTTCTTCACGGGACATTGATTGAGTATCGCTGTCATCAAGGTTACGACATCAGCCGCCACACCAGGCTGGTATGTCAGGAAGATGGGGGCTGGAACGGAACGGCCCCATCGTGTGTCCCAACTGAGTGCGAATTACCATCCAGTCCACAGCATGGCTCCATTAATGTAACTTATGCTCCTGTTGGCAGTGTGGTTAGCTATTCTTGTGAGGAAGGTTATGAGCTGGTGGGAGAGCCTGTAAGACAGTGTGTGTCTGGTCGACTTTGGACCGGTGATGAGCCAATATGTCAACCTGTATCCTGTGGTGATCCTGGTGTTGTTGCTAACTGTTTGACTCATGGGAGGGATTTTGTGTACCCTGAAGTTCTGCACTTCGAATGTCATCCTGGATTTTCCCTAAAGGGAACGGACACCATTGCCTGCCAGGCAGATGGAAACTGGAACGGTCAAACGCCACACTGTGAGCCGGTGTCCTGCGGTCCCCCAACAGTACCTAGTGACATCACTGTTCAAGGGAAAGAGTACACCTATAATAAGGAAATTGAACTGAGGTGTCAGCCTGGCTTTATCTTAAAAGGAACATCTAAAAGTGTTTGCCAGGCTGATGGTACTTGGAGCCATGCCTACCTTTCTTGTGTACCAGCTCGTTGTGGGAGGCCATCTCCTATACCCCATGGTCGTGTGCTAGGGTCAGAAACTGGTTTCAACAACAAACTGAAGTATGAATGTGATGAAGGATACAAGCTTACTGGAGATCCCACAGTTGTTTGCCAGTCAGATGGACTGTGGGACAAACCCCCACCGCGTTGTCACATTATTAGCTGCGACCCACCTGAGGACATTAGTCACGGCTTTGTGAATGGCTCAGGGTTCAACTTCAACAACGTGGTGGAGTACATCTGTTTTGAAGGATACGAGGTAGTTGGCGATCCCATCCTGCGGTGCTCAGCTCAGGGACTCTGGGTGGGCTCTGTTCCTCAGTGCCAACCTTGTGCCTGTTCACCGCCCGAGGTTCGGTTTGGAATGGTCACAGGCCCTGGCCAAGCCTGCGGAGACCGAGTTCAGTTCAGCTGTGATCAGGGCTACAAACTGCTAGGTCCCTCTGAGGCAGTGTGTGAGAAGGGAGGCGTGTGGAGCCCCGGGGTGCCAGTGTGTGGTAGGGGGAGGTGCAGCATTGCCCCGCCTGTAGTTCCCAATGCAGTACTACAGGGTGGCACAACTACCTTTCCAGAAACAGTCATGTACATGTGTCGTCCCGGCTACCTGCTGAAAGGATCCTCGCTCCTCTCCTGTGGAAGAGATGGCAGATGGGGGGAACCCAGAATCCGCTGTGAGCCTGTGAACTGTGGAAAGCCACCTGCAGTAGCCCATGGTCAAGTGGTGGGAGACATCTTCACCTTTCCCAACCAGGTCACATACAGGTAAATACTCACCCTACTTCTGCAATATATATTAAAATCTTTTGTCATGCTCATCAAAACAACATTGTCTTGTTTTATGAGCTGAATGTTTTGTTATACTCCTTGGAGGTAACCGTCTCACCTCTGTTTTTCTAATTGACATCAGACATATTCTTTCGTATTTTATATTTCCTGATCTCCAGATGTGAGGATGGATACAAATTGGCAACAAGTAGAGCCTCTCTTTCCTGTCAGAGTGATGGCACCTGGTCCAAACACAGCATTCAGTGCCTTCCTGCCCCTTGTCTGTTACCCACCAACGTCTCCATCCCCCACCTGCAAATCAATGGGAGAGAGCTCACTCCTGTTGGCGGCACGATCACCCTCTCATGTCCTACTGGTTTCTACCTGCAGGGGTCAGCACTAGCAGAGTGTCAGGTACTGATGGGCTTTTCTTCCTCGTTTAAAACCAAATTATAGCTTCAAATACCCAATTTTTTGCATACATTTAAATATGTGTATTTTTGGAGATGATTCTATGGTTATGTAACCATTCTTTCTATCAATTAATGTTATGTTTTACACAAAGCTATGTTGTTTGTGTTTTGTGGTTAGGTTGGAGGAAGCTGGTCTCCGAGCATCATCTCGGTTTCATGTGAGGTGGTGACGTGTGAGAAACCGTCTCCTCTTCTTCACGGTGTCATGGAGGGCGACAGCTACACCTATGGAGACTTTGTGCTGTACTCCTGTCTGCCTGGCTTTGATCTGAAGGTGATCATCAAACCAAAGCTCACCTGTTAAGCCCCAACAACTGGAAAGATCAAAAGAAAAAAAGAGAGACAGAAATTTGCATCTAATTTAGAAAACCAAAATCCTTCCAAAAGACCTGCCACGCTCCTGCTACCATGAACATAGGAATAGTTTGTGAAATATAAATAAAAACACAAAACATATGTGTTTTTTTTGTTTGTTTTAACATTTGAGGTTTGATCCAAATAACTATAGAATTTGAATGATTTCATTGGTGTGCACAGGTCCAGGGCTACTTTTAAAGTGCTGTGTCAGACCATTAACCATCTGCACACTCAGATCTATTGGGAAAGAATCAGATTACAGTACGTCACATGATTTACCCTCAGCTGTTAGTGGTGCAGGAAGAACTGCCTCTTTTTCCTGACACAGACATCTCCTGCAGGTCAGTCTGAGCACGCACTAGGGTCCATCTACTGATTTTGCTTTATTTGTGTTTAAAACACAAATATTTAAACACATTTCATAACTAAAAATGTTTCAGCTAGCAAATGTTTGAGCTTCCTTCTGTTAAATTATTACTTCCTATAGAACCACAGTACAGGTAGACATTGCAAAGTGTATCTGCATTTCTAAATTATGATATGTGTTTCATTATTCCCACAAATGTTTTAATAGCATGTATTTACTTCATAAACACTGTTAAACAGTCACAGTTTAGACACTGTCTTTATCCTTCTAATTGATGTTTTATATGAGAGTTGCGTAACATTTTTAACAGAGTTTATTAAAACCACCTGGGGTTATTCATTTGTGGCATTTCCTGACCAATCTTACTGTTATTAACAGGTTTGTTGTCTAAAATTCAGCAGGTTTAAAGCAAAACTAGCTCGTTTTACTAGCTGCTGGTTTCATAAATTTATTTTTACTTCCTGGTGAACCTGGTTATTTTTTCTGGTCTGGAGCAAAGGTGGGTCTCAGGATACAAACACAGTGGTTTGGTGTTAGTCTGGAAATATATAGAACTATAGAGAACTAGTGCTAAGCAGGTATTAGCATTTGAACCAGTTTAGTTGCAAAAATATATATTTAAATTCTTTCAAGCGGGCAAGCAAATTTCTTCAACATTATGCAGCAATATGTAAAGTAAAATAGTGTTTCTATAAAGTATTAAAAGGTGATTGTGGATTTGAAACATGGATATCAGCTTGCTCTGTTTTTCTGTTTCACTATTTTACCTCAGGGAGACTCTGTCCAGACGTGCCAAGGAGATGGAACATGGAGCGGCACGCAGCCAGTGTGTGTTGGTGAGTTTATGTGCAAGTATTTGGAAAAGTGCAGGTCACCATTTCACTATTTCATGTTTTCATTTCAAAGCGTCGACAGAGAGTACGTGCTTTTCTGTGCTCTATACATAGTCACCTGCAAGGAAAGGTTTTTACATTTCTCCAATAAAAATGATCAGCCAGAGTTTATTTAGTTACTGTGTCATATTTTACGTCAACTGGTCTAAGCGGTGACCAGAGTTAAAATGGGAACAGTGTAAACACTTGCCTTAAATTACACCAGAGTTAAAGAAAAATAACTAACTACAAAGAAAAGCAAATTCATATGCAAAACTCTAAGGACAGGGGACAAAATTATTTGCTGAGAAATACAAAGGGACAAAATGGAAACACACAAGTATGAAACGGAGGACGTTTAAAATAGCAAATTTTGAATAATGGAGACAATATGTTACTTAAATACTGTAGTAAATGTCAATTACTGCTACAGTTTTCCGCAAAATATAAATGAGAAAAAAAAAGAGATAAATGAATTACTTGTGTTTTTAGGAAAGCTGCACCGTGCTCTAAAACCCGTTGTTCTCACGCTGCAGCGATATGTTTAAAACAGCCTCTCAATAATGAAATATGTGAATAATTTTGAGTCCCCACCATGACCTTTGACATCTGCTCTTACGTGTCTGCAGCCTCAGTACGTTCCTGTGGGCCTCCACCTTTTGTGAAAAATGCTCAGATCCAAACAGGAGGGGCTAACCCACAAAACGTCACTTACGTTTGCAATGAGGGGCAGCAGCTGGATGGCCCAAAAATGCTCACCTGTCTGGCTAATGGCACCTGGAGCATGCCACCACCTACGTGTGCAGGTATGGAGGGCAAGCTTTGAGTTTTAATATGTGGTTTACTATCAAAGTCCTAACATTTTCTTATTTCGATTATACGTGTACTTCCTGTCGCTGTCAACCAGAGGTCAGAGGTTGCGACAGTCCCAAACAGGTGCTTCATGGTAGAGTGCAGGAGCACAACCTAGGTTCTGGACGCGCTTTGGAGTTCCTGTGTGATCGTGGCTACAGCCTGGTGGGAGACGGCCTGGTGATGTGCATGGGAGGAAACACCTGGAGTTCAACTTTCCCCATCTGTCAAGGTGGGAAATGATTTTCTCAACACGTACGCACTCATAAAGAAAGCAAAGTTTTTTACAAAATTGTTTTCCTGGCTGCTAGTGTCAGTCATAATTGTGACACTTTTTTAGGGGGCTGTTCTTTGAACAAAATGCCCATGAAATCAGCAAAACCACAGCAGCTGAAATTGTCTTTACACAACGGAGACAAATTCCAGTATAAATAAAAAGTGTCCTGATCCACTTTTAAAATACCAGGGTTTTGTGGTCTAAAACAAAAACCAAGCTGGTTAATCATTTAAACCTTTAATGAGAGATGAAGATATAAAAACGTACATTTGCGGGTGTGGACACCCTTACACAAATACTTTGTTCAACCAAAACATAAAATTTACTTTCATGTTTCCCGATTTCAAACTTGACTGAGTGAACCCGCAAATAAGATGAATAGCAAAAAAACGTGTTTCTCCTCTCCTCATGAAAAGAAGACACAAACTGGTCAGGCAGGATATTTCGGGTTAAAATAGCAACACCAAAAAAGCTGCATGAATTTCTGACATGTAGTTTGTTCGCTACGTGAAACAATGTAGGTGACAAACCTGTTCTCTTCAGATGAAGAAGATTAAATATTCCTCCAAAGAAAACATCTCATTACATTTTAAGCAATGTGTTCTGGTTCATTGGGATAAAACTTAAACTTCTGAGCCACAGAAAACCATCCACACAGCAAAACGTGTGCATGGTTTTGTCATTTTCTTTAGCTGGAATAAAGACTTTTTGTCTTGGTAGATAGAATTGCCACGTGTCTGCGACGAAGTCGAAGATGAAGAGGAATTTTGTGTCTCGCCATCTTGGAGAGTTCAAGCATACTTTCACGTCACCATTATAATGATTTCTCCAAAAACATTGATCAAATTTTGGAAACAGAGTCACATGCTTCACCTGCAGAGATCTGTGAGCGCGTTATTTCCACGCATTGTAAAAGATTTGGAGAACTTTAGCAAAATAACAGCCTGCTGACAGAATGCAAATAAATCAAATAACACTTCAAGAAAGAGACAGCAGTTTAGTTGACTATTTTTCTCATGCAGGTTATTGAAGTTGATTGATTTTTACAGATTTTCCTCTGTTTTTCAGATACATTGTATCAGATTAAAAGAGAAAGATGTTTTGTGAGAACTGGTAAAAAAAATAAACTTGGATTTGATAGGAGTGTGTATGACTTTGTATTTGAAGTGAATATTTATGTTCGCAAGTTATTTTAAGTTTGCTATTCATCCTCCTTTTGGCTTTTAGCAAAAAATTTAATATAATGTGGACAGCTTAACAAAAATCTAAAAATATCTGTTCGTTTTTTGAGGCAAATACCTTTAAAAATTTGTTGTTGTTTTTTTCTTGACGAAATAAAAAAATAAATCTTTTGGTGTTTGTCCCTCACAGCGAAGTCTTGCCCACCTCCCCCTTGGTGGATCAAACACACCAACAGCGACGGATCCCAGCCAGAGTTTCACGTCGGGCAGTCAGTCCGTGCTTCCTGCCCCAAGGGGCAGCAGGTCAAAGGCGGTGGCACCATCACCTGCAGGCCAGACCAGACCTGGACCCCCCTCAGTTCAGTTTGTGAAAGTAGGTCGCACCTTTCGACCCAAGAGACTCTGCATGGCATTTAGACAGACTTGTACTGATTTAGTTTTTACTTTTACTGTAATAGTTACATAATATTTCAGTCGTGACAAAAATCAGCAGAAATTATCGCCATTTTGACATTGGACTGAACCGCCAGATGGTTTTATCGTCTGCAGCAGCTTTTTAAAATCGAGGCAAAGTTAAAACGAGGAAATACAGTGAATAGTGTCTTTTTCTTATTACCTTATGAATATATTTTATGAACAGAGTTAACAACCTGGCCTTTGTATCCAACACTAATATTAACATCAAATGCATCTTTTACAAGCTGAGAAATTGGTTGAAGTGAAAATCATCCACAGTGAACAAAACTGTCACCTTGTCAGTTGTTCTACATCTATTTATCGGATTGTCTTACAATTTTAATAATTGGGAATAATCATATCTGTTCTGTTCTTCTTGGACTATTCACTCCCACTTTTTATCTGGCTTTTGTATTCTTATCTAAAATGAGTCCCTATTGAACCTGCATAAACAAATGTGAAATAAAATTAATATTTCAGGTTGAAATTTGAGAAATGTTTCATATTAACCTATTTATGAAACTTGTCCCTGAAACATCGGTGGGAATGTTGCTTTTTTACGATGAGCATGGAAACCAGGCCATGGCGTTAACTCATGTTTGATCAGATATGACTTTATTAGTATATAAGGACATGTTGTTGATGATAATAAAGTGAACAGCAGAAATACCTCTGAGCACTGCATGCTCTCCTCTTGCACCAGCTGCTTCTCCTCTCTCATGTCGCCGGTTTGTTAAGCTGCCTCTTATTTCTCTCTTTTCATTTTCTTAATCAAAACAAATGACGCTGCATCCAGCTCTGTTTCTTTGTTCTGCTGGCTGAAATGATCACAGGCCCCTCTATGGCAACCTTTGCCCGAATACGGAGCTCAGCCGGTGTTGCTATGAATCCTTGCATGCATTTGCATGACCTTTATTCTCCTGTATGCATGATGCTATCAGCGTCCTTTTGGTCCAAACCGAACAGTCAGAGACGGCTGTAAGAAGTGAGCCGCGTCAAATGTTTGTAGCGTTTAGACGTGTTGCATGAAAATCAAACACAAATGATTCCGAAAACATAATTATCACAAATCTTTTTCTCTGTTTCGTGCACAGTTTGCTTCATGTGATCACGCCGGGGGCCAATTAGCTGTAATCGCACATAACACAAATATTTAACATTATCATTGTGTTGTATTGCAGGATTTCATATTTGCAACATAACTTCCTCAGCGTGTTGAAAACCGAGAGCATAAAAATACCTTAGTGAGTAACTGGTGGCTGTTGTCCAGGGGTGTCCTGTGGCCCCCCACTCCACGTGGCCAACGGGTTGGTGCGGGGGGCGGTGTTCCAGTTCGGGGACGTGGCGGTGTACTCGTGTTTCAGCGGCTACACCATGGAGGGCGTTGACAGGAGCAGGTGTCAGGAAAACGGCACCTGGACGCCCCCTCCCACATGCAGAGGTAGAGAGACGAGTGGAGAGTTTCGCTTCCTGTCTGAACGGCATGTAGCTCACTGCAGCTGTTTACTAACCAACCCAAACCAAACCACTGCTTCTCTGCTGCAGGTCTTTTTGATTTTTCCTCTCTGCTTGTCAACGAGGGCGGGGGTTTCTGGAAAGGGAAACTGATTACATTTTAAAGAAGAATAGAAAGAATCGTTCAGGCAGCATGAAACCTATTTATCACTCCAACTGTCTTGCAAACAAAAGCCGAGTCCAGGCAGATTCCTTCATGTGTGTCCTCTCTGTGCCGAGGAAACGAGTCTGTTGCATGTTACCTCTAGCTCCTGTGTGCATGATGTTTCATATTTAAGTCATCCATCACACTCTTCCCAAAAACAAAGAGGTACCTTTCTTTCTTTCTTTCTTTTGCGGGGAATTCCTCGTGCAGTCTCTTCAAACTGAGTCTGACGTTGGTCGGCGTGTGTTTGTGCGTGTCCTCCCTCAGCGAGGTGTTGGCTGCAGTGTCAGAACGGAGGCGTGTGCCAGCGGCCCAACATCTGCGCCTGCCCGGAGGGCTGGATGGGTCGACTCTGTGAGGAGCGTAAGTACATTAAAAAAAATGGGAAAATGTCTTTCCCAAGGACACAACGAAAACAGACAAAGCTAAATTGTATTCTGTGGGGAACTAATTGTGTGTTTTTAAATAAAGTCGTTTCACACATTCATATACATACATGCGCTGGCAGAGCTTTGTGCTGTTCCAGTCGACTCAGCAGCAAAGTAACCCTCCTTTATAAAAGGTCAATGACCTATGCAGGCCCACAGTTCATTGTATAAACGAGCCACGGCTGTGCCATCCTCAGATTCTGCTGATTAACTAATTTCTCAGATCAGGTTTACGTCTACCTCCAGATAAAAGTCATAATATATTCCAATTAATTACGTTTAAAAATCCCTAAAACTGTCCACGCTGTCAAGGTTATTTGTACTATTTTTCTACACCCTTTGTTCAATATGATTAAATGTTGGGTTCATTTAAACGATACAAGTCACACTTCCTCATGCGACGTGTCCTAAAGAACTGCGTTTCAAACTGAGATGGTTTTCAAGAACAGTTTCTGTGTTGGTGGGGCTTCAGATGTTTCATCAAAAGACTCATGGTTGTGATTACATGACACTATCATGCAGTCACAACTATGACTGTATGATTTTAGTCCAGTCATGGTTTTAGTAGCAAACAGTTCTTATCTGCACTTTTATCGCACCACAAAATATTGTCACAAAACTTTGCCTTCTTCGCCCATCAATACCTCCAGACGTACATCAGCAGTGGTGGATATCACTGGATGAAGAACCTTGAAAAGAGTTGAGGTTTACTTCAAAGTCTGATAAAAAGCAGACCTGAATCTTTGATTTTCAGTTCGTGGTTTTGCTTTGTTTGACTTCCAGACTTGTTGACGTACTTCCTGTTTTTATTGCAGCTATCTGCATCCTGCCGTGTCTGAATGGTGGGCACTGCGTGGCACCGTACCAATGCGAGTGTCCCTCTGGGTGGACGGGCACCCGATGTCACACCGGTGAGTTCACGCTTTCCATCTGGGTTAGCAAATTATTCAGGGAACGTTTGTTTCAGTTCACACTCAATAAAGGGTAACTTCTGGACGCCGTTTGTTTCATGGTGGTTTTGTTCCCCTGCTTCTCGCAGCTGTGTGTTCATCGCCGTGTCTGAACGGAGGAAGATGCATCAGGCCGAACAGATGTAGCTGCACGCCTGGTTGGAGCGGACATAACTGCTCCAGGTGATCGGCCGACGTTCAAAACACCGAAGACTCTCAAAAGCAAAACACATTTCTCTGAGTGAAAAACTTCTCTTTTCTCTTGTTCTGTTGGTATGAAGATTTTTGAATTTGAGGTGTATTACTACACACAAGATCCATATCTGTACATGGAGTCATGGCTCCAGACTGCGTACTAAAGCCCTGTACACCCAGAAATGCTTGTAATAAAATGAAGTATTTTAGACACTGAGGACTGGCACCTCTGGGACATTGAGTGTTAAGATTATTAGAAAAATGTGCAGGTGAACTGTGTATGAGTTTATCGCATTTCATGTTATAGAGTAACAAAGTTGTGCATAACTGTAAAATTATGCATTCAATTCGGTTTCTAATTTAAATACATTCACAACTCCAGCATTAGGGGACACAAGACAAAGAAATTAGAGAGTTACGGTAACTTCTGCCACGCATAACCCTCAATAATCTAAAACGTACAGATAAATGAAAGGGATTTAATCGTTCCGGTTTAACGCCTGGTTGTTTGTCGTTGCAGGAAGAGGAAGTCAGTATACTACCACTTCTGAAACCTTCACTCGCCTCCTCATGGAACATCTCATGAAGGGGAACTCTTGTACAAATAACACATGAAAACCATCCACTCATCTCCGCACAGGCAACGCAAGAACCGTTCTGTAAATTAAAGCTGTATTTTTTTTCATATACAGACTCAACAGTATTAAACATTTGCTGCTATTATACTTGTACGATGTGTAAAAACTATTTGATGTCATGTTCCAGTGTATATGTGTAAACTATTCACCTTTTTATTAAAGCATAAAATGCCTCTGAAAACACTTTGGTCATTTTGCATGTAAATAAATGCCTTATTGTTCTTAAATACAATGTTAGAATCATCCTTCAGTTCAACGCAGATATTTACATTTGCATAACAATCGTGTCACTGCCTGGCTTTAAAGCCGACTGAACATTTTCTGTTTTAGCTCATATTTTTATTTGCTAAATTTCTGGACAAGAAGCGAGCTGATATCGTGAAAGGTTTTATGCGTCAGTCAATCAAAACATTTGGCTCATTTCCCATTTCAATTCGACTCAGAACTTGTCTACTTTGATGCACAATTTTAACGTGTTTATAACTGTTTGAACATACTAATGTCTCAACTTCAGGCAGCTGAAAACTCATCAGTTAGGCTTATTCACAAAACTGTTCTTTATATTATCCCACAGTGACACGTTACAGTCACATTAAGAAACTGTTCCACTGGGGTTTGATAACCTATCAAAAGCCTACAAAGCCATGACATCATCAGGGCTCTCCAAAGTTATTTACAAGCAAACTAGTCTAAGCATTTTATTGTAAAGAAAATCATTACATTTGTAAAATATTTCTCTCAAGCAGAAGACGTTTAGTCTGATTTAATGTCAGGCAACGAGAATTCAAGTTTTTCCATTCTGGCTTCCTTTAGTGAGTTTATGCAACTTTATTAACTTTGACTCAGTGGTGAAGCACATTGACGATCTCATCGCTGTTGCTAAAAACTCCAGTGTTGGTTTGACTTCATGAGAATCGTCATTCGACGGTTTGAGTATCATCTCTGAGGAAATCGGCAATAAACTTAAACTGGTGCCGTCAGTGGATTCTGCTGGAAAGTATACCGTTTATTAGGATATTGGCGCGTAGTTTTAAAAGCAGTCCAACTTTTCGTGAACGTCAAGAGTTCAGTATAGAAACTGAAGGCTGGAAGAAATGATCCCGTGATTCATTGAGGTTTGTGTTTTCAATCTGACTATTTTTAGTTGTAGCTATAGGTTTTCCCTTATTCACTCTGTTGGTCTCCTTCCCATCCCTCTGATCAGACTGGGATCAGTTTCACTCCTCCTCACTTCTCTGTATTTCAGCTCTTAGGGTTTCATTGCTCTCTGCTCACTTGCGTCTGTAATGGATGCTGCATCTCTTGCTCTCCTTATGGCAAATTTGTTTTATTTGTTGCGATTTTTTTAAAACATTTTTTAATTACACTTCTCTCGCTCCTCAAATATGCACCTATGTTCTTCCATGCAGCAAACATGAGGAACATTGCACAGCTATAAATCATTAGACACATATTGGCTACTTATACAATAAAGAAATTCCACCTTTTTTAAAGTACTTCTAAATATATATATTTTTGTTTTATAAAACGTGAATCTGTTTCATTTATCAAGAGAAAAATGATTTCCAAACAAACCTGGCCCTAAGTTATCAGTCCTCATAAACCGAATACACACATTAAATGCATCTCTGACTTCATTTCCTGTCTGTATGGTACAACACTTCTACTTCAACCTGACTCCTTAAATTCCGTCATTGCTTCATTGCTGTCGGCACAAATACCTTTAATTTAAGTGATTTGAAATCAAATAAGAAGCACAGCTTATGGGAACGTCTCTCTTTGAAGCATAAATGCATAATTTCAGCTACAGCTTTAGTCTAGAGTGGCTCAGGCTGGAGAACCACGTCACAACATGACGGCGAAACGCTGTCGGAGCAGCGGCAAACATCAAAATGAATCGGAGCACAGCACAGCTCCATCACATATTTATGAAGAATATTCGGTGCTCAAGGTCTGCAAAACAATTGCAACACACATTAAGGCATTGAGACAAGCTGACGGCCCAGCTTTGAATGGTTCGACCTGTAGCCCACAGGGAGGCTCTGCACAGGACGAAAGATGAACGACTCAGAAATTCTTCCCGAAAGTCATTACCAGTCCTTCAAAGTCTTAAATTTATATATCTAAAAATGAGGCCATTTTTAAAAACGCAAGTTGACCTTATATGTCAATCACAACTCCTGAAGTATGTCGGTGGCACTATTTAATCTGTTATATTCTCTGTAGTCATTTGGGTTTATTGTATATAATAATATTTTTCCTCTCGTCAAACTTCTCTGCCAGGCTTCAGTTTGAGCCTCCTGCATCGTCATTGCATAACTCCCATCCGTTGGCATGAAAACTCGTTACTGTTTCACAGCTCTGGCTCCATCGTGGCTCTTGGCCACATACTGACTTTCAGATGAGAGACAGTAACTTAATGAGCACAAACAACTCGTACCAGTCAGATGTTTTTAGGCCGCACCTTAGATTGTCTTGCTGATTGAGAGATTGCCAAATGACCAGTTTAGCAGGTTCTTCTGCCAGGATCCCTTCTCCTGAATACTTCTACCTTCAATATTCTAGCAAGTGTTACTCGTGTTGCAAAAACGTGTTAATACATGTCGACTGATTATGCCGTCAGTGATTTTGGTCAAAACAATTATTTCTTAACACTGGATTTTTCTTTTGTAGCCTCTGACTCTGAGTCATTTGCAGATTTTTTTACTTTCTATTGCCAGTGCTGTGTATGTGTTGTCAATAGATTAAAATGTTGCCTTTTATGTCAGCCCCTGTTTTCTGGACAACAGCAGCACACTCTGGGCAAACAGCCAGCAGCCACATCAGAGAAAACCACGTGATTTCACTGCAGCAGTCACTAGATGTGTGTTTTCACAAAGAGCTGAGTCGACTCTCCTGATGCTAACACACTCTGCATTCGCAGTGTGTGTTGCAAAAACACAATTCCAGGTAAAATACAGAAGTCTGGTTGAAACAATGAAGCATTCAAGCAGTTTGAATTTGCTTACATCATAAACGCAATCCCTGTCACTGCAACGTTACCAAACAGGAAAAGAAACTGAATGTCAAGAGAGAAGTCATGCAAACCTCTACGATCCGACTTCCAACTGAAGTCGGATCGTATTCTGTGATGATGGCCTTTTCACAAACATCCAGGTGACGCAGAACCCGGATCTGGTCGCCTCTTCAGTTTCTCAATCAGTTTCCCAACACAGACAGCAACATGCAGCTGGTTTCATCATCCACAGCCTAAAGCCTGCCCAACAGAGGCGCCAGTGTTTTTTTTTTTTTTTCCTTGAACTCTTTTTAGAAACATTTACGCAGAATAAATAACTATCATTTTGAAATATATTATTCACCTTCCTTTATCTTTGACTCTTTTTTTATTTTTAGTTTAAGAGTTCAAAGGTTTAGTGGAACAAACTACTCCCTTTATTTTTTCAGTAGAGATTGAAGAGAGAAAGTATCATCATCATCATCATCATCATCATCGAGTTTAAGCATGTGTACAATAGCAGGAGTTTTAGCTGGACTTGACGTCAAGAAGGAAAAACACCATCGATGACATCAGAGCACAATTTATCCGGCAATGTTTGCGAGGCTATGTATTATAATGATTTGACTATTTATTGCCAAGCAGACAATACAGCCAAAGTGGAAAACTTACATTAATGTAAAAATTTAAGTAAACTGCATTACTGGAAAACACAAGAATGTCACAGAAAGGTACTGGATTGGCAATATCTGCTGAGCATTGACATGGTCAGCTGCTGATTTCTTTATTTGCTGTGAAAATAACTTACAGGTAAATGTGACGCTAAGTGGGACAGTTATCACAGGGTTTTAAGATATGTAATTTCTTTCTGTTTAATAATTTGAAACTTTTAGAATCATCTTTATCACTGAAATTTAACGGCTACATTTACTTCATAAGAGAGGCACACTTTGAGCAGTCTAGTTGTTAGTTTTTCTCTCTAATGTTGATAATAGCTGAGTACAACTGAAAATCTATCTTGCCTTATCGGTCTCACTGTCAGTTTGCTTTAATCGGTTTCAGTGAAGCTGCATCAAACGCTGCGACTGTGTCCTGAGTCCCGGACTAATTACAGGCCCCCTCTGCAGGAAACCTTTGTCTGACATACTTTGATCTTTAAGCGCAGCGGTCCTGAATATGCAGCTCAGCGGTGCCGGCGTTGCTGTGGTTCCTTGCATGTATTTGCTCGGCCTTTGTTCTCTTCTGCGCATGTTCATCTGTGTCAAGTCGACCTGGACACAGATAGACATGCGCAGAAGCGATCTCAAGCGATGGGGAGTTTCCTCTTTGCTTTTTGTGGTTTTGTTGTTGTCATGAGGTCACGACCCTCAGCCTGCACTGAAGATGTTTGTCGCCACGTTTGAAGTCCGCCCGGTTCGGTCAGTTCCTTTGGTCTTTATTGTTTGCATTTTTAACATTTTTTTCACTATTGTTGGAAGCGATAAACACTGAAGGAAACAATGCAGTGTGTTTGTGTCGTGTTTGGATCGATCAGCAGGACTACTACTGCCTCAGCTCTTGGATTTTTTCCCTCAGTTGACTCTCGTCAGCACCAGAAAATTCATGCACCTGAAAGACAGAAGAGAAGAACTTTTACCATCCATGAAACGACACACTTCCATCGTCTGCAATAAGTTGGTTGCTGAAAAGAAGTAATTAGAAATGAACAGGAATTCCCTGAGCTTTAGAGCATTTTAAGAACTACTTGCAGATTAGTGAACTAAAGTCTAAATTCAGCAGCAGGATAGTACACATCTAATTTAATGTTTCACATTCACTCACCCAGATCCAAAACAATTCCGGATCTGGATCTGGAAGCTGTGATTGCGTTGAGCTGTTGTTATCTCAGTAAATGAAAAGCTTCATCAAGATTAGTTATTTAAAAGAGAACAAAAAGGAAGGAAAATGAGAAAATATTATCACCAGCTGCATCTTTCTAAATGTACAGACTAGATCAATGTAAGGAAATGTGGGGATCGCAGTCACAACAATTTAAATGTTGGCCTCATCAAAACACCTCAGAATTAAATTTTGCCTTTACTGGTTTATTTTGCTTGTAAAATATGGATAAATATACTATCTTCATGTGTCGTACACATACTGGAATTTTATCTTTTTCCAGTATGTAAAAAGATAAAAAATTTTTACATACTCCTCCAAATGACTCCTCCACCTCAGTCATTTGAAAACTGGAAAAACTAAGATAAAGAAAGATTAACTGGTCTGCTTTTAAATGGTTTTTTTGGAGAAAACACATCTGAAAATATTTTTTGATGTTGGTATCAGTTTGAGGCTTTGTGCAGACCACCTGATTGGTTGAGCCTTCCCTGTTCATCGTTTACAGAAAACGAATGAATCAATCAATCACCAGGAACAGCATTTAGCCACCTACTCAGTTGTCAAACTGTATTTAAAGATTTCCACCTTTACCTCCCTGTCTGACTCTTTATTTGAAGCTAATTTTTCACCCTGGTCATCAGATTTGGCTGTAGTGCCAGCAGTGTTGCGAAAGATGTCAGGATTTTAACTTACAAAGGATTTAATCGATATGTTGAGGAAAAATTTAAACCATGTTACGTTTTAGCATCTGGAGCACCATGTCTGAGATATTGCTACGTGTACTTTGTGTGAATGTGACACTAAATCCCTTGAGACGACGTCTTCACTACTTACTTTGCTTCCATTTTTGTAGAAATGGAATGTCGGCATGCTACTGATTCCACAGTGCTTTCTCACATCCTGAAAACAAAGAAGCTCAAACAATTAATGGACCAAACTTTCGGAATGGGTTTCAGCTGAGGCTCATCCGAAACTGAAGAATAAACCATCAGGTCAAAATACGAATTAGAGACATCCCACAGACTCGGTCAGTCATACAGACGGACACTTTAATCCTCTACTATGAAGTGCATCTTTATAAACAAACAGTTTGAAAAACTTACTTTAGCGTCATCCACATCCACCTTGAAGAAAATCACATCTTTGTTTGCAGAATCCTCTGCCAGTTTCTACAAAAGCATGAATTGTGCATTAGAAAAACGTATGGCAAGTTAGTGCAAGAGCAATAACAAAAGATACTGTCTCAATTGGTTGAACTTTTCGCCTATGCAAGCTATTTAACGATCATTCCAGAATGTGCTTCTCTCGTAGGGATAAGGCGAAAATGTTTTTCACTTTCCGCTAACATTCTGAGACCCAAACATCTGCTTACTTCAAATAATGGAGCTATCGTTTGGCAGGGACTGCACCACGAAGCTATGAAGTCCACCACCACCAGTTTGCTTCCTGCTTCAGACAGGATTTTCTTAAACTCTTCCTACGAATCAGAATGCACAAGCAACAACATATTTTTTGTTTGTTTTCCATCTGACGGAATCCCACAATCCATTTGCTTCCCCACTGTCCAACCGTGACATCTGCCGGGGTCCTACTGAGCGTTTAGATCGCGGCAACGTTAAACACTGGAGCTCAGGTTACACAACTTCACTTATTGTGACACAAATGTTAAGAAAACAGCTTGATTTTTATGCCCAAACCTAACCGGGTCAAATAAGGTCACAAGTCATTTCAAATCACATGGAGTTGATTTGAAGAGTCCCAACTTTATCAAAATAATAACTTTTGATAGCTTGAAAGAGAGAGGCCCAGAAACCAGTCTATAGAAAGAAACTATAAACTGGTTCCATATTGTGGGCCAGTGCCCTCTGTAAATTAGTCAAAAATCCTTGACTCAAAGGTGAAACCTCCAAAAAGTGACATAAAAATTATGAACTTACCAAAGTTTCCACGATTTTAACCATGATTACTGCTTAGAGACGGCAGGCAACCACTGGGAACTGAATGTTCATAATCAGGGTACAAAACGCCTGATTATGAACATTTTTAAGTCAGACCTGCATAATTTGAACACACCTTGAATACAGGTTTGTCTAAATTCAAAGGTTACGGCAAGCTATTTCAGTATTTAATCAACAGCGGCTTCTACCTGTAACTTCTATGTTAGACTGCAATGACATAATTTATTATCTTCCAATTAGTATAGACAGACAAAATAAAAAATGAAAGCTAAAAACATGAGTATTATTACAACTAGAAATTATATTTTAGAACAGGAGTGTCAAACTCATTTTCATTTTGTGCCATATCAAAAATCTGAATGTTCTTAAGGGCCAGTTGTGCCAGAATATTTTTGATAAAACCAAATAAACAGTTAAAAATATCAATAAATTCCTGTTAAGCAGGAATTTTGTGATTTAGTTTTTTTTTTTTTTTTTTTGTCAGGTTTTTTTTTCAATCAAAATTGCAGATTTTGTGGCGCCAAAGGGGAGGAGCTTAGGTCTCTTGGGAGTCTCGCGCAGGAATCTCGTGTGTTTGCGCACTTGGTGATTAATCGGTGTGATTTTCGGCGCGTAGAGCGACAGCGAAAAGCGCCCGCGCTGATCAGCCGTTGGCTCGATTCGCAAATAAACACTCACAGTCTTCCTCAAACAATTAACAATTCTTAACTTTTGCTCAAATATCAGGCTGTTTTAGCTTAGCGCACTTCTCCTGTACAAGACAACTAATAGAAATAGTTTATATTTACCTGTTAGCAACAGTGAGCTAACCAGCCGTTAGTCTCTGCGCTCAGTAGCGGTTAGCTCGTCGAGTCAGGAGCGCTCACTGTGTTCTATACGCCCACTGGTGGCGAACTGCCGTAACAACAACTTAATGCCCCTGAATCCGAGTAGAAATACAGCTTAAAAATAATTTTTGTTGTCAAATCGAAGTCTTCAATTAAAGTAAGAAAAGAGTGGGGTGAACTTCTTTTCAAAAGTCTATTCTGTCGCTTAAGCTAAGGATACCTGGGGGCGTCCAGTGTCCCAGTGGTTAGAACGGGAGCCCCGCGTCCAGAGGCAACAGACCTCATCGTGTCTCCCCTATTTGATTACTGTTAAAGGCTACTGGTGCCAAAAGCATTCTTCAAGAAAGACAAAAGGCTACCAGAATAACGTGTGGCGTGATGTAGGGCTCTTTTTCGTCTGTCCAACTGATCAGCGTCAGCGTGAGCACTGACGCTTCCAACCTGGTGGCTCCAGGACAACATCTGACTTGTGAGCTTGAACGCAGAATGCAAGTGGAGCTGCATTTTGATCTGACAGAGGTCATCTCTGCATGTCGCTTCATCCCGCTGGTCCTTTGAAAGGGTTCAGGTGGGTTGGGCATTTGAGGGACTGACACAAAGTAGAGTCCATTTGGTGAACGAGCCAGTCTTGGTGAGGTTTTGCAGTTTTGCCATCTCTCCCATCTTCAGATGAACCGTGACGGTTCTTTCTTGGCCTTTGTAATGGTGGTTCTCCAGCAAACCTCTGAGGCTTTAATAGAACAGCTGAATTTATATGAGATCAAATTACACACCGCCGGACTCCGTTTTGACTTCTCAAGGCAGTGGAGCCCGATGTCTAGAGTACAAAACCCTAGACATCAGGCTTTGCCTGGAGTATCAGAGTAAAGGGGGCTGAGTATAAATTTACCCTATGTTTTTTTGTTTTGTTTGTATTTTTAATTAAATAAATTAATTTATTTAATACTATTTATTTAATAGTGTTGTGGAATCTGTTCCACAACACTAAAATACACTTTGTGTTTCCCAAACACATAAAATCCCCAAACAGTACATTGAAGTTTTTAACATGTAAAATTTGATTTGAGGCGTATCAGTGCTTTTGTGAAGCCTATAGTACCTAGCCTAGTACCTAGTACCTGCATATGTTGACACCCGCAATAGCTAACTATTGAAACATCAAAGCCTTGTATGAGAGGAGAAGAGAAGATTCTTCTAGTCCCTTGTGGTTTAACTGTAAACCACAAAGCATAAATCAAGACCGAGTTTTCTCTAAACCCTTGTCACTTGCCTGCAGTTCTAAAGTAGGAATGTGTTTGCAAGAGACAGCACGTCCTAGAGGCTCTTCCAAAGAAATCTGGAAGAATCTGATTCCTGATCTTCCACCCACACTGAGAACTCTGTGTGGGTGGAAGAAATTTTTGAGATTTTTTCTCAATCAATGTGAGTGGCTCCTTTGGACTGTGGCCAAGTCTGTATAAAGTTGCATAAAACTCATGTTCATATTTCTGATATTAACTCATCTGGCAAGAAGTATTGCACTTTTCTACAATGTTACCTGATTTTTTTAGATGTACCTAGTAGATGCCAAACACAGGAGTGTGTAAAAGTCTGGCACTGGGGACATTTTGGCCCTTGGAATAATACGGGCACGATAGAAAGTTGGCCTTCTCGAACCTGTAGCTTATGGAGATGCAGATGTTTTAGATTTTCTCTGATAAAAATAAAACAATTTAGAACCGACACAGAGTATGTGTATTTAATTAATGCCTTTTTTGTTTCTTTTTCAATTTAAAATTGTAAGGAGGTTTTTTATTCGTTCGCAGACTTATTTATCCATTAAACTTGGCAAAGTACAATAAGCATTTTTGAAAAGTGACCCATATATAAAAACAGCATTTTTGTTTTCCTTTTGTATTTTGGTTGATTTAAAAATCACTTTCTAATAAAGATCAGATTGCCTAGTTTAATAAAGTAATTAAACTAAGTATTTAATTTAATTACAGTTTATTATTTTATGTTAAAAATAAAACCAAAACATCACAGTAACATTGTTCTTGCACTTTTGTCTAAGAAAACTAAATTCTTGTGGTCTTTCTGAGACTCCTTAGAACTGGTGCAAATGCAGTACGGTAGTCAAGCTATGGAATATAAAATTTCCTAAATTACTTCTGTCCAAAATATTGTGTTTATTGCACAACAGAAAATCTTAAAATGTCTGTTCTTCAGTTTTTACTGTGTACATTTTTTAAAATTTTTAGTATTTTTGAAAGCAATAAATATTTGTCCAGCCATGGTGGAAAAGAAACACACTAGTTCTGGTAGGTTGTTCTACTTTTCTTCACATCTACAGAAGTTGTTGAAGTTAAATATACTTTTATATTTTTAAATATACTTCTATATACTTAAATGAAATGCTGCAAACAGTTTTTCATCATTTATTAAATCCACGGTTTTGAAAACATTCAGATCATTTTAGGATCAAAGCTCACTTATGACACTAATCGGGTTCAAATCTAGTTGATGCCCATTATTATCCACGCAAACACTGAAGGAAACAGCGCAGTGTGTTTGTGTCGTGTTTGGATTGGTCAGCAGGACTTCTACCTCAGCTCTTTGATTTTTTCTTCTAGTTTTTTCTGGTTAGCACCAGAAAATTCATGCACCTGAAAGACAGAAAAGCAGAACTTTTACCATCCATGAGACGACACACCTCCATCGTCTGCAACATTTTCATGTCTATTTGATAGAATTAAATTAATAACTTATATCTGTAATAAGAGCAAGATGTGGAGGTTTTGGAAGACTGAGATGGAGAAGTCTTCTTTGCCCCTCTCTCCGCTCTTTTGAGTGTACAAATCTTGAATTGTCTTTCTCCTTTTTTCCAGTGTGTGAGAACATCCAGGTGAATAAACCTAACACTATTCTTCTAAGTTGGCTGCTGAAAATAAATGAGAAATTTCCTGAACTCAGTGAAGTTGGGAGCTTCAGAACATTTTAAGAACTGCTCGCAGATAAGTGAACTTAAATGTAGATCATAGAGTGCTGCACACACACCTTTCAGCACGTGTGTGTGTGTGTGGCCACTCCTTTCTGTGCTGCTGACAGATGTCTGGAGAACATCATGCATAAATTAGACAAGACTTAAAGATATAAAAGGCTACGGCTGATTGGAAGAAGTGCATGGGGGAGTAAGCCCCTCTATCAATATTGTTGACGTCTAATCCCAAGATTTTTTTGCATTGGACAATTTGGTTTGCTTGACTCTTACGGCATCTTATGAGTGCGGCAGATGAGTTAGATCTTCATTGTTCTGTCTTTTTACTGGATTGTTTCAGAATCAGACGTTCATCCATCCCATATTTTTTTATATCCCTTGTGACGTAGACTTCACTGAGTACTTGTACTTACCAACTTTCCATTTCTGTAGAAATGGAATGTCGGCATGGCTTGGATTTCGCACTTCTGAGCCACATCCTGAAAACAAATAAGGAAACTCAAACAATTAATGGACCAATCAGCGGAAACTTCACAAATGGGTTCAACTTTAGCTCATCAGAAACTGAAGAATAAACCATCAGGTCAAAAATATGAGTATGAAGAGACATCCCACAGACTCAAACACTGTGATGTTTGCCCATGCAATAAGGTGGGTCCATTTGCATTTGTATGTCATGGACCTAAATACCAAACAAAGCTGTGAGGCGAGTATAAGATGGGAGTGTAGAATTCACACTGCCATCAACACAGCCAGAAAATCTTAAATTAGAGCTCGTTTTCTGATTTTTGCAATATAATCAGCAATTTATTTGGCAGTACAGAAGAAAACAATTAGAAAGAATTTTATCCACTGATTTCCAGTCACAATTTATTTTTATTAACTATAACATTTAGCCACAAACCATATCCTGACATTTTCAAGCATAATTTATTGTTTATTTATTGTTTGTTAGACAATATGAAAAATTATACTTACTGCAGCCTCATCCACATCCACCTTAAAGAAAATTACATCTTTGTTTGCAGAATCCGCTGCCAGTTTCTACAAAAGAATAGATTGTAACTTAGAAAAACTTACGTGCAGCAAGTTAGTGCAAGAGCAATAACAGAAGATATTGTCTCAATTGGTTGAACTTTTCCTTTTTGCAAGTTATCTAAATGGATCATGCCAGAATTTGTTTTTTTGTAGCTGTAATACAAAAATGTTTTTCACTTTCTGCAAACATTCTGAGCCCCAACCATCTACTTACTTCAAAAATTGGAGCTATCATTCTGCAGGGACTGCACCACGAAGCTGTGAAGTCCACCACCACCAGTTTGTTTCCTGCTTCAGACAGGATGCTGTTGAACTCTTCCTACAAATCAGAATGCACAAGCAACAACATATTGAAAATCCTTAACAGATTGGATCTTGTCTGCTTTTACGAGGTGTTTTGATTTCAGGGAAAACACCGGAAAACCCTGCTGTCCAACCGTGACATCGCCCAGAGACCGTGTCAGGGTTAAATACTTGTGCTCGGGTTACACAACTTGACTCGTTGTGACACAAATGTGAAGAAAACATCTTAGTTTTTGAGAGCAAACTTGACCAGGACAAACAAAATCACAGGTCATTTAAAATCACATGGAGTTGATTTGAAGAGTCTCAAATTTTCCAAAATTACAACTTTTGATAGCCTGAAAGAGAGAGGCCCAGAAACCAGTTTATAGTAAGGAGCTATAAACTGGTTCCATGTTGTGGGCCAATGCCCTTTGTAAATTAACTGCAATAATACAATTTATTATAATTACAATTATAATAAATTGTAATTATAATTACAAATTATTGTAATTATAATTACAATAAAACGCCTAATTATGAATAAGTCATTTGAACACACCTTAAAGGTGTGTCTAAATTCAGGTAATGGCAAGATGTTTTAGCATTTAATCAACAATCACTCCTATTTGTAACTCTTATATTAAACTGCAATAACACAATTTATTATTGTAGTATTAACAGGCAAAATGCAAAGTAAGGCATGAATATTATTACTACTAGCTTACTGTGTGGACAAGCCAAAGGAGACTGCTGATGTTAAAGTAAGCAGATGTAATTTGAAATAGGAATTTCCTCTAGTACCATTGTTTATTAACACAGTAAGCGGTCCTGCAAAGAAACTCAAAACGTAAAATGTTTCCTATTTAATCTATGCAGAAACAGTCATTACTAGTACTAATTGAATCATAGCGATCTGAAATTAGTTTTTAATGTAAAAACGTAATTTTTTACATTGAATCTATATTCCAGATCACATATTTGTAGATGTGTTTTGCTATTAACTCAATACACATGGATGGGAAATGTAATGTCATTTGTTCTAGGGAAAATTACTTTAAAAAAGCTGTGAAATAATCAAATTATGGATAAGCCAATAGTTCATTTTTACTATGAACTGATTCAGATATCTGGAATACTAATCCGTCCATTCATTTTCTTCCGCTTATCCGGGCTCAGGTCGCGGGGGTAGCAGCTTCTCTCTCTCTCATTTCTTCCAGCTCTTCCGGGGGAATCCCAGGCCAGCCGAGAGATAAAGTCCCTCCAGCGTGTCCTGGGTCTTCCCCGGGGCCTCCTCCTGGGTGGACGTGTCGGGCAACCAAAATTTGTGGTTGCAAAATAAAAAAGGTACAATGGATATGAATACTTTTGACTATATATTTCATGACTCCTAAGTGACCATAGTGATTCCACAACAGCAGGTATAAAGGCCCCACACCAGAACCTCCCCCCCAAAAAAGCACCTCTAAGCACAGCACTGCATATTAAGGTAGGCAATTCCAATTGAATTAGCAATTATGTCTCCGACACTGAAAGAACATATGATCTAGAGGACTAGCGTTTGTTTCTTTCATTGAAACTGACAAAAATCTAAAAATTCAAAACCCATACAAAAAACATGAAGGCATTCAGTCTTCTTCAGATCTGTCTGCTAGTGTTTCTACTTTAAATAAAAAACTGCAAAAAAAAAACAATTTTTTTTTTTTGATTAACTGTTTATTAAATCCACCTTTTTTGAAACATACAGACATGTTTAGTCCGTCATTTTGGAATCTAGCTGAAGCTCAGTCTAAAGACAGTCGAGACATTCTGATTTAAACAGGACCACAGGGTCATTATATAAACGGTGGAACATAAGTTATTACTGAAAATGGGACAGCAGACATTACGGTTGCATGAAAATTTAAGAGGGAATCCTCTCAATGTGTTTAGAGGGTAACAGCTTCTACAGGAGGCTTTGTACAGTGTGGTCGTGTGTGGATTGGTCAGCAGGATTTCAGCGTCTATCTCAGCTCTTGAAGTTTGGACTTCAGTGTCGCCAGGTTGGCTCCAGAGAACTCGAAAATCTGAAACACAAAAACAAGAGTCACCACGCATAATGGTGACATATTCCATCTCATACATTTCTATACCTCCAGATTTCTGTTTGATTATTTAACATGTCTCAAACTGATCTGAAGCCTGGATGATTCTGGTTCCAGTTCTTTTTTTTCAATAAAGAATCGGTTTGCTTTTCAAAACATCACGTGAGAGAGCCAAACCATTAGAGCTCATTTCATTTATTGTTTGAGCCTCTCAGTGTTTCATCGAGTTGTTTTTGTCAAGTAGGGCAGTTTTGCACTAATAAAAGACTCGGGGTCACACATGCTGAGTGACTGCAGACGACCTGGTTTGATAAACGGACTAAAAAAGTGGTAACTTTCATGAACGCAACATTTTGAACAAACGCGCCACTAGGTGGCAAAAAGCTAATGTCAGCCTGTTCCACTTCCTCCATAAAATAAAATGAGATGCAGTTTAAAATAAGACGAGTTTAACTCCAGTGTATATGATTTATACTGCCGACAGTATTTGTCATTACTCTTTGTGAGGGTTTGGAGAATGTATCTGAGAATTTTAAAACTGCAATTAAAATAGTTTAACTGAATTATTTTACATCAATTAGAGGCCTTGAAATGGTTTCAATAGTAAATCTTTAGTCTGTGGAGGGTGTAAACTAAAATCTGATCCTTCTGACCAAGATTCTGTAGTCTCACTTTAAAGAGAAGGATATAATATCACACTACAGTCTGAGCTCTCCAGAAACCCCAACCACCATTGTTTTTATACCAGTCATTGAGGACATGCATGTAAGAAAGCTGTTTCACTGTAGTTCCCAAAATTGTCAGATGAAATGGACTAAAAAGCAAAACCAGAACATTTTCCCCAACCAACCCACGGCAGGTGTCTCCTCTTAAACTGAACTTGTCAAATATGCAAGAACCATGCAGAGCAAATACTCTAACAAAAACGAGTTTGTAACTTCTCAGGATTCTGATCTCTGAAAAAATAAATGAGTGTTCCTCCAATAGAAAAGAAACATTTCACAAATGCGTGTTTGGACTCACCTTCGCGCCGTTCTTGTAGAAGTGGAATGTAGGCATGCATGAAATTTTGCAGTGACTGCTCACATCCTGACAAAATAAGAAAGTATACATTTTATGGGTTTTTCAGAAGTGCATAAAAAAAAGAGAAAAAAAAAATCAGGGCTGCTGATTATTGAAGGCATTTTTCTTACATGCCATTTTATAATAACCTGAATCTTTTTTGTAAATTAATTGGTTTGTATAAAACGAAATATCAATTTCAACTGTTATTTTCAAAAAGGACTTTGGTTGATGTGATATTAAAAGCAACAATGATCAAGAAATAAAACTGAGACTTACTTCAGCCTCATCTACGTCCACTTTCAAGAAAACCACCTCCTTGTTTTCAGCGTGCTCCGACAGTTTCTGGAAGAAAGACGGTTGAATATTAAAAAAAATGAAATGAAAATTTACAAAGGATTTCAAGAGTATTTTTGTATCCAACACAAGTTGTTAAATCAATGTTTTTTCCATGAAAAGGTATCAACTTTCGTCAAGGCAGCTATGTATTCCTGTGTAGCATTTCCCTTCAAGGTGGGGAAAGCAAAACAAAAGGTTGCCACAGCTACAAGATTCCTCTCCAAACAGATGCCACGCCCTTTGAGCCGCTGAGGGCAAAGATCCAAAACGTTTGGTTAAGAGCTTCACTTTACAATGGCCGCTCTAATTTTGAGCCAAACTGTCCTCCTTAATAATGCTGCACACAAATCTTGGCGTCTAAACAAAAATTCAGGCTCAAAACCCACTTACAACAAACTCTGGGCCAATTTGTTTGCAGGGGCCGCACCAGGTCGCTGTGAAGTCCACCACCACCAGCTTGTTTCCAGCCTCCTTCAGGATGGACTCAAAGTCTGCCTGTGAAACAGATTACACACACAACATTTTCAAGATGTCAACACTCTTGAGTTTCTGTAGCACTCTTTGGCATTGTTTCTTATTTTTGGCATGCCCTTGCCTGTGCTGATGCCAAGGGTATAAAGTTGGGCAAGGCACAACAGTTTGGGGAGATTTTAATTCCCTCCCCCACCTTTAAGCTTTTCACCTGTTTTTAAAAGTAGAGATCTATGTTTCTTCAACATCTTTTGTCATAGAGCTCAGTCCCACGATTCAAAATATCCATCCATCCACTGAAATCGATAACTGTCGTCATTTTCGGGCCGTTGTGGTGGGATACTGTGCTAAATAGGCTGATCACTGAGTCGCAATTCTGCACCATATCGGATAACTGCATTTATTTTTTTATTAAGCTGTTCCAAGTGCCATCAGTGTCTCCACCCCTCCGTCCTGGCCAACTTTTGAGTTTTGTTTGCTCCTGAACTGTATTTACTTTTTATGAACAGATGATTCCGGCCAGCAAACCAGACGGGCTCAAAGTCCAATACTTGTGAACACATGCTGACAGCGGCGGTGTCCCGCCTCGGGCTAAGACGGCTTCTCGTTTGGCAGCCAAGTAAAGGACCAATTCTGCTTATTTTAGCCTCCAAATTCCCTTATACCATGTCCGCTTCAGTAACTACAATATTTATACCAGCACAAGCTTCACAACTCAACTCTATAGCCGCCTATAATATAGCAAGCAGAGACTGCTTTAAACGTATATATTAAAGGATCAATCTAGATGATTTAGTTAGATGTTAAAGTGGATTTAATTAAAAAGGAGAAGAAAATAAGGCACGCAATGTTTAAATAAATTTTAAAAATACAATGTTTAGCCCTTTTGCTAACCACGGGATTCAAGCGCTATGAATCGGAAGCCAACTTCCATAGCAGCAGCGGCGTGGTAAAAGACCAGCAGCACGACGACTAAGTAAGCTGCTGGGACCCCGGCGACGGCAGGTTTAATGGTTTATAAGCCATTAATAGCTACACATCTTGTGCATAAACGTCGCTAGATTAACTCCAAACAGATAGGGCCCGGTGATGGATCAGGCATCACGAGAACTCAAGAGCTGTAAAATAGGCGCCAGGGCAGAAGCATGGATGCGTTTTTCTCCGACCTGACCCCAAAGTAATGACGGCAAACATAACGGGAATTAAAGCTGTGAAACCGAGACGCTGCCCGACAAAATAAGTACTTACTAAATCCTTCACTTCCCGGACCATGATAACTGCCTTTAGATGTGTGCCTCAACGGAAATTGGTATCCTCTAGGTTTGGAAAATACCTTCGTTTCAGTGAACGTGCCCAGGTCTTTTAAAGCCTCGGACAAGCTAGTCGAAACCGTAGCGGAAGTCAGTTTAGCAGTTAGCAAAATAAAAGTCTTTAGTTCAATAACCGATGCAAAATACAGTTTTTCCGCCGAAATGAAGCCGAATTGAAACTTTGTAAAATAATGATTTGTATTTTCATTTTATGTCGATTTCTACATACGTTTGTTTTACCGTAAATTAAATCATCGTACGATTACTTTTATTCTGAAAACCATCATCAATGGTGTAGTGAATACGAACGGATCCTTCAATTCAGTTTTATGTACTTGCTGACGTAAGAAGGAGTAGCGCCAGTACCAAGACTGCTCCTTTCTGGTTCACCGGCGCAAGTTTCAGCCAGAAGTGACAAGTTTGAATCTAAATAGTGTATCAGCATAAGGTGGTGTCGACCACAAAGGGAAACGAACAATCAAATGCCACCTCAGCGCCGACACGGTACTGGTCAGTGAGAATATAAAAAAAAGATAGGCTCAATTTCTTTTTTTATCCGATTGGATGACTTTATTAAATAAAGAAATTGCATTTAATTATTAGAAGTTCTTCTCGTGTACAATTCTGACGTTTCTCGTACAGCTGGACCTTGAGTAGTTTTCCATATGAAACGGATTGTGTCGCGTCCAATTCCCGCCCACTCCGCGCGCTTCTTCGTGTAACCGGCAAAATGATGCGAACCCAGCGATACAAGTCATAATGACTTGACAAATTGTCAGTTTACCGTAAATGAGCGACTCAGTGCAGCTGTAGCTACTAAAGTATCCATGATTACGCCGCAAAATGACGCGTACGTGCTCCTGCGCCGTCGCTCTTCACGTCCTTCTTAACTCTCATCAAAAGCAAACAAAAAACACAATCTAAAACAGAAAGAAGCATATTTTCACCAGTTCCTTCCTCATTTGGATCAATTTCAGGGATAAAATTCTAATTTACTTTATTTACATAGCACCTTACTACAGCGGATCTAAATCCAAAGACACTTTATTCAAAGAAAACTTTAGTTTAAAGTAAATTCATTATGCCTTTAAAGTGTAAGAAAAACCTGTGGTGCTTTGGAGGGTCTCAGGGATCATGACTTTGAGCACGAGATGAGACCGGGAAAAGGTCAAGAATGACCTTGACAAAACATCAAAAGTAACAAAAAGAAAAAAAGGAGCAAAACAATACAATATATTTTGTTTCCCCTCTTAAAAGATTTTATACTAAAGCTTGCAGTAAATACTAAAGACAATTACAATACACTGTGCATGTTAAATCAACAACAGTATTTGCAAAGTGGTGAATATGTAAACATCCTAGTAATCTTTACTTTCTGGTGCCTCTTGTGTTTCATTACAACAAATGATTAGGTTTGTGGTCTATATAACCAACAGTAGAAACCTATTACAAGTACAAAAGTAAACTTTTATAGCTGTGAAGATACTAAAGCTTCCACAAGGTATTCGTGCCTCTTGAAGTCTGACTAACATTTAGCCACCATAAATCTACATTTATTTTCAATGGAGTGTTTGTGATAGACCAGGATGAAGTAGTGATGTTGGCGTGGCCTAATAGAGGTCATAAAGACTTCAAAGTAGGATGGAGGTTTAACTTTCTAGTAAGACATGGCCAGAAACACACAGCCAGAATTACACTGCAATAGTTTAAAATCCAAATTTATTTTAAATCTGTGGAAATAATCAAAAATGAACATTTACAGATCATCTCCACCCACGCTCCACTGCTTGAGCTATTTTGCATAGAAGTACTGTGGAATAAGGAGAAGATGGTTCTATAAAGTCTTGACTCAGGAGGACTGAATACAAATGCATCCCCTACATTTCAGATTTGTATTAGAAGCACTATACTTCATGCTGGTCCAGCATAGGACTGAAATAACCCTTTTTCTTTTCTCCAGAACCACTCATTTTTTAGGTCTCCTGAATACTTTTTATACAACTTTAGCTACGTTAGATGTAAAATGCATGTATACCAAGAAAAGGGAAGTAAGCAGAAGAAAACCAAAGCCACAGACTGGACAGTCAGCTAGCTCACCCTCAATAGGAAACCTCAGCTGCAACAGAGGCAAAGTTCAAAAAGATTAGGGAAGTGAAGATAGGCAGAAGTTGCATAACCCCAAGAATGGATGGAGACTCTCTGAGCTGCACCCATATAAGCAGCACCCTAAGATCATGTCAAGTGTCGGTTCGCCTTTTCACATTTAATGTTTTAGTGATTACTCAAAGAATGTTTGACTGAACTAAAAGTCCCTAGCTCATTTATAGTCCCATTAACAGAAACATCTAACAATTTACTACCAACCCCCGATGAATGGCCTTCTTGATGCGTAAATTCGTCAGTGCCTCCCGTTGGCAAGAGGTTACACTGCAACAATAGCCTTTCCGATATTGTCTCCACGCAGCAGCCCCATAAAAGCAGCTGGCATGTTTTCGAATCCTTTTGTGACGTGCTCCCTGCACTTCAGTTTCCCCTGCAGAGGCAGAATGAATATGTTAATCTAATCACGTCGATGCAGAATGACATTAAGTTTAAACGTTTACCCAAAACACAACAGAATCTGAATGTGATCCAGTGTCAAAATAACTAAAATAATGACCATACCTCTCTTAGCCAGGCCATCATTCTCTTGAGGCTTTCGGGGTTTTTGTCTTGCCACCTGTTTTGCGTGAAACCCTCCATCTTGAGCTGCTTCATGATCATCGTCATGTGAGGGTAAGGCCCTGAGAAATGTTACAGTTGAAACAAATCAGGTCACAACTGCACTCTGAATACATTGCCTGCCTACAGGCGGTAATGTGAGACTTACCACCTTGTTCGGATTGTAAACTGAACAATGTGCGGATTACACACCTGTCTGCGGTGTGCCGTCGTTGTAAGTGGAGATGCTCCCACACACAGCTATTCTTCCAAAGGTCTTCATTTGTGGAAGGGCGACAGCTGAAAAATAACCTCCGACCTAATCAAAGTACAAATTTGTCACAAACAAAAACTGGATGAAAACTTAATCTTTCCCTTAGGTGGGACGTAACTAGGTATATTCACCAAGTTGCGTTTACTTCCAAACTTTTTTTTAATAAAAAAATGATGCACTTCAGGGAGTAGTTTCATACCATACTTTTTACTCTTATTTGAGTAATAGTTATAAAGTATCACTGCTCTTATATGAGTAAAATTTCAGACTTCTCTACCCACTAGATGTGACTTCAGTGAATGAAGAACAAACATATGTTTAACCAGAAATGCACCAAACACAGATACACGTATTTGAACACAATGTTTGTTGATCTGCTGTCATTTTCCACATGGATCTCCTGAGTCTGTCCTGTCATTTTTTATTTTTTTTTTTTTTACAAATAAACACCACACATTGTTCCTGGAACCATTTTACCCCTTTCCAACATGCACTGAGTATAAATAACTCACTGTAGGTATTAGCTTCAAATTTTATATTGGGGGGGAAAAAAATTATTCTGCTTGAATTTGGCATTTTAGTCTTTGAGATGCCAGAATTTGAATATGACTTAATATTTCTGTCTGCCTGATGAATATTAAATCAGACATTTTAATCAGTTACTGCTTGAGGAGACTTTTCACCACATACTATTTCATTTGAGTAAAAATGTGTTGAAGTAGTGCTACTCTTACTTGACTACGACAGTTGGGTGCTCTATCCACCTCCGTTGTCTTATTTCAAGACAACGGCACCAAAACCTCACTTACATTTTCAAAGAGACAGTCATATCCTTCAGGAGCAGCCTTCTTCAGCGCCTCCTCCAGGGAAGGGACAGTTTTGTAGTTGAAAGCCTCGTCAAAGCCCAGCTCTTTCAGGTAAGCCACTTTGGCATCTGACCCGGCTGAGCCCACCACCTTACAGCCCTTGATCTTGGCGATCTGTCCCACCACATTCCCCACAGCTCCGGCCGCGGCGTTCACCAGCAGAGTCTCGTTCTTCTGCAGTCCGAGAACCTCCTCTATTCCGTACAGAGCCGTCAGCCTGCAGACAGGAAAAGACAAATAAAAGACAGTCAGCTCCCATTTCCCGTTTTCCCCCCACCAGTTTCAACCTGTTTTGAATTCAGGTCAGGGACGTCAAATTTATTCTCATTTCGGTTGTTCTCAGAAGTCTGGTTGTGCCAGAATGTACCAATAAAATTAATTGAAAAAACAATTAAAATATTAACATATAGCTTGATCAATCCCTCTAGGATTTCATTATTTTTCTGCAATCAAAGTCACTGATTTTGCAGAAATACGTCAAAAATATTTGCAAGACCTTTTGTGACAATTGTGACTTTTTGTTACTCTCTACATCGATCACACATGACAACTTTATAAGAAATGCTGCCAAATTGTATTGATTTTCACTTGCTTTAGAAAGCAATCATTTGCACTAGGTGTAAGCCACAATCACAATCATGAAAAAAATAATAATATGGAAAGAAATACTTACAATATTTCACTATGTGTGTGAGCAAAATATTCACGTGTTGCTTTTCAAACTGAATTATTGAAAAAAATTCACACTCTTTACCGAGATGGACCAGTACACCTGCAAAGTGTTTCTTCAGGTAGACATGCAGTATGGCATAATGCCTTGCCTAATGTTGGTAAGTTTCACAAAAACAGCATGACTTGTGATATTAAAATACTTACCACTTCATCTTCCAAAACATTTTATGCAACATGAAACGACAAGCATCAAACAAGCAAATTCATAGCACAGAGAGTGTGAATGTATGACACATGAATATTTAGATTATACTTATTGCGTCTGTGGTTATGGTCATATTGTGCAGGCCTACGTGCAGCGTGTCTTACCCTGGCATGCCGACGGTACCCAGAGCCAGAGACAGCGAAACGTCTGAAGGCCAGTCAGCCATGACGGGAGTGAGGTCTGTCCCGTCGCTGACTGAGTGGCTCCTCCAACCACTGCGGCTCACAACGTGGCTCCCCACAGGAAATGCTGGGTTTTTACTCTGAATCACCCTGCACACAAACAGTTGCCCGTCAGTGACATTTCCGATTCAGACGCGGGACAAAATGCATTTGTGTCATGACCAAAAATACATCAGGTGTAAGAAAAATATTTTCCATTGGGGGCTTGAATAATTACATTTAAGAAAAAAATTTAAGCAAATATTTTTGTCAATATTTTTGAACCGGAACAGCCACATGATAAAACACTATTTAAAGAGGAATTTGATTAATGATTACATTTTAAAAGCTACAGGACTTTGTTACACATGCTGTATGGTTTGGCATCATTCTTTGATACTGTGGGATCCATGTTTTTTTTTCTAAACCACTTTTGAAACTTTACCATATTCATCTCTGTGTGGACCTAGAAAAAGTCCTGGTATCTAGTTCTGCTGTGTTCAACAATGTGTTCAGCAGTCAGGCTAATTATCATTACATTCAACTAAAGAGTAATGCATTTATTTCTTCGTACTTTCAACCAGTGTAGCGAATTACATTGTCAAACATCTATAAGACTATTACATGTGAGGCAGCCATTTTGGACTTTGAAATCAGAGTTGGTGAAAAACTATGCGGTATTTTTTCATGTCATTGTTTTTCTTTTTCTTATTGTGTCCTTACATTTGGAGAACATTTCTATTCTATATCTGATCCCAGTCTTACATTACTAGATGTGCATTCAGTGGCTCACTACTGCTCCCCCTGGTGGCATGGTCATATATAAAATATTTTAAAAACTACAAGGTGGAGTTTGAATGAACTGCAACATATTTATTTGTTTTAAATTGTTGTGCTACTTAAATAACCAAAATACAATGTAATAAAACTGTTGAAGTTCTGTTTTATTGCACCCCCCCCTTTTTTTTTTCTTTTTACAACGCACCGCTCCCTAAACTAAAACTCTAAAAACTAAAAACAGTGGGACAGCCACTAAAATAAAATTCTCGTATATAGACTATTTTTTAGATCTCAGCATAAACTTGAAGTTAACTAAAGAGCAGTTGGGTTTTCTGCTATGGCTGGACTTCATCTATGCAGCAGATGTTTTCCTGTGCATTGTGGTAAACCTTCACAATGTGAAAAAAACAAGACTTAATCTTGCCAGGATTTCACTGAAAGCGTTTTATGTTTTTTACTTAGAGCTTTATCTTTGGAGGTTATCATGGAAACAGCAATAGATTTGTATCTACAAAGACCCAGCCAAGAATGTTTAGCGCTACAGACTCGCACTGAACCAAAGGCTTTGGTAATAACCCACAGGTATAGGCTGAGTTCTGCTTTGGAAAGCCTCAGACATGCAAAGTGCATCGTGGAGGTTTTTCCTGTGGGTGAGCGGGACAGCGGTCGTTTTTCTTACTTCGCCACTTGAGTTCCGATCATCACGTCCCCTTCCTTCATGTGGAACCTGCTGTACGGCCTGCGGACACCAGAAGCAGCGAGCCTCATTCATTACCGTTTGTTGAAATTATAACATGATTGGTTTCTAAAGCAAGCGAAAATCAGTACTATTTTATTGGTATAGCACATTTCAGCAGCGAGGCATTTCAAAGCGATTTACATCAGAAACAAAGCCATGCAACATCGAATCAACAATTGAAACAGTGCAGTTAGTAAAAGTGCTATCTTGAAATTCTTAATCGATTATGGTTCATGAGCAACTCCAAGCAGGTGAGTTTTAAGTTTATATTTAAAGACACAGAGTATTTCAGCAGCTTTGCAATATTCTGGAAGTTTGCGCTAGAAAACACACCTCATGTATGGATCCACACTGAGAAAAACCGCTTCCAAAAGCACCTCTGAAAGAAATAAACAATTTGATGTTTAAAGATTATTTAGGAAGAGTTTGAGAGCATTCAAAGCCCTAAAAGCTTGTCACATTTTGGGACGCTGCAACATCAAACAGAGATATATTTTTATTGGGATTTTATGTGACAGATCAACACCAAAAGTGTGGTGTGCACTTGAACTCAGCACACAATTTGTAGAAGTGAACCGACTGCAGTTTTCTGGGCAGTCACTGATCTTTAAAAAGCATGATGATTTGTTTTGAGGGTTTTTTATCTGAAAAGTCGCTGAGTTTGCAACAGTTGGGAAGCTATTGTGAACTGCACATATGCAGGCGTGTCCCGGTGGGTGGCACTGTCACGTCTGCCAGGCATTCATTTATGTAAAGATCTAAATTTCAATTGTTTTGTGTCCTTTAGAAAGTCAATAACCCTTCAAATCTGAAATAAATCTTGGGTTTTTAGTCTTTTCTGTAGTATAAGAGAATGCTTTCCTTCCATTCACATGGCCCAACCTGCTTTCACACCCTTAGCAAATGGTAACTCCACAGACACCCATTATCATTCACATGTGGTCAGCCTAATCTTTTTATGCTAGAGAATCCACATGTGTGTCTTTCCCATCATGTGACACAACTGTGATTTGCAGAGCTGATCCCACAAACAAAAGAGACATTTTACAGGCACTCCCAGGAGTGAGTTCTCCCTCCAGATAACTTAAGTAAAACAATGAGGAGCTGTAAAACAGCTAACTGTGGCCAAATGGATCTGTCAGTCAGCCATTTCTCACAGTAGAGCAAAAAGAAGAGTGACTGATTTTCAGACTTTGCTGAAATAGATAAGATCTGTAAATAAAATCGGTTTACAGCTGATCACCACCCACCCAGTTATTTATATTTTATTTTTTTGCTGTAGCTGTTCTGTCTCCGTCATATTTGGATAGACGGGTCTGACTCAAAGCAAATATGTCTGATTCAGAGAAATATGTGTTGTGGTGGCTATTGGTAAAATTTATATTTCATTCGGCCTGCAGCTTCTGAAAGCTCTCAGGCAGGGAGGACTCAACCCGGCACATCAGAAATGTGACTGTTATTTCGTTACAATGAGAGGTTACACAACTGGCCAGCCTTTACTTGAGTGAAGAACTATGTTTTATGTTTTGTTTTCTGTGCCTTTCAAAGCCAATAATCCCTCATTGTGGCACTGTCAGATTAAAATCTGAAAGAAAAATGTAGTTTTTGCCGTCTTTTGTGTTGTATCAGAGGACGTTGTTTTCTTTTCATTCACACGGCTCAACTTGCTTCCACACCCTTGGCAAATGGCGACTCAACAACAGACGCCCATTGTCTTTGATTTTATTGGTGGTCAGGCTAAACTTTTTGATGTTAGAAAGTCAGTATGTGCATTTTGTGTCACAATTATGATTTGCTAGCCTGATTCCCCCATACAAGTGAAAAATTTTGCAGACACTCTGATGTGTTATTTCTTCCTCCACTCAGCTCTCAAATAAAACAGTGAAGAACTGCAAAGCAGCGAATTGGGATTAGCATTCTGGTTTTGGGACCAAAGGTTATGGGCAATCGGCTTGGAGCCAAACGCATCTGGTCAAGGACTAACTTCTTATCATTTTAAATTGGGGGTGCACAACCAACTGTTGTTTTCTGTCTCAGTCTTCTCTCACGGCAGAGCAAACGGGACAGTGGCTGATTTTTGGTTCTCGTGCAAGTATTGGCTGATTGCCGATCACCCCAAAATTAAAGAAACGAAGGCTACTTTAAATATAGCCAGCCGTTCATTCTTGTAGCCTGGTCACTAAAACCATAAATCAAATGGTCTTCAATTGATAATACCCTCAACGTTTAACCTTGTTCATACACTGGGTTTGGCCGGTATTCCTTAATCAGATCTACTCATCTTACAGCCATTTTTACAACTCCATTTTATTTATTTTCAATAAACAAATACCCACAGCGTTTTGCATGTGAGCCAAAGGCTTCACTTTTGTTCACGCTATCTGACCAGAGCACTTTCTGTGTCCTCAACATGGACTGTAACAAACTAAATCTTGTCCAATGTCTTATCTCTCTTTTTTTTTAAAGGTCTCGTGAGGCAAACGTATGAGTAAAAGATATTTGTTTTGTAGCTGTGCCAAAACTCTTCGCATTTCAAAATGATAAACTGAACATCGCTCTGTGCGATGATGGAAACAAGATATTATTTTATGACCTAAAGCTGTTGTAAACTTTCCCATATTTTCGGCCTTGACTTCCCTGCTGTGCTCGTTGGCATTTATGATAAAGACTAATGCTTTTTTACACAACTCTGAGGCCTTTACAGAATAGCTCCACGTATGCTGAGTGTAAATCAAAAAATAATAACTAAAGGTTATTCATGTTTGGTAGTAAAGTGAACAAAATGTGAACAAGTTCAAAGTGAAGAATTTTGCAAGAAATTATACATTATATGTTAATTCAAAGTCAATAAAGAATGTTTTCTTGCCTCCATCTTTGGGTTCAGGTAGCTCCTCCACCTTGAGTTGGAAGTCGCTGTCCTTTGGGAAGCCATCGAAATGCTTCACCAAAACCCATGACTTAGCCTGAACCATGGTGACTTACTCAGAGCTGCAGGCAAAAAAAAAAACAAAAAAAAAACGAGCAGCCAGTTGTGATCAAACGGGCAGGAACATGTGGCATACCTTCGACAGAGGATAACTCTTGGTTTGGTCCCAGATTTCTTTCTCCAGAATTACTCTTTTCAATACCCACAAAGCTAAGACCTACATAACGAGCCCTACATGGGTTCTGGAGATATGCATTTTATTTAGACAACTCAGAGGAGTCCCAACAAAGTAATGAGCTCTAGTTTGCACCCAACCTGCGTAAGCCTTATATGAGATTTTTATATGAGAACTTTAAACATCCTTAAAACTCCAACCTATAAATCATCAAGCATAAAAACCTCCAAGGTGAGCCAGAACTGTATTCAAATAATGGAACACTAGGAACATTTTTACTTCACAGTTTGGTTTCATGGTTTCAGCTGAATCGATAAAAAAAGGGTCAGTATTACTATTACTATTAGCAAATGAATCTCTATATCAAATGTCTTATGAATACGTCACTTTCAGATACCTTTTGCCTGCTTTTTAAAGACGTTTCTTCTTATTCCTTCAAGCCAATAAACTTATGAACAATAAATTACCTAAATAAAGTCCAAAACTTGACACAAACCAATAGAAAAGTGGCAACAAAACCCCCCACTCTGAAATCATTGGAAACCAGACTTTTGAAAGGAAAAGTGTGAATAAATTAGGAATGGTGTTGCATATCTTAAGATAAATATCAAGCATTTGCTTCTATCTTTTAATCATTATTTCTGCTGCTTATGAAGTTAATTACATTCAATGTAAGACAGGTGTTAAGAGTTGACAGCGGCTGTTGCTTCAATAAAAATGAGCGAATCTGAAACCAAAACATGCCCACGCGTATCCAGACGTCTATAAATATAAAAAGCAGGAAGATGACATTGTTTGGCGATTCTGCGTGAGAATATAAAGCGAACGTGGTTCCATAATTACTGTATTCAAAACACAAAAAGAAACAAATAGGAGGATCAGAAAGACTAAATTGTCATTAACTTGGTCGAAATACATAAAAGCAAACACTTCGAAAGCCATGAGAGAAGTTCACTCACTGTGTCGGGCTGCTGCACTTCCTTATTTCAGTTTCTTTCCGTGAAACCGTCAGAACTTTAGTTTTTCAGCTCTAAAAGTGGGACAGCCACCAAACACAGCTTCACTGAGCTGCGAAACTTTGCGGCGGAGGAGAGGAGAGATGTTAAATGCCTCGAGAAGAGAGCGCTAGGAAACGCTTCCAGCGCGAAACCTGATTGGTCGAAAGTTCAGCCGAACCGCTTACGTAATGACGTAGTACACTGGCGGAGCTCCACTGCAAGGCGGTAGCTAGGCGCTATGGCATGAAGTTAAAACCACAATGACTGTGTAGCACAGTGTAAGAACACAGACACAGAAGGGACAGGTATACATTTGTGATTACTGACAGTTGAACTGAAAAACAGTGATCATCTCTTTATCATGGAATCGGTTCGTGGATGTGCTTATCAAACAGCAGAACAACATTTTGTTGTCAAAGTTGGTGTGTAAGGAACAGGAAAAACAGGCAGGCATAACTGAGTGCGACATGGACCATGACTGTGTCAGAGAATCTCCAAATCTACAGCTTTTAAAGGGTTATTGATCTGCAGAGCTCAGTATCTATCAAAAGTTGACCGAGGCTCATTAATGCATGTGGGGAGGACTGGCCTATTTGGAATGGCTTGACAAAAAAAAAAAAAAAGCTATTGCAGCCCAATTGGTCCCATTTTTGACCCATTTGCTCCTCTAAAAGCACCAGCAATTGGCATATTGACCATCAAAACTACACCACGGAACAAAAGAACAATATGACAACATAAAAGCTTTTTTAAAATAATTATTTAACAAGTTAAAGTTGCTGATGTGACTGACATTTTTGGGACTTTTTTTGTTTTTTAGTAAACCCCAAAACAAGGGGTGTTATGTGTAACATTTCAACAAACAAACACAAAAATGTTACATGGATGTGAAAATGGTATTCACATCCATTTTCAAGGGATATGAACACCAACAAATTTAGCATTTTTGGCATTCAGAAGCAAATTTTGCACACTTTAGTTTTATTTTTAAATAATGTCCTGACAAAAGATAGTATTCCCTTTAATGTATTTGCAGTGGAGTTAAAATAATTTGTAATTAGAAAAAACAAATGCACAAAACTGCTTGGATCTGAGGCCTTTAGAGCCAGTTTTATATTCACATCAATTCTGAAGGACAATCTGTGTTTTCACCGAGCCTGATCCTCAGCATCTCCCCAACCCAATGAAATTCAAATGTGCATTCTTTTTACTGTTCAAACAAAAGGCAGCTGTTGGCAACAAAAGCGTAAAGGGGCTCATGCAAATATTTCAGGCACCTGCCCGTGACAGTATTTTACATCAATTCGGACATTGAAGAAATTACACACAGGACATTCTGCTGGAAAAAAGAAAACATTTATTAATCAATACAAAACCTCGCAGTGAATACATATTGAATAATTATTACCTCAGTGCAGCGACATAACATTCATACTGCACATAAAGGCACAAGAATATAAGAAGATTTTTCACATTTTAAAAATAATTAATGACTAATAGCCTGGTGTTTGTAGTTATTTTATTTCTGGGGTAATTGTAAATAATTATTATTGCTCTGTCAAACTGTGAGTGTGTTCTGTAAAAGGGTCACTCCCTTGGTGAGGCATCAAGCAGTGACGATAGCCTTGCCGATGTTTTCTCCCTGCAGCATCCCCATGAAAGCAGCTGGCATGTTTTCAAAGCCTTTGGTGACGTGCTCCCGACTCTTCAGCTTCCCCTGCAGAGGCGCAACGCAGACATTATGCTTACATGGAAGGAGACGTGGCTTAAATATTGACGAGAAAAAGCGTAAAGCAACGATACCTCTTTGTACCACCCCATCAGTTTCTTGAGTCCCTGGGGATGCTCGCTCTGCCACCTACTTTGCATGAAGCCTTCTATCTTAACCTGCTTCCAGTTTATGGTGGTTAGAGGGTATGGGCCTGGGAAAGATATGTCCAATATTAAAAAGCTGAAACAAGAGCTGAATTCTGCATATTACACAGCTTTTGTTGATCTTGAGCGAGTCCAGGTCGCTCTCTAGTGTACAAAATATGTAAATATTTTGAAATGCATAATGCACAGTGGGTTTAATATTTAATATGTTTACATTTTTTTCACATTTTGGTACATGAAAGGACATAGTAGCACTTTTGAAGATTTTCATAAATAAAAATCTGGTGTTCATTTGTATTCAGCACCTTGAGTCACCACTATTTCACTACAGCTTTCACTACCTGTGTACTCATAAGTGTTTTAGGGAAACAGAGCAGAAATATTGAGCTCATTTGTCTTTGCAAAAATAGCCCAACCTAGGTGATACTGAAACACGAGAGATCACCAGTTTTGAAGTTTTAACAGGGACACACCTGTTTGGTACGCAGAGTCATGGTATGTGGAGATACCTCCGCACACAGCTATTCTACCAAACTCCTTCATTTGCTGCAGGGCAAATGTTGAAAACTGACCTCCAACCTAAAAGTACGACAAAACCGCAGCAAGTTAGAAACAAGATTTCAAACAGGTGGAGTTTAAAAGACATTTGGAGCTACACCAGCTTACATTTTCAAAGAAGCAGTCATATCCTTCAGGAGCAGCCTTCTTCAGCGCCTCCTCCAGGGAAGGGACAGTTTTGTAGTTGAAAGCCTCATCAAAGCCCAGCTCTTTCAGGTAAGCCACTTTGGCGTCTGACCCGGCTGACCCCACCACCTTACAGCCATGGATCTTGCCGATCTGTCCCACTACGATGCCCACAGCTCCGGCTGCGGCGTTCACCAGCAGAGTCTCGCCTTTTTGCGCTTTCAAAACGGCTTCAACTCCGTACAGAGCTGTCAGTCTGCAGACAGGAGGGAATGGGAAAACTGATTTTTCTATGAGTTTCTCCTGATGCGCTTGTAAGAAGCTTGTAATTTTTATTTGTCAGAACAAAGTTAGTCATTAACCTCCACAGCGTGTTAACTTTATTTCTATTTGCTGGACTCAAGCGTTGCAGATTACATAATCTATTTCCCTATTTGTTTTTAGCACTTATGGCAATTGTACTCCCTGAACTTAAAGCTTTAATGCATCACTATCCATTTGAAAATGAAACTTCTTATTTATGTCTTTGTGTCAGCCACAGTTGGATACTTTGCTACGCTAGTATATTAAAGATGGACAAATCAATCTGTCATGGATCTGAATTGCTCAATTTTCCTCAGCTGGCTCTGTCCTTTTAAATGCTTTTTATTGTACAGCAAACTCAGAATGTCCAACATTTTTGTTATAAAAACACATCCACCAACAGCATGCACTCCAATGAATGCTTTTAAGTTTACAAAATAGATTCAGGTGAGAGGCACATGTTTGGATCAGAATCAGCCAAAAAATCGGTATCGGCCAGGCAAAGTCTGATTGGTGGAACTCTAGTATACCATTATAATACTGGCAGTCAGATCAAGTAACTCCATCGTACCCGTTTACCTTGAAACAAATGTAATGAAGCTAACCCCCATCTTACCCAGGCATGCCGATGGCACCCACAGCCAGTGACATTGGCACATTCTTGGGCCAGTCAGCCATGAGGAGAGTGAGGTCCTTCCCATCACTGATGGCGTGAGTTTTCCAGCCACAGCTACTCACAACGTGACTTCCCACAGGAAATGCTGAGTTTTTACTTTGGATCACCCTACGCAAAAATGAAAAAAGAAAAGAAACAAAAAAACAAGTCAGCTTCTAACAAGCAACTTCACTCAGTGTTGATGCTCATGGGGTTATTTATCTTCAAGCCAGAGAGTGGATGTAAATCCAACAGAAAATACACAGATTCACCCAAATATGGTTGTGGAAATTAGAGGCCCAAACAATCTGACTGCACTCAAAACAACATGGAAAGCTTTTTTAAGGTAGAGTGATCAAGTACTGGCAAGTCAAGATGTGTTTATAGAGTCCTAACAAAGAGGACTGAATTGAATGAGACGGTGCTTCAGCAAGGTACATATTAGTTTAGGTGTGTGCAAATTTATTGCATGCTTTTTTGATTTATCATTTGCCCCTTATAATAGATTTGTTTGTCCAGAATATAGGTCATTTTATGTTTTGAAGTCATTTATCTCATTCGACATTTTCACAGAGGCGTACACACTTTGTATGTCCACTGTTAAACAGAGGAAACCTTTAGAAGAAGTATTTCCAAGAAAGAGAAGGGTATTGTGAATTGTTGACTTAAAGGTCAATCAATATAACAGATGGAACAGATTCCCTAATATGTTCTTCTGTGTGAGTAGTTATTGTTTTACAGATTACAAGGCTGGATAGCGTTAAATTAAAAGGCATGTCATGGTAATAAACTGTCCAACAAGAAAAGAAAACTGTGTTCAGCTTCCTAAAACGTTTAGAAATGTAATAACCAACTTTTATTTATTTTAAATGTATAACTTAAAACATAACAGCATAGAATATAAACAGTTCTAAAAATATAAAAACTGCAATATCATCAAAATATTTTTCTAAAAATGTGTAAATCCTGTACTAGCTAGACTCTGCTGGAAATTAGCTTACTTAACATATTTTTTGCTAAAGATGGATGAGAATAGAATGAATTTGCTACTACCTGAAAAAGCCCACAGCATGCACTAAGGTTGTATATTTTTTATACGAGGCGATGCTCCTTCACATAAATCATGCTGCCTCACTTAATGGCTTGCAAACAAAGGACTTTACTACGAATCGCTCCTCCTTCACCTGATAACAACCCTGTTACACATGTTAAGCACCGTAAGTTCAAAGCATTCATTCGGGACCGGCGTAGATGTATAAATAGAAATATCCTTTTTTAATACATAAAAGCATGCATAAGAAAGAAAAAGAATATTTAAGTGATGCACTCCTTAAAATCCTGTGAGAAAGCAAAGACGTTAATTTGCTAAAAGCAAAATTCTCGCAAGGAGACAAAATGTGGAACATTTACTGGCATTACTTAAAAACATACCTACAGTTCATGAATCAAAAACTTTGTATATATAGGATGTAGAAAACTAATATTCTGTTCTTGAAATAAGAAGTGAACATAATTTATGTACACATTTAAAATCTGTCAACAAATGGCCTTTTCTGCGTCTAAGAAAGTTGTCCTTACTTTGCCACTTGAGTTCCGATCATAACATCCCCTTCCTTCATGTAGAGTTTGCTGAAAGGTCTGAATAAACAAGAAATACAGACTTGATGCATGATAATTAAAATATTCTGAGGTGATTTAGCAATAACTGGTGATATTGTCACGAGGTAATCCATACATGGATTACCTCATGTATGGATCCACACTGAGAAATACCGCTTCTATCAGCACCTCTGTAACAAAACCAAGATGGATCACATTTTATGGGAATAAGCGACGTTGGATCCAAATAACTGAGGGATCTATTCTTGCCTCCATCTTTGGGTTCAGGTAGCTCCTCCACCTTGAGCTGGAAGTCGCTGTTCTTTGGGAAGCCATCGAAATGCTTGACCATAACCCATGACTTCGCCTGAACCATGGTGACTTACTCAGGGCTGCAGAGAGAGATCAAAAGGCAGGATTTCATAAAAGTAGTTGTAGTTTATTGCCTGGTTAAAAAGTAAAAACTCAAAGGGATTATCAAAATCGTGTTCAGTTAACAGAATAAAAACTGAGATAGGTGTGAAAAAAACAGCAAGAGACCAGTATTAAGCACTTATTTTTCAGGTTCTACATCAAAATACTGCGAATTATATTTTTGCATAGAAATCTAAATTTAACAGGTGACAAGATAGCATGAGCGACTTTAAAAATGCTTCAGCAAAAAATAGCAAAAACAAGAACACTTCGCTGTACACATTTTAGTGTTTTTACCAACTTACCAGTCGTATTAATAGTAGTTCTGGTCTCACAGAAGAGCTGCGAAATAAGCAGAGGTTGTGAGATAAGTCAGATTGTAGCTGTATTTATTTGCAGCAGTGGGCGGAACACTAGCTTTCCCCCCACACAACTGTGATTGGTTGAATAAGCAGGTCAGCCTTTTACGTATGACGCAAAACGTCATGACGCTCAGTTTGGAAAGTTGGCGCGAGGAAGGCTGTCGTTGAAACTCTTAACGGATGAAATTGGGTCATTTCGAGTCGAACTGTAAGTATTGAGTTCAAACCAAACCAAAGGGTCAAACTCATTATAGCAGTACGTTGAAGTCACCTACAGACTCACGCGCTACAGCAAGTCAACATCAACAACAGTTTTTATAGCTTTCAAGCTATTTGTCAAGGTTTGTTGCTAAACTCGTCATTAAACTCGGCGTTACAACTTCTAGCATAAATGGTGCTACGTTTATTTCTCGCGACACGTAATGTGAAACAATTTGATGTTTAAATGTTTCGTTTGGAATATTATACGTATTTTTTGACGTCAGTATTTGTGCTAACGCAGAAATTGAATGGCAGTTTGGCCGTCTTGTGTTAATATGATAACTAGTTGATTCTATGACATTTATCGCCATGATACTGATAATACCAAATGAACAACATACAAAGACGCACTAACTTTGCCTAAATTTTCGGGTCTGTTTTTATACCTATGACAGACTTAACTGGCCTTTGCATCTATTGAAGTTTCAATTGTATTTTTTTCTACAAAAGTATCAGACCTGCTAATTATCATAGAATGTGAAATCATGTATTTTTATATTTTTGGTGATCTACTTAGGTGTTCATTATTAAACAGTCGAAAGAGTCAAAAGTAATACTTAGCAATGAACTTAACTTTCATAAGTAGTGAATGTAAAATTTGTCTCCTGTCAGTGGGCTACAGATGGAAATTTGCCATCTATTGCATGATCAGCTTAATTGAATCTTTCATGAACATGTGCTTCGTATAAGTTCAAAAAGGTTATTAACACATTTATTGATTTCAATGTCTTTTCTGACTGTCATTATTCTTGTTATGCATTGTGCTGCTGGATGACTGAGCAGCACTGTGTAAGGTTAAACATGTTAAACGGTGCCCATTTTGTGGAGGCCCTGGGCCGTCTGGGATATCCTGGTGCAGCTTCACTGCAGGCTTCAGAGTTTGACTGGCTGTTCGACTGCGCCCCGGAGAACCTTCATTTCTTGCGCTTCGTCTGTCGCACCCTCAACCAAAGAAACGTTCTGACCACAGAGGAGGCCGTTGCGTTTCAGGAGTTGCAGAAGTCTGGCAAACCTATTCTGAATGAAACATCCCTGGCGGAGGTTCTCAAAACCATAGGGCCTTCTGATGGGAGCAGCACAAACATCTTGGGACATCATTCTTCGTCCTCTGTGTTTGTGGTAGAGGGGGATTTGGGTATAGAAGACTTGGAGGCAGAAATCCAGGCGCTGTGTAAAGAGAAGGAGTTAAAGCAGCGGCGCTATAACAAGCTGCAGGTAGCAGCCACATCCCATGCGGATGTTGACTTGCAACTTGGTGCTGAGCTGGACCGTGCTGCATGCAAGCTTAAGGAAGCTATTTGGTCAGTTGGAGCAGAAAATGCTGAAACCAACGCAGTGTTGCAAAACCTAACAGACGAGGTTGGCAGGCTAGGATCATTCCTCCCTCAGCCAGAAGCTAGACAAAAAGCAGACCAGTTAAAGCCCTCCAGTTCCCAAAACCTGAAAGTTCTCCTCTCTCAGCTGTCTTTGGATTCCTACTTAAATCAGGAAGAGCTCAACACAAAAACGCTCACTGCCTTCACTCAGAAGCATTTTTTTCATGGCATATCGGACATTGTTGAGACATCACGCTCTGAGCACTTCCAGGTCCTTGACCTCAGCTCTTATGAGGATGAAAATGAAAAGAATATTGATTATAAAAGTGGATCAAGTGGAGGTCGTCTGGTTGAGCACAGGAGGACAGAAATGGCCCGACTTCAGTGGTCGCATATTGTAGCTGAGCACCAACTGATGCAGGCTTTGGCAGAAGAGAAGGCTGTCAAGGCTGGCTTGGACTGGCTCTCGGAAAAGGCTCGTCATACAAAGGTAAAATAAATTAATGCAATGTGCTGTGAACAAATTAATACTAAAGATTTGTTGATCCCGATTTGTCTTTAAAACATACCTTTGTGTCTGTTACTGTCATCCTCACAGAGTATTTCAACCTCTTCCTCCCTGCACATACGTGATGTCGTTACTAGGAAAGAGCTGCAAGCTGTGGAGGCTGAGCTGGAAGCGCTGCTTAATGGACCGGTACCTTCTACTCTAAGAGAGTCGGCCAGGCTGCTGAATGTTCCTGTGGTGAGAGGAGACCTGGCACTGCAACTTGCCAGGCAAAACTACTACACTTCTCGGCAGGACCAAGTGAGTCGCTTAATATACTGATTTCACATTATTTAACACTTTGGGAGGGTCAGTATACTCTGAAATACCATATCAGGATTCATGCGTAATCCGTTGGTGGGTCAAAGATCAAACAATTCGTATGTTGCGTTAAAATGTTCTAGACCCATTTTTTGCTCCACTTCAAACGCTTTGGAGTAGATCTCTACCAACTTTTCAAATCTGGAAATTTAAGTCCTGGAAATTTAAGTCTTTGTTTTTTTCCTGCAAAAACAGTTCTAGTCTTCATTGGATAGAGAGTATCTCTGAACATCAGTTTTCAAATCTGGCAACTTGGTCTCAATTATATTGATATCTAGATCTGTTAGATTGAATGTACTTTGATCTAAGCTTGTCGATTTTAACTCTGGTTGAACGTTTAGAGTCTTTGTCCTGCTGGACCTTCATTGCAGTTTGAAAGTCTTTTTGCAGTTCCTAACAGGTGTTCTGAAAGCTGTGTCTTGTATTTAGCCATATGTCATCCACCACATAATCAGCTTCCCTGTCAAAATAAATTGAAGCTCTGCTATGTTGAGACACTAGAAATGTGCTTCACAATTTAATAACTGACTAACTAACATCAATCTCATCGTGTAGGTGCGTGACTATTTACTTCGTCAGAAAGCGTCCTTTGACTTGCTCCTCTTGGCTCATGAGCTGGAGTTGAGAAGGTGGAAGTGCTGCCAGAATCAACTGAAGGAAATTGATAGCAGACTGTCGGAGGAAGACAAGGCAGCATCTCTGAGAATAGAGTCGTTGGCTCATCCAGACCTGGCTATCAACCCGAGACCCAACCCAATCATCAGCTCCAAGGACGTTGCCTTATGCAGGTAAGACTTTTTCATTTTGAGGGAGAAAAGGATCAGTGGCTAGAGTTTGAAATATAGTGTGTAAACGTCAGTCTTCACTTGCGAAATTGGGATTAAATAACATTGCAAAAACCATGCAGAATTTCACCAAAACTAAGCAAAAAATGTGTTTTATTTTCTAATTGACTCAGGAGTGGCTTTTGACATTTGCTTTAGAATATCTTTTAAGCAGAAATTTTTATTTCTCATGTTAGGATTTTGCTTGTGTGTGTTTCACTTAGTTTTGTTCTATGAGTCACATCTTTTGGTAGATGTAAAAATAACCATTTGGTAACATGTTTGGTATAAGCTTGTGCAAAACTACAGATTGTCCTTCCTAACTACAACTTGCCTTTTAACAAATGACATCTCATTCTTGTATGTTGGTTTTTCTTCTCAGACTTCTTCAGATCCTTGACCGTGAGTCAGACCGCGGTCAATCAGAGCCTTTTCGAACGTATGAAAGTTTGGATCAAGCGGCCCAAAACCTAAGGACCAACATCCAGTTGAGCCGAGACTCAGTAGCTGGTGCCCGCCGTGAACAGCATTACATGGCTGCACGTCTGTACAGCGACTGCGAAGCACTCCACAGGGCCACATACACTGAACTTCAGCAGTTGCTCTTAGGTCCACAGGTATGTCCATCGGCCACTGCAGACCAGGACTCCCTTTGTCCCAATGCACAGGTGGGTGTTTTTCTTTTCACCTCTCTTGATCAGCCATGCTTTATTCCCAGCTCTTAATGTAAGTCTGTTCATTTTAGAATCATCGGTCACTCTGGGTGAGGGAAGCTGGTAGCATCATTCTTTTTATTGGCACCTGTGTGATGCAGTGTCACACTTTGGGTTATAAAGTTCTCCATATGAAGGGAGTCTATAGAGAAAATCTGTGTTATTTCTGCTAGACATATCACCAAGTTTCTGAATTAATCGGTATAATGAATTACTTTCCTGAGAAAGAAGAAAATCTTTATTTGTCCCTAGAATCATTGTTTGGTTATGACTAACTAGTTAATTCAACAGTAATTAAAATTTAGCACAGTTTGTTTGCCAGTTGTTGTAGTAGTACTGTAGCTTGAATAAGTGATTGTTCATCTTTTTATTGTCTGGACCAATCTTGCAATGACTGTAATGAGGAGCAAGATCCATGTTAAAAAGATTTTATTTTCCTGAGGCACCAAGCTGTTTGTCCTACTTGTAGATAATAAACATCCTTGAAAGGTGGACATTGTATTGCTTAGTAGTGGTGAGTCATCAGTTTTGTTGGCATGTGTTACTCAGTTGCATTTAGAGAATTTTCTGCCAAGTCATGAACAGGTTGCCTTCTGGATGAAGAACACAGGAACTAAGATATGTGTAGAAAACTTGCAGCTAGAAAAACAATATTTTTTTTGTGTGTGTTTTCAAAGAAAATAATAGCTCTTACCCAGTTAACAGCCCATGTAAAGTGGTGAATGTGTAACACTTGTTTAGAAAAATACTTCTGAAAAACCTAAAACAATTTTTTTTCAATAGTTTGATTAGATTGATCCTTATATACTTTTACTTTCTCATATGAATCTCCTCCCCCTCGACAGGAACTGACACTGAAACTTGTAGAAGTTGATTCTCAGTTGAAGAAACTACAACAAGTGATGCAGGAAATAATGGGAGAAGTCAAAGCAAAGCGCTCTCAACTGGAACGCAATCCCCTGCTCCGGCGGGAAAGGGAATTGTATATCTTCTTCCACTTGGACACAAAACTTCTGCAGAAAGTAGTGGAAGATCTGGAGAACAAGATGCCAAACAGAGGAGACCTCTGAAATCACGAGGACTTCTTCCAGGCTCCTGCTACGACAATAAGGACTTATTACTCTTTAGACAATTGAGATGACTATTGGAAGTTTGAACCATTGTTCTTTTGTGAAGTTAATAATGATTAATTTGGGAAAATTGAGCAGTTCTGTTTAAATATTGCTGTATTTCTTTAAAAAAACAACTTTGTTTCATATTCATATCTTCCTGTTATCCTATTCTACTTGTTTGTGTTTATCTGTTAAATAAAATTCAGTTGAATCAGCACACGTTTTTTTTATTTAGGTCTCTGTAAAATTCTACTTTAGACCAGGTCTGTGCAGCACTGAAATGTATTTCTTGTCCTTTTTGCCCTGTAAAAGCTAGAGCCAAAGACCAACAGGAAGAAGACACTGTTAGGGAGGAGATGGAGGAGCCGAGCAGCAGGTTGTACTGCGGTCCACTCTCCCAGGAGGCCCTGAAGATCCTGGCTGCTCTACGAGCCGAGAATCAGGATCAGTGCAGGTCCAATCTGCACTCCTCCAGCAGTCGCAGGCAAAGTCAGTTAGAGTAGAAATAAGCATTATGTTGGTGTGCAACATAACATTTTCTATCGAGTCCCTGCCGTAACTTTCTGTTTGATGTTTTAGCCTACTTATGATTACTAGTACTTTAAGCACTACTATTACTTAACAAGTCATTCCACTTGTACATTTTGTAGATGTTTGTGATGAAACAAGGCAACTGAATAATCGGTACAGAAATGCTTTTGCTTATTTTGACCAACATACAAGTCATAAACTGTTATGTGTTTGGATTTGCTTATGCTGTGTTTTTATGTTAGTGGAAAGGTGTAATTACATCCATGTGGAGTCATGGAGTCCAAGCAGCTGCAGTCAGTTGGAAAGTAAAGACAATTTCTCCTGTTGGTAAGTCAGATGAAATTGTGTCTCTTGACAGTTATGAACATAAATAAATATAGTTTATTAGTCTGCACCTCTCTAAAAAGATGGCCTTTGGGCAATCTGGCCATGGCTCAGCAGAGTAACATAAATTACTGCAGGCCATTAGATTACTGATTATCAACCATAAAATGCCTAGCTAGACCAAAGTTCAGCGATAACAGCTATCAACTCTTCATGTTCAATGTCAATAGAGCTCAAATATTGCAAAGTCATGATGGGTAGGATTTTTGTTTTTTTGCTGCGTCACAAACCTAGATTTTTTTTTACTTTATAGAACAATATGAAGTAGTTTTCCTGTGAAGTGGAAGGAAAGAAAAGATTTTCAAAATGTTTTGTGAGTAAAAAGAAGTAGTGTGGTATATTAGGTCCTGGTAAGTTTGCAGCTGTGCCTCTCTTTCCATTTTCAGATATAACAACCTGAGGCCTTCACAGAACACCTGCATTTATACTGATATTAAAATATCACCAGAGTCCAGCTCTGGACACCAGCAACTTAGTAACTGCTACTTTTTAGTTGCAACTCCTACTAAAAAGTAGCAACTGCTAAAAGTAGTTGCTACTTTTTAGCAACTACTCTAAAAAGTAGTTGCTGAGGTAATTGTTCTGGGTTCCAAGTTTCAATCCCTGTTCTGGGTTGCTAAATAAGTGTAAGTAAGTAACCTCTGGATACTCCTATTCTGGGTGATATTGCACAATGTTAGAATACCTACTAATATTATTCTGTGTTGCTGTGATCCAGGCCCATCTGTGACCATAATGCTACCAACGAGACACAGAGTAATCTGATTCCTGCCACGGTTCAGGCCTCTCTCCAGAAGAAAACTCCTCAGGCGTTCCCCGATCATCAGCGTTTCCAGACAGACTCCCACAAATTGTTCCCAGACCCCCCTGCTCACTTTCCCAGACAGGTGGTGTCATCCTCTCAGGAGACACCAACACGACACGACACATCTTCCTTTTCTCTCCAACTACCAAACTGTCTGTCTGATCAACAAACTTCCCCCTGCAACACGTAAGAAGCAGAGAACGCGAACCATACAGTTGCAATGCTCAAATTTCTATGCTAATTGTTGTTTTTCTCCCAAAGATCGCCAGCTTTCATGCTCCGTCAATTCAAAGACGTCGAAGCCCCTGATGAAACGCTTCCCTCGACAACAGAGCAGCCTGATTCTCATTCTGTAGCATGTCGCACACAATTACCTTTCTCTGATGAACGTAAAGAGACAGCGAACTCATCAAGTGCACATAATGAAGACGAAGCTATCTGGGATGTTGGTGCCAATGAGGCAGAGAGCCTTGAACTTTCAGGCAGGAGAGTAAAGTGGATAGAGAGTGTGTCTAACATCTCAGAAGAGGCTGCTGGTGGTGTAGATAAGCATCAGCAATCAGAGCTGAGCACAACTGAAAGTAAAAGGGGGCACTTGCCTCCTATTGACTTTGTAACAAAAGACGTGTGCCAGACAGTGGCTGATATAGCGGAGAGGAGACTCTCAGAGGGACCACTAGTTGAGTCTGAAGCCACTACATTTATCCTGGAGGACAACAGAGCTCACAACCTGGAACGGTTTGGCCTCGTAGCAGTGGCGGTGGAAAGCAGGACAGAAACAGACCATCAGGAAAACATTGAACACAAACTGATGAACTGCTTTGCTACTAAAGACTCAGATTTACACAGAATAAACACAGATGTACAGAAGTTAGAGGAAGTCAGATTTTTGCCTAAATCTGCAGGTGAGTTTTCTTGCGTTCTTATTTGCCATTTATTGTCTAATTTTCTGTTTCCAGTTTTCTCTATGTATCTAAATTTCTATAACGTCAATGCTTAATAGCGTTATCTTAACCAGAAAAGGCTATTAATCATCCATCATCCATTTATTCCTGAGTATTGAACAATTTCACATACACTGGTCACCACCAGGGGGTGCTACAGTCCTTCTGTAAATGCATGCTTTCATCAACAGATTAAAAATATGGTACATTACCATATAAATTCTACTGAGAATATGTTTGGTTCAATTAGTTACTGTTAGAATTAAGGATTTATATACCGGTACTATGGATGAAGTTTTGAACCTACTTTTTTGGAGGGAAAAGAATCTTAAAAATGCAATTTTGAGCTCCTACTCAATGGAATACAAATATTCTTTTATATGCCACAGTAGGAAAATTCATTTCATATTACTGCCTCATAGAAAATATGGCTAGTTTTACATTGGACTGTGAATAATGTAGTATATAGTCTGTGCAGTCTGGAAAAGTATTGAATTCTGTTTTGTATTGTACAAATTTGGATAAGTATGGAAAACAAAAAATGGAAAAATTTTGCTTCTTAGACACTATCAGCAAGACCATTGTTTAAAAGTTCATCCATCCAATTAATCTATCTGTGGTTTTTGCTTGCTCTGTGTTTAAAGGCTGACCTGGGAAAAGTAAAAGCTTTTATTTTGGTGCCAACAAAAGAAAATTCAAACATACTTTAAATTTGTTCAGATTCTCCTTATACAAAGAAACTTAAACATGTGTAGCTTTTAAACAACAAAAAAATTAAAAGTAAGTGCTTTTTTTCAGTTATTTGTTTTACAAGCAGAAGCAAATAGAAATGTAGTAAAAATTTATTGAACATTAAGAAGCACAGTGTTCATTTTGCTCTACGTTTCAAATTAACCAAGATGGCAGTAGATAGCACACTAAGGAGTGCTTTATCAATTTTTCTTATTCATCCTGTATTGTAGAGTAACCAAAAACACGATAATGAACAGGAGAAAACCCACACATGCGGCAGGAGAACATGCAAACTACACGCTGAAAACGCTCAAACTGGTACCATCTTATTTTAAGGCAACAGTGCTAACTTTAGAAATAATAATAAAGTTTGAGGGAGTTGTTGTTGTAGGGAAATACAAAAACATTTGAACTCAAACATCAGTGCAACTCCGCCATCTCCCATTCTGCTGAGTGGCAGCGATGCCATGTCAGTGCTGGGTAGACGTCTTTGACATAATGTTGTGCTCACTCAGTTTTCAGCTACATGAAGGAGCTTGAGTCTGAGATGCGCAGACAGTGCTGAATCAACGGACACACACAAACTCATATACAGATTCCCCGTCAGCAGCAAGCAGGTTGATATAATCCTGGCAGAGCTCCCTCTGTTGCACTGTGCTGACACATTCGGCTGCCTTTATGGCCTCGTACATTCTTCCTGAAAAACACGCTTACACAACAGAATAGATTTATTGATTCACGATGTAGAAGAAAAGTGATGATCTGATTTTTAAAAAACGCTGTCACTTGCCGTCTTCCAGAGGGCTCGGATGGTGAGCAATGCCTTGTACCAACGCTTTCCCTGGAGTTTGAGCCGCTTAGGTCAGAGTTCAGACCTCTCCATCGTCCTGATCATCCTGGCGATCTGCAGGTGAGTCTTAGTTGAACAAACAAATGCATATAATCAGAAATCTGAGACGATGCAAAATGAAATGGTTTTTTTTTTAATCGTGCTGAAATTTCTAGTGAAAACTTTTTCACAAAAAGTAGTTTATGTGGGACTTCCTCACTTTTTTCATAGAGACTTACTCAACCACTACCTCTGCCTCTTAATCCCTCTTTCTGGGGACACTTGTTACTGTTATTGCAGGCATCCAAAAACTCCTTAAATTTGAATTGCTGCTTTCAGCAGGGGATTAGGTCTCTGTGTCTTCACACACTGACAAATTAATCTGTCTTGCATGAAATTGGGAAGTAGAGGAAGTGTTTCAGCACACAGTCAACTGAAAGCTCTTTGCTAAGCTGTAAAGTTCACCAAAAGTTCTTAAAAAGCTGTCCCGACGTTATTGGTGCTGTTGTCCTTTGTGATAAGAACTACAAAGTGAACAAAAGGGTGGAGCTTATGGCTTTACAGATAAATCAGCGGGTCGAAGATGTGGGAGTGCGTGGAAAATATGAAAGGAGATTACAGAAAGAAGTGCAAGGCAATACTGTATTGCTGCGATCAGCAGAGGATGTTCTCTCTCCCTTCTCATTCACTCTCTCACAGGTCTGTTTGCCTAGCGCTTGGCTGCAGGCCATGGCCTGCCTACGGGCCACGGCCTGCCTTGGTTTTCTATCTATATCCTGTAGCACAGCACCCGAGGGAGGTTCATGACTTTGTCAGCAGGAAAACGGGCTGTGTTTACAAGGAAATCAGGAAGATTCTCCTGAGGGAGCTGATTCACAGGAATGCCTGTCCACTGAACACTTTGCTGACAACCGTGCAGAATTTTGCACCTTCATCCAGTTGCTCATTATACTCTATGAAAGTCATCACATCTCTTTGACATCTCTTAGAGAATTTATATGAACAGTTAATTGTGATTTATTATCAGGAAGCTCATGGAATTAACTTCTAACTATGGCAGTAATCTCAATATTGAATTATGTAATTTAATTAACAAAACAGGAAAAACAAACTTTTCCTGAAAAAATAAAAGAAATGTGGGAGCAGATGGGGTTTGGTGTTGTGTATGAAGGTGACACCGTGACCCTGTCTCAGCTTCAGGCAGACTTCTCAGACGAACAACATCTCTGCTGTCTGACTTCTAGTCTGGGAAGCAGTGCTGAGGGCTAGTCCCACATTCATTTTTTACCCTTTCTTAGTCAGTGGATGACACTGCATTTGATCTATTTCAGGATGAATGCAAATATGCATTTTTGTGATTATTTGTAAAACATTATTGAAAGGCATGGACAGTTTACTCCCATTTCACTGTAATGTGCTGTTTTTGTGCATCAAACATATTAACATTTGTGGCTGTGACTTAATAAAATGTGAACAGGTTCCAACACTTTTTATATTTTTGCAAAGTATTATATGTGCATCTCTAAAGTGTCTTTATTCATGTTATTCTTTGTGGATATTCTTTGTACAACATCATATGAGATCTTCATAAACAGTCCTTCTGATTTTAGGTTTTTGTGCTTTGCTTTCTTTTACCGTTTTCTGCTCATCTTTGGTGAAGACCGACAGAAAATCAGACGGGGTCCTGATCCCAGAACGGTCACAAAACTCCTTGCTCCAGGACTCGATCACAAATACAACACTTGACAAAGAACTATACACAAAACAACAGACTTCTGGGATTGACTCACATCATCCTCCCCTCACTCCATCCTTTCCCCAAAAAAGAAAATATGATGTTATCCACCATCAATGTGTAAATCTACCCCTGAAGAGCCACAAAAAAAGTCATCCTCCCAAGTGGGAACCGCCACGTTCCTCACCACGGACGGTGGTGGAAGGAGACATCAGCGAGGTGAAGAAAATCAGACTTCAACCATCCGTTTCTGGATGCCCAACATTATCAGAAGAACAGCAGTTTAAAATCCCCCTGAAGACAGATGTTAAAATCCCTACACAACCACATGCTCTGGAACAAACTCAGCCCATCAGTCAGAGTGAACTGGAAAAATCCTCCAATAAAATGGGAAAGATTGCTCCCAAACAGAAGCTCTTTGCCAAACTCTGCAAACACAGGTTGGCCAAATCGAGGATCGATCCAGCCATCGACGGTCTAAAAGGTTTTCATAACATAGTTACGACTAGTGAGCTACAAACTCACTCCAAAGCTGGCTTACACTCTACAAGCCTGACATTCGATGGCAGAATAAAGGATTCTGGGAGGCTGAACCCAGAGGAGAGAGTTCAGATGCTGAAGCAGGCTGGACAGGCTGAGGTGGTGGTGATAACAATGATGTTTCAGGATGGAGCAACCCAATTAGACCGTGAACAGGTGAGTGGACTCTAGTGGCCTGTACACTGAGATTGCAAGATAGGTCACTGGTCCTGAACATTAGCGTTACATATAATTGGTTTGAGTTCTTCGCTCTATTTAGGTAAATTCAACATGAGTCAATGTATTAAAGCAGCCAGGGTAACTGCTGTTAATACAGTCTAATTAAAGTGCATTTTTCTGCATTTTGGTAAATTTAATCACCACAGTTACGTGTTAACTTAAGGATTTTTTAAAAAACAAATGGATAAGGGAAATTCATAAATAAATAGGCAGTCAAATTTGATTTTCACTTGTAAATTCCAATTAAGGGAGAGGGACTGTTTGTTCATTTTTCCAACTCGAAAGTTAGTAAAATCCCCAGAAAGGTTGTTTTCTTCATCACTCAACCATCTAGAAGAAAAAAAAGTAAATCTGCCGGTACGACTGCTTTAAAATACCTCAAATAGAAAATCTTAGCATTTACTACTTGCTTTTAAATGTTAAACACCTAGTCTTACCGGTACAATAACTTAGTTTTAAGCCTTTTTGACACATGCCTGCTGTTCTGTTTAACATGTTCTTTTCTGATTCCTGACATAGAAGCTCGCTCCAGCAGTATGTGGCCTCCTTGTGCTGATGAAGAATGATCTTTGCAGTGCAACACCTTGTTGGTCACTGGGGTCGAATGACAGCCTCGTCTACTTGAAACTAGAGCACAACCCTCCATGGGCACAACAGCAACTTCAGCACACTCAGCAGCCTTTTACCAGGTCTGTCTGTCTGTATGAGAGAAACCTTTGTACGACAAAGAGCTTCACTGTAAATCTAGATTCATTTTACATCTTTCATAAACATGCTGAAGTCCTAAAAGTGTCTTTAAAATTGTGTGCCACAGAGATATGATACTATGTGTGCTGTCAAGGTCAAAACTGGTGGTTTGCTATAAAGCCAAGGATTTTCTTCGTACAGTTCTGCTGTTATACAAACAGGATCTAAGCTGGAAACAAGGTATAGCTCTTGAGACGACGCATCCTCACACTCTTCTCACACCAAAACTTGTGCGTTTATTTTCAGCTTCAGCTGCCTTCAAGAATCATTGTGCATCTTCACAACAATAGGCTTATTAAAGTTTGTGTTGTTTGGAAGAATTCTTAGAAAAAATTAACCTGAGCTTTTAAGTGACATATTTACTTCTGAACGTACCTTATAAGGAGCATATCTTGTACTTCTGCACGGAGATTTGAGCTGTAGGTGGATGACTAGTTGAAGTCAAAGTTTAAACAAATACAAGCAGCTGCTTACATTATAACAGACAGATGAAGTGACTATTTGTCTTTTGCTTTTCTTGGTTGTTTGATTTTGTTTTTTGTACACCACTGTTTTTCAAAAATTTCTCATTCATTTATAATCATTTTACTTAACAGATTTTTGTCCAAGCATACTTGTGATTGTGTGTAATTATACTTGTGTGTATAATTACACACAAGTAATTATACTTGTGTGTAATTACATTGAAAAAACATTGTTTTTTTCAATGTAAACTAAATGAAATCATATATTTAAACCAATATATATCATTGTGGCTGCATAATACATTTTGCTTTCTTTGAATGGAACAAACTCAGATTGTTTATGCGATAGTTCTCCAAACACACAGTCAACCTTTTCTAGGCGAGCTCTATTCAGTTAATTCTACCAGCCTCTTTTCATATTGGGCTATGCTGTGTGATGTTCCTTTCTTTGTGCTTTCTTATTACTGTCTGCAGTGGCAGGTTGTCAGATCCAAGATCCACAGGTTTCAGGGTGGCTGCTGGATCCCACTGATCCCTCCTCCTGCTTCAGAGACCTTCTTAATAAACATTGCAAAAAGCCACGTGCAACACCCTCCCTGAGTCCTGACAAGGTTAGCCAAATATCACTTAATTAGCTTCTGATGGTTGAAAATTACTGCACTGTACTTCTGGGACTGTCAGAGGCTTCTTGTTTGTGTTATGTTTCCATTCACAATCAGAACTTCTCACTAAAATGTATTGCACTTGTCTTAACGTGTAACATTTGGATCGAGATAAATCAAACTTTAGATTTATGAGGGATCTGAAGGTCAAAGTGACTTTACCTAACCTGAAAAACATACTGACTCTATTCTTAACAGTTAATTATGGATCATCTGGCTGGAAAAAAAGACAAAGATAAAAACTTAAATGTATCAGAGCATTGCAGATGTCCTAGAACAAGAAAAAATTCCTTTATAGAGGTACAACAAATGTAAAATATTAATGTTTTAGTAAGTTTATTGAACCCAGATTGTAGGATCTGAATTTTAAAGAACCTCATAAAACATTTAGGGAATGCTGGTATGTTTTGGGGATGTTTTGATGCATTTTCAGTTTCGGTTTAATTATCCCAGAGCTTGACTGAATTGGAGAGTTATTTAGGTAGCGACACACAGAAATAATGGCCTTTTTACCAAACTAATAAACAAGTAGGATGAAACTATATTAAAGCAGATAGAGAAAGCAAAAGTGGCCGTTTTTTCTGCCTTTGATTTAGAATTACTGTTTCTAATCCAATTAGTTTCTTTGTTTTTTTTTATGTTCTCACATTAACGTCAGCTAATAAGTGTATGCAACTTTACGATGTGCTTTTAAAAGTGTTTTTATGTATACTTAATGTGCAGAATGTGTTCCCCTTTTGCTCTGCTCTTTAGAGTAACACAACAGCCTAATTTTGGTCGGTTAATGAAATGTAGTTTTAAATGAGTGTTGTGTTAATTAAAGTGAGTGTTCCTTTCGATTTCCACGCCATTACTTGGTGTTTGGATGTAAATTCATAAAAACATCATAATATTGAGTAATACTGTTTCTCTTGTCAGCTATCTTACTCTATTCACCTGTCTGCTCCCTTTTGTTTAGGTTTCTCACATCATCTCAAGTCTCTATTGGCTCTTTGACCTTAATCTGGCCTTATGCTCTAAACTACAGGTTGGTTGTACACACGCCTTTAATTAACTATGTGTGAAATGACACTATTAACCTGCTTGGCTGATTGAATTTTCAGAGCCATGGCTTGTGGGAACTCTACTCAGAAATAGAGCTGAAAATGATCACTGTTCTTGCTGGTAAACACCATTGTTGGTTCCTGAAAAAGCAACAGAATCTTGATTGAAAATACATTTTTATGACTTTTTGTTTTAATCCCTATGTTAGTAAGATTTATATAAAATGACGAGACTATTATTACCAGTAGAAAGCCTTATTGTCTACTTATTACACTTATTTTCAAGTAATGAGTGTCAGAACATGTGTTGCATTTCAGTCATGGAAAGCCACTGCATCTATGTGGACAAAGGAGCACTTAAGAGAACTTCAGACCTGCTTGGGGTAAGATGGACTAAGTACTTGGAATTTTTTCATAGAAGATTTTAGCAGTATCCCACAACAACACTGGAACAGATCAGTGTGGTTAAATATTTTCCACTCAGTGGGAGCAATTTTAGGAAGTATACCTTTTTAAGCTATCGTCACACAAGCAAACAATATGTCAACAATTTTCCTCCAACACTATGAGAAAAAAAGCTTCGAATTTGAAATCAATTTAAGTGATATAACAGTTACAGTGACAGAGGATACCATTAAAGACTAAAGTTTAAAAAGTTAAACACTGCCACACACTTTAGAACAGTGGTTCTGAATTTGAAAGGGAGAGTGAAATAAATACTTGTCAGTCCAAGCGACGTTAAATATATTGTTATTGTTGACAAATTTACATGTCGAAGGTGATAAAGACATGTTGTGTGGCTCAAACTAGCTATAATTGCTACTTACGAGACAAAACAACGCGATTCTTCCTGAGTTTACTACGCCACCGAATGTTATGTCTGTAGGAAGCATCATAATGATGGATCTGTTTTAAAGAACAGTTGTGGTGGGTTATGCTTTATGTTTGTAAGATTTCCTATGTTTAGGAAATTTTGATGATTATTGCCCTTTAAATGTGTGTGTGTTTTTGCTGCGTCATTCTGGGTGAAGTTTTGGCTGCAGAAGCAAGGTGTGTGAGAGAGTAGGCTTCAAAGAAAGGTTAAACAGTGAGACATCTGGAGTGCGAAGTGGAAACATGTAAAATCTGAATAAGGAAAGAAATTAGTTTTGGGTTTCCTTCTTCTGTTGAAGGTGAACGTCTTCTGGGATTGCTTTTTTTCTCAGAATTAAAAATGAAGTCTGGAGACTATATGCAATTTTTCACAGTCTGACAAAGACACTGATTGATGCTGTAGATTCAGATCCCTGCAGTCTTTTTTGAGGCGCAGAATCAAACATGTGCCCTTAAACTCATTCACATCAGTTGGAAGCACCAGCAGGGGAATTGTTGTGGAGACAGTCTTGGTATCTTGACTACTAGGACTATAAATAGACCCGATGCTCCTGATTTTCTTTCTCTTTTAAGAGGCTATCTTGCATGAAAGAACATCGCGCACACACACACACACACTGGCGGAGACACTGATGTTCACAGCTGAGTGTTTGCTTGTCTCTTCGCAAAATTCAGTAACGGTGAATGCAGTCAGGTGTGTCCCCACACTGTCGTTTTGGGTTTTCTGTCTGAGCTGTCAGGTTCACCTGTCTGAACATCAAGTCTCTGTGCTGTCAGGGCGTGTCTCACAGACATGCTCCCCGGGTGTTTTGTTTTGCAAGACAGCAAAGAAAGAAAGACAGGTGTCACTGAACGAGCCCTTCACTGTTTGACTGGGCTCTTCAGATCACAGTAGAGATCTTTTTAATTTCTAGTTAATCAGGATCAAAAGGGAAAAATCTGCATTTTGACAAAACAAAAACCACTGATTCACAGTTGGAACACATATCTCCTCCGAGCCTGTACTGTCTAAAGGGCTAGCATCTAATATTGATGAGGCAGTCTGGAACCTGCTGCAGGCAACGAGGGAGACGGAGATAAAAAGTCCAGTTTTTGAAGTTTGGGTGGGTGTTTGCCAGCTAGCCTCATTTTGCCCTTTCATTGCTGGCCTCTGCATTTTTTTGTGTTTGCATTCTTTGTTTGCCATCCCCGGGGTTCTTACAGAGTCTGGAAAATTCTGGAAAAGTTTGGCATTAACTCTTAGGTTTTTCCATGTTTGAAAATATGTGGGAATATAAAAACTTTTAGAGGTTTAGACTTCATGCCACTTCCTGTTCTCTAAAAGATGGAACCATCCATCCTCTTATCTACTCTTCCATTCCTACCCGTCTCTTTTTCAGTTTTTGTTTCTTCAAATAGCATTTGATATGTCTGTAGAGCTTGCTGTTCATTCTTGTGCTTTGTCCTGATGATTTTCTCACTTTATATTAAAAATAGGTTCCAAAACGTTACGTTCCCTGACAGTTCCCCATTTTCTTTAACACTCACAAATCTTTGCATTGTTTCTCATGTGATAATCTTTTTTGTTTCTATACTTTTTCTGGTCCATTTTGTGCCTTTGAGGAGCTTAAGCAAAAAGCTGCTGTATGTAACCACCACACAATCTATGGAGGAATAATATTTAAACAACTTTAAACCCAGCTGCTTGAATTCATGTTGTATGAGTATGAATTATTTGACATTACTACATTCATTTTTCTGTTCTCTGCTTATATCTCTTCAATTTCCTCATTCATTTATCACCTTTATCTTTTTCTCCATACAGTGTCATTTCATTTCTCTTAACCCGCACTTTATTACAACAAAGTTGCTGCGTTGCCAAATTGATTATCACCTCAACCAATGCATCATCTTGACTTCTCTGTGTAGATTTTAGTTTCTGTAGTGCTGCTTTGTTTGTAAAGATATTTGACAGCTGTTTTGTGTCTTACATGCATTTTGTGCTTGACTGAAGTGTGTAGCAGTAAGAGGCTCAACTTATATAGATTTCAATGTTAAAAAAAGGTAGAAATGAGGAAAAGATGAGGTAAACTTTACCTTAGGGCTCAGTTCCAGGTCAAATGAAATTGCTCTCTTGTATGACTTGTATGACTTAAAAATGTGGCTTTATAGGTGAGCCTACATCAGAGAAAAATGTACAAACGCTTTAAAATGGCTTTATAGTCATGGAATGATGAAACAAACCTTTTCAGCTAAAACAAGATTATGCATTGATTTTTTTTTTGTGTTTTCTTTTCATTAAAAATTATTATGTTTCTGGCAGACTAAAATGAAACAGCTGGAGCAAGAGGCCCACAAAGCAGCTGGGGAAATGTTCTTGGTGACCAGCAGCGCTCAGCTACGAACAGTAAGTTAAAATTGGACTTCAGTTTGCAGAGAGCTTTGCAAACTGATTAATTAGCGTAAGGTCAAACAAAACATTGAAAGGGTAGATTTAAAATCTGCACAACTTTTCTGTGAGCTGTGTCTTGCATGTGTGTTTTTCTTTCAATATGCAATGTTTGAAGGTACTGTTTGAGAAGCTGCGCTTACAGGAGCGCTGCGAGAACAGGAAGCTTCCCAAGACCATCAACAAACAACAGCAGTCAACATCAGAGGCAGCGGTACAGGAAACACACAAACACACACATTGATGTCAGTTTAAACTGCATGTCTTTACGAATTCATAAAACCTCAGGCTAGTTTATTATTCCAATATGAATACATATTTTCATGCACATGAATCATAAAGAGCAAAGATAGCGAACATTTGAATATAAATTATTTGAGCATAAAGTTCTTTATAAAATATCTCCTATAGTTACAGTACTTCAATACATAGAATTAAAGGAAAAAAAAGTGATACATAAAGTGAGAAAGTACAAGGAATAATGCAGATTCACAACAAAAACTACTTTGAAGTTCAATAAGTATGATTTTGTTGCAGTTGCTGCAGCTCCAGGACCTTCATCCTCTGCCAAAAATCATCCTGGAGTACCGACAGGTCGGCTATGTTAATAAAGTTTACAGTAGTGCCCATTCTTTTCAAATTTTGAGTTAGTAGGATTGTTATTTTATCTAACTCAACTCTATAAGCGGACCAACTTAACCCAATCTAATTTCTTAAACAAAGTGAATGCATAAACTCTGCAGCAGTGGAGCATTTTTGTTTTGGTTGTTCTAACAGGTTCATATATTGTTTCTTCCAGGTCCACAAGATGAAATCCACGTTTGTTGATGGGATTTTGTCATGCATGAAGAGCAAGGTGAGGCAACCACTGGTTTCATGTGGCAAAACTGTTCAATGTCACACCATCTACGGCTGTGCAATACATTTGCAAAGTTATTTGCGCACCTTTATGCAAAAAAACATCACTTGAAAAATCTTTCCTAACTTTTAAAGAATTAGGCCTCCATAATTATAATGATGTGGTAACTCTAATGCTGTAGACTCATATCATAGTATTTATCTCTATGTCAGCTTTATCTGCAGGACTTTATAAGCAAAGTTTCCCTACAGGGCTGCATGACAAGATGCACTAAAAGCCAAAAGCAGTAAAAATGAGCTCATCAGAACAATAAAATAAAACAGTGAAGGTAATACAAACACAATTAAAACTAACACAGCACAGTGGTAAATTCTTTCTGCAAAATGTAATAAAATAGAGTGATAAAATTAGGATATAATGCTCTGTTGGAGTCTGAAGCTAAGGGACAGCTTTTTTATGGATTGCTAAATTCCTGCATAATTTAGAAGCAGCAACCCGAGAAGGAGCAGCGACCTCTGCTTTTCTGTTTGGACCGAGAGACTTATAAAAGCAGTCTGTTGTTTCACCTCAATGTCCCGATCAAGCTTTGATTTTTGTTTTTTAGTAAAACAATAAAACAATTTCAAACTCCTCCTGAAACAAACTGGAACGAACTCTATCACTGACAATTTGTAATAGCAAAGCAATGAAACACCCTGTCTGAGATAGTTCCCCAAAGCTGTCACACTCTTTTCATGCCAGCATTGTATTAATTAGTCAGGAAAGTTCTTCATCTGACTGTCTCTTCAAATAGGCCTCAGTCAAACCTCACATACGGGAGCAACAGCTTTTGTTTGTCAAATCTGTTGTCGAACCTGCAAAGGCTGTCTGTTTGGCTGATGGTGAAAGTGATTCATTTGGTGGTCTTTTAGCCAGAGCAGGCAGCAATCCCAGACAGAAAAAAAAAACATAATGAGATGCATACAAATCCCTTCCTTTACATGTGTGGCATTATGCAGTGGCAAACCTAATCTGGAATTAGAAAGAATTTAAAGTGGAAACAAACAAAACGACTCTAAATAACAAAATTTAAATCCTGATGTGTCTTTTGATGAGGCATCTTGTCCAAACATTCCTTTTTGTTTTGTTTCTTCAATTTATGTTGCAGTTAAATGTTTAAATTACATCACTTAACGGCAGACTTGATCATTGTTATGCTAGAAGTTCTGTTTCTTCGTGTAGTTGGAGCTACAATTTAACAAAATGTTCAAACTGGGCAAGGTTGATGGCCAAAAACACACTAATCCACAAGCTGATGGTGGCTTCAGCTGTTCTTCTCAGTTGGAACTGGAAAGCGATAAGCTACATGGAACAGTTCTGGATAAAATGTCCTCCTGTTTGATTTGATTAGTATCACCTTAACTTTGCGTATGTTTGTGTCCATTTCAATACATCAGAACTACATTTCTTCTACGTGGCACCAGACGAGTGCTGTGACTGGGAGAATATCAGCCAAACACCCTGTAAGTACAACCAACATGGTTGATTCGTCTCTGTCTTCATGTGTTGTCGTCCGACTCAGTGGAGCTTTCCATGGTGCTGAACTTCAGCCAGCAGTACTCTTTTCAACTTGCATTGTAGTTGTAAGATCCTGCAGAGTATACAAACAAATATCTTAAAGTTAAGATATTAAAATATTTAAATATATGTAGCAATTAGAATAATATGAAGGCTCAATAAAACTTTGAAGAATTTAAATCATGTGAAGTTTACTTGAAGTCTTTGTTTTTTATGACAGAAGAAAATCATTAGTGTGGAACAATTATGTAAATGAAGCAGGGAACATTTTAATAACGTTTCAGAGTTTGTTTCTGAACGTCTATTTTTGTTTTTTAATTGAATAACTAGTTCAAAATATGGTGACAGAACATATGTTTTTGCTTTTATACGAAATAATAAACCGAGGGTTTCAGTGAGCTGTGTTTATGAGCCAGACAAGAAGAGAAAGTTTTAAAATCCTAAATGTGCCTGTGTTTTTCAGAAAGGGAATAACAGTGTTGCATTAAAATGCTTTATATGGAGTCAGGAAAACAGTGCTGTTGAAAAATTCATTATTATTCCTTGAGCTGATAGAAACTTGTACATATTTCAAAAAAGTGATAGTTTTAAATAGTTTGAAAAATATTTCCAGCATTGGTGACTTTTCCTTTACCTTGCCTACTCCCTCAACCTTCCTAAATTATTTTAGAAACTTGCATACAGAGCCTCCAGAAATGTTAATAATATGTGAAAAGATGTCCAGAAAGCCTGAAAATGCATTTGTCTTTGATTGCAGTACCAAACTCTCACAGAACATTTTCACATTTTTGCATAAAATCTTTTTCTGTATTTACTCACAGCGGAAAAATGTCTATTTACTATAACATCTGTGACTTTTTTGACAATTTAACAATTAAACTATTTAAATTAAAAAGTTTAAGATTATCAGAGTATCTGGGAAATTTTTATTAACTCATGACTTTTTATTTTCATCTACCATAAAAGATCAATTAATTTCAAGGCTATTTAAACATCTTTGCAATTTCTGCCAGTTTCAAACATCTTTCAGTAATTGGCACAAAACCCCTCAGACCAGCACCAAAATAAAGTGGCTTATATTCCTTTAAACCAGCCTTTCAAATCTGCACAAAAACACAAATAGAGCTAAATACTCAGAAAATAGTGCTTTGTAAGAAATTGAAAAAGAACGAAAAAAAAGTCAAAGTTCAAGAAGAACTTTGAGAAATCTCCAAACAGCCTAGAGGAGAATCACTTTAAAAATATTACAAGGAAAGTCCAGCGTCTGAGGCACAAAATACTAAGAAATGTAGGCGCTCGATATTTTATCACAGTCCCGAATATCAAGAGACGACTCAGACACATGCCCTACATCTTTTCTACTTTCACCATAAAGCCTGACCACTCCTTCCTGATATGTGACGATCGATAGCTCATTTCTACATTCCCCCCGTGTCAGGGTCAATTAGTTCCTTCACTTTGTATTTCAACTCTCATCTGAATGAAATACACATCTATTTCTGCGTGAAGCTATTGGACTTGTCCAGTCTCCCTTTGCGATTCGTGAGCCAAGGAGGTGTAGAGGGAATTGATTGTGTTGCTAGTAAATGATTGATGTGACTGCTGGTGTGCTGTGGTGTAACCACTCTGATTCAGCTCCTCAAACGCAAATGTAGAAATTGATTGATCATCACATTAAGGTTGTTTGCTTAAATGCTTGCATGCAGTAATTTATGTGTACCTGTGTTGATATGAGCAAGTTGGTTTTGATCATGGGCCATGAGGGTTGGGATTTGTTTTCTAATTGATTTTATAATAAAATAGAACTAGTTTTTGTTTTTATTTTAAGTTCAGAGCCTCTGGTGGTTGTGATGTTTAAGCACATATAATTTTTGCTTCTGTTTTTAAATTACTTCGAATACTATGTGGCTCTACCACAATTGTGAGTAAACGTAAAGCCTTGTATGTACAGTTCAATAAAGCACAAAGCAGTAGAAAGCACTACTTATTGTTTTTAGTTTTTATTTGGAAGACAGAAAAAAATCTCTTAATTTAAGGGTTAAACTAAAAATAGAGAGGATGTGCAGCCAGCCCCCACTCACAGATGCAGTTCAGATGCTAATATGAAAATGAGGAGAGTTGAAGTGGGATGTGACTTTCATCTGTTATGAGCAAAGTCGAGGTAATCCCAGTCTGCAGAAAAAGCAGAGGAGACATAAAAGCAGCACTGTGAGAAATCTGTTGTGCAGAAGTAGGTCTTTGCAGAGCTAGCTCATGTTTTGATCTAAAAAATTGAAAATGCCATGCAGTCTGTGTGATCCCCAGTGGTGGTAATATCTGCTGGTGCTATGCACTTCTTTTTCATTTCCTTTGACATGTTAATCTCGCCTGCTACTTTGGTGATTCAGTATATGTTTCTTTCACAGTTATAAACTTTGCCTATCTCTTCTATGATTATTTGTATAACTTTCTGTGGAGTTTTTTTGCCCTTTCCTTCTCCTATTCATTCTTTGAATCTGAAGAAGACAAACATGATGCCTAATTAGATTGAACTTCTTCCTTCTACTAATTTTCTGTCACAAACTCAACAATACTCTCGCCCCCGAGTCGTTTAAGTAGAAATCCTTTTTCATTTGATTAGTTTTTTTGTTCTTTGACAGATTTGCACAATTTGACACCTACCTAAGTCTTAAGTTCTTTCTCTCCTTTTTTTTAAATTTATTTTTTACTAAAACAGTGAAACAGTTTTTGACTTGCTGCTCTGTTTCATATCTGAATGTTGGAGCATTATTGGTGCTATAGGGTGAACAAGTGGAGATCCTTGAAAGATTGATGGACACTGTATAAGAAACAGAACTTTCTTTACCTTTCCTGTGTGAGGCCAGTTAAGATTACCATATTATTATTTTATTGGGGCCACGAAGTGAACATCTTATTTTTACTTTTTGCAAAATTTACCAATTGTAAATGTCTTGTTTCTAAGCAGATACGCAGTATTTCAAAAGAGCTAATGTTTTATAAAAATAATATTATTTGTTATTAATATGTGTTAATGACCAAATTAATAAGAATTAATTTGGTTTTTAATTGTATAATTAATTGTATAATCTGATTTTAACTTTTGTGTTGAATGTCTGTCAACAAGCATTTTCACTTTTTTGCCAAATTCACCTAATGCACAATTCTTGTTAAATTAGTATTAGATAAGTGGTATTTCAAAAGAGCAAAATAAATCTTATATATATATTTTTTTAGCAATAACAAGGTTTGTTGTTGTTAGCTGTTGCTAAGAGATAAGTGCATTTTCTGGTAGTGGATTAGCTGTAGCCTTTTTCCTCAAATAAGCTTTTTAGCTATTTTTATTATTTATTAGCCATGTTTAGCACACTGAATGGAGAAAGTTAAGGTAACACAACATGCTAGTAACGCTTCCACATGCCACTGGCATCATTTTGGCTAACATTTGCATTTTGGCTAATTTTAGGTTATACACTAATTTTAACATACCGAATAGAATCGGTCCATGTTACTCAAATGCTTGTGACTATCCACGTGCTATTGATGACATCGTAGCTTACGTTAGCATTGATGCAAATGTTTAGCGTCAGAACGTTGGGTTCTAACTGACGGGCACACTTTGGAAGGCCCCGTTAAATTTATTCAGAAATTTTCTCCTATTAAAATATTAGTGAGGAATCTGAAAACTGTACCCAAATATGAACCAGATTTGTTCACAAATGTTTTTCTTGAAATGTTTGCTTTCATTTTTTTCTTCTGATTTTCGTATAACATCACATAAGTTTACATTTTTTCCCTCCCTAAAACACGGACTGAACCCACAAGCTTCCTTTTAATGAACCGCTCATTTTGACTACAGCGCCTAAAGACCAGAAGTCTTTCTGTGGGCTGAGCAGATGGATTTTAGTGGGTGCGGTGTGTGTTGGTGTTGCTAATTCTTGCATGCATACTTGTGTGGGTATGCAAACAAGTATGTACCTAAAAAAAAAATGCTTTGGAGCTTATGGCTGCAGCGTGGCGAAATGCTAAATATTTCGTCGAGTATGAATATTTTAACATGCATTCAAAATAAAGTTGTGAATGAGCAAAAACAAAACTCGTCTTTTTGAGCAAATTGTTTTGAATAATAAACTAGATCAACTTTGGAGAAATCTTGAGCAAAATCCACATTGAACAGAGAAAAAACAAGCACTTTGTGATTCAGTTGAGCATCTCATTAAGGCTAATTTGCACACTCATTAGCACAGAAACAATATCACCTGTTGTTTCTTTATTTGCCTTCTACCTGCAAATGATTCCAATTACCCCAAGCTGCCATGAGTATTCCAGCCAGAACTGATTCAAAATCGCTATTCTTCACTTTGTCAGCGCAAGCAGATGGTTTGAAATGATGCATCATTAGACTGGCTTTTTGGGGAAGCCAGTCACTGAGTCATTAGACCATTGAGCTGTTATTAGGGGAAAAGAGGGAACAACATATGCAAAATCATTGGTTGTGAAAACCTCCCCTTTGCCTCACTGTGGTTATGGCTGCTTTCTCACATGTTCATTCTGTCTCAAACTGCATCCTCCTGCTTTGTTTTCTGTTAAAAACTAAATCTTAATCTCAATTTAACAAAATACACAAGTTAAAATACCAATAAGACATTTACATTTGGTTGGCCTGAAAAATGCTTTTCCAGCCATAGTGCTACTAAACAACAAGTTAGCATGTAGATAGTCTCAAATAGTTGCTATGGAGATTTGATGACCCCAAGACGCCCTTTCCTTCAGGTCTCTAGAGGCCAGTGGGCTTTGTAGATATTTTTTTACCTTCTCTACCATCCTGTTTACTCTGCATAGTAACTAGATAAATCCAGGTCCTTAAACAGCTTAGAGGACAAAACGCTGTGAGCCTTTGTCTATTTACCCCAGGAAAACAGAAAGTTGTGGATTGCTAATTAGATTACTTAATAGCATAAAGTCTAAATTAGAAGCAATGCTTTAGCTCAAATTATTTTAAATACTTTATTAAGAGTACTCAGAATGTTTTTTCCTCTGGTGAGTTTGTAAAAAAAACCAAATAAGCATTTCCTTATGTAGCTTTTTTTTCCTGTTCTCAATAAATGTACTCAATCTAAAGGTTTTTCTCAATTTTCCCCTTTGTGAGTGTGCTGCTTCTTTAGAGGAAGAATTTGTGGGAAGACTTTTTCACACATCTTTACCAGAGGTGCCAGTAAATTAGTCCATGTCTCTATATATAGTTCTAAACAGTGTTGATGTCTGTGACCTTGGACATTCCTGCACTGACTGGATTGGTTTGTCCATAAATAATCTTATATTCTTATGAATATAAGATTATATTCATGAACAAATCATATATATAAGTGTGTGAAAGATTTTGATTTCACCAGCAGTTTAATACAAGCTTGTGTCTGCTGAGCAAACTTACCTTTTATGTTCATTTTAAATGTCTTTTCTCTACATATACTGTAGTCTCCATTTGGATTGTCTTTCATTTCTTTTTTCTACTTTATTTGAACTTTCAATCTCAATGTATTTTTGTTTGTGTTTGCATCTTTACTGTTTGATATTCAGATCGTACTTTGCATTTGAGACCGTAAGATGCGTAACGAACCCAAACTCGCATCATCTTGCCTTGTCATAATCAAACGAGTTCAGCCAAACGTAGAAGCTTTTATCTTGGGGAACTGAATGTCTGAGTTGACTGCCTTGCAGGTAATTCACTCTGGTCTGCGTCTTGGATGTAGTGTGAGTATATTCCCATTGATTTACGTTCATGTCGCTGTGCAGCACAAGTGGAGAAGTTATTTCTTACACACTGGATCACTTGTGACCTCACAGGACTGAAAATCCATACAGCCCAATGCTCACAAACCTCGAGTCCCTTTCAACAGAACCTGAATGTGTGTGAGTGTGTTTATTTCTTTTGTGCTTCACAGCAGTATTTGATGCCCAGTCTTTCCATATCCTACTTCTCTGTCGTCTTTATTGGCACGCACTCTTACTGCCCCGTCTAGTAAATAATGAATAGGTAGTGGAAACAAGGACATGTTTCTTCTTCTGGATCTCACACATTTTCGAGGCATTTGCTCCCACTATATATTCAAACTGAAGAGGTGGATTTACACCATGAAGAGAAACACAGTTTTGCTTTTACCAATGTGGTCTTTTTTTCTTTTTCAGGTTTCCTAATCTATATTAATCTTTCATGAGTCTGCTCGATGTGTTCACATAGGTTTAGATGTCCTTCTCATCTTTGAAAGTGACCCTAAGCATCCTTACATCCCTTTTTATCCTCATTCTCTTGCTCTTTGTGTGTGTTTGCGGTTATTTGAAAGGGTGGATGAAATGGGATTAACAGGGATTGAAATGAAAGTGCTGAGTTTGAACTAGTTCTTTTTCTGCAGTGCATCAAACTGGGGATATGCTTGAACATTTATGTGCAACAGAAGCTTTATCATTTTAGTTCTTTATCCTTTTGTTTAGAAGGTTGAATGTTTTAACTAGAATTCAGATTGCTTGTTGGGTCCAGGTACATTTACTGAAATAGCTTTATATAATTATTGTACCCTTTTTCTCTATTGGTTGTTCTAATCCCCATTTAAGCTGGTGTACTCTGAAATTTGTCCGAGTGTGAGAGCTGATCAACCTTTGAGTGACCTCCTGCGTATAAATGGAGTTGCATTACCTCTTGACTGTACAGAAGTATATGAGTAGATTGGATTAGATTGTTGTAAATGATTTTTTATCAAAGTATGTAGAAAAAAAATACACGAATCAAAGTTTGTGGCATTTAATTAATATTGTAAAATTGTCTAAATAGACTTCAAATCTGAGTTCACGCCAGGGCTTTTCAAAATGTGGGGTGTGTCAGAATAAACCAGAAAAACATTTAACAACATTGGGCATTTAACCAACTTCACAAAGTTTCTTTACCAGAGACAAAATGGGTAAATTGTAAAACCTAAAGCTAAGGTGAGTAAGAAGACTGAGTCTGGGCCAAACAAAATGTAAAGGAAGAAGGAAGTACGATGATTATTATTTAATGTTGGGATTTTAATAGGTTGGATCTGAAGATGCTACACTGCCAGTGTTGTCTGCAAACGGTAGTTAATACTTTTAACACCTGATATCAGGAGGTGCATATTTATTTGCCAACTTCTTTCCTTCAGGTAAAATGATTCAAATAAAAGATTTAACTCACTCTAAAATAATAAATTTAGCAAGTAGAAATATTTTTGGCAATCTTAACTGCTTTTAAACAGGAAAAGTTTATTCTGATTGGATGTCAGATGGTTGGTAAAATGACATAACACCCGCCTTTATTCACACTTGATCCTTCTAATATATTTCATTGTTTCCTTACTATGTCAATAGAGCTTAATGAGGATGTCTGCAATTCTATTAATTCTCATGTAGAGCCAGATTAGTTTCAACTGCAGAATAAGGTATCTTAATAAAAATGTGCTCAGACGTGGAGCTGTCACCTCTTTTTGACTGATAAAGTGTTTTTCTCCTCTTAACTAGAACTTCCAAGCTTTGCCAAGGCAACCGCTTCAAATCAGCCAGAACCAGTACATTCAAGGTAACGCACTGTCATTCCTATTCACACACACAGAGGAACATCCCGAGCACACATTTCAGAGGATGAGGGTGTGATGTTAAGAATTAGAATGAGGAATAACTTAATTTAGCTCATTAATTCAATCCTCTGATCCTGAATTCCTGTGTCTCAATATATGCAGGGAGAAAGAGCAATCATAGGACGTCAGACTTCAGATATCCAGAGTTTTATCCAGAGAAAATCAATGCAAGAAGAATGTTACAATAAGCATCTCACCTAGATCATCAAAAGTCCAAGACATGACAAAACAGAAACAATTAACTGAGTAAAAAGGGAAACAGAAACAAACAAAAGATGCATCCTTTGGGAAACTCTCACTCAGCACAAAGAGATTCGAACTTCTGCTGTAAAACAAACCATTTTATAAGAATGTGTATTCTCCTCATTTAAATATATGCATTAGGAGGTGTGTTTTTCCTTTGTGGGGGCTGTCTTAAATGTTAATTTTATTACCTCTGAGACCTACTCAAACACCCAGCGCTTCTCATACCAGCCTCCTTCTTAGGCGACCTCTGGAGCGTTATCTCTGCCTCAAAATGATTCAACAAGAAACCAGTTGGTGTTTTTTAAACAAACTCGCACAAAATGTATTGCTTAATACTAACTATAAGTTGGATCTAAAACTAACTAATTAAAAACATGCTTTTTAATGCTTAAAGAAATATATTAATATGTTGGATTATATGTTGTAACGGACTTCTATAGTTTTTAATGTTTGCCTGAACTATTCAACCCTGAGTAAAGAATTTATTGCTCTGATAGCCAATACACTCCCTGTCTGAAATGTTCCTTAGGGAGTATAAGACTGCTTTCTGATTAGAAATTTATGTAAGTTCAGAGTCACCAGTTGTCTTAGTTTGGATTTGTATCTAAGTTTATCTTAACGTAAAAGTTAACTTGTGTACTATTGTGCTACTTTAAAATTCTATTTCAACAGTGATAAATGTTGAGGTTATGTGTGGGTGAGGCAGAGATCTCCTGAGGTGTGCAGAAACTGATGAGAAGGGAGCCAGCAAAGAGGGTTTATGAGGATAATAAAAGCCTACAGCCGCAGTCTACAGGGTCCCTGCTAAAAACTCTCAACGGTGTCTCATACTTATCTGTCTCCCTCCAGTGTGGCCTTCGATTTACTCATTGGAAGTTTTAAAACCACTCAGTACAGTACAGTAATTGTCTAAAATTGCAGGCTTAGGTAATCTGATGACTCAGCACCAAATATAACAATAAAGAAGCCCAGAATATCCATGAGGCTAGGATGATCACTCTTAGCTTCGAATCATTTTCTCATTATTTTATCTTTTGTTTGATAATAGGTTGATTTCCCAAATCTAACATATGTAATTATCTAATAGGGTCATAGGTTGATTATCCGTCTAACATCCAGAAGTAATGGCTAATACAGAATAAACTACATTTATGGCATCTAGAAAATTGCTGATATTTTCATAGGATAGACATCTTGAGCCTGTTCCACTGTGGGAAGCTGTACCACAGCACAGAGCAAGTAGGAGGGTATGAGCAGTGCATACACTAACGTTAATGACGGTGCTAAGACCCTCCTCCTGGCTTTGATTGGTTGTTTCTCAATATGGCAGTAACACCAAAGGAAAAAGGTAGAGGAGTCAGATTTTTTCCACAGATTATCTGTATTATTTTTTATTGTCAGGACATAGTGACAGTTTTAAGAAATACAAGGGGGAAAAAAATATATTTTTATAAAAGTTACGTACTTCGGCCTTAAAGTGAGAGAGATGTGATCTGAGTCAGGAAGCTACTGACCCAGCTGCTCGATGGGCTGGATGAGGAACAGTGTGCATCTTTTACCCAATATTAATGAAATATAATCACTGTTCGAGAACTGTGGGAACTATTTCAGTTGCAATTCTGCTATGGCAATTAACTTTTCTTTAAAAATCTGCATATATATATATATATATATATTATGGGGTCTGACTTATTTGGCAGATTTTACAACTAACGTGATGAAATATATTTTAAATGACTTACAGATGATGATGTAGCTGAAATATACAGTCTGAATCTGCTTGACAGATGAGCTGCTTCTAATTAAGAACGATGTTAATTAGTTTCTATAAACTCCTGTTTTGCGGAGGACGTCGTATGAATAAAACCTCACCCCATTGGTTGACAGCGCAAAAGAGAACAGAAATTGGCCGGTGTGTGGAACAACAGAATATGTTCATCCACCTGCTGCATTGACCTGCAGATGGATGGACACTGACATGTTGCAGCTCTAAGCCTGACCTCAATGCCTGTCTGACTCTGATTCTCAGGGCTCGCTGTCATCAGTCCTCTGCTGCTTTCATACCTTCTTCTTCTTTCTCTATCCATTATCACGTTGATCCAAGAAGGAGAGGTTTAGACAGCGATCACAACAGTTTCGCTTAGTTCCACTTTTATATGTTTATACCTGTGTGTGTGTGGCCAGGTTTTTGATGTCAGCAGCTCTCTATTGGTGCATGTGGTTGCAACAGCACACACAGTTTGTTCAGTTATGGTTCGAGATTAGACCGAGTTAACCACTTTAAACAGTGTTTTTAATTATAAAATGTCTTCCATCTTTCTTGGACTGATGAACAATAACTGCTGTAAATGTATGTGATGTTATGTTGCTTTTAAAGCTAACCTTGCAATAAGTCATTCAATGTTGGTTTCAGACTATATATGTCTCAGGTAGCGTTCGGTTTGCTGGTGTCATTCTCATTAATTGATGGTTGTTTGATCTTCATAGGAAAGGAGGAGGAGGTTCTGACGATTCATCCTCGAGACATGTTCGTTCCCCGGGAGGGCTGGACTTTTCTTGCTGCGGGTAGGATAATATTTTGCTGTGTAACATATTTCAATGCCATTTTTATTTTGCAGTACGTGCTGTGCATTTACTAAAGAGTGTAATCCTGACAGAATATTTTGAAATATGATTTATTCTTGATTAAATATTCACTAAACACACAAAGGTGTTCCCTATACAAGTTATTTGCAGGGCGTAAATTGTAAAACAACACCCATTATCCGCCTACTAAAACAATCAGACTGAGGTATCACATTCTCTGACCACTTTAAAGAAAAGAGTCAAATTTTATTGTTTGATAAAAGAAAGAAAATTACATGAGTTGGAAGATGGAAGGTAGGAATATGAGTGGTGTGTACTTACAGTGCCAAGTGGCTGTGGTTCTTAATTGTCTGTGGACCAGTAGGTAGATTGCATAATTAGTAGTTCTGACTTGGGAGTTAATGAATGAATATTTTGACTGCAAGGTTAATCTGAGTTCTGATTCTTTGAGAGAAGTTCTTGTGAACTTATTCCGGTTAAATATGTCAAGGGTTTCCGTTCAGATTTACGTTCACCTTAAAAGTCCCACTGTCCCAACGTGGCCTCTGTTTGGAAAAGGTCATTTAAGTCTTTGTTGCTCGCCTGTGTTGCACCAGCCGAGGGAGCACGCTGGGACACTGTCAGCCTGGAAAAGGTTTGTCTGCTGCTGGGTGTCTGCTGGGCCTGACAGAGTCACACTCTTACGTAACCAGACAGATAAAACAGGGTTAGCTGCAGGAAAGCTGCAGGATAGGAGGGAGGATGCCACATATGCGCACACTGAGTTTGAACAGAGTTGCATTGACATTCCAGCAGGCATAGTCATGTCCTCAAAAGCACACAGACACAAACACATTACCGCTTGTGTTTAGAGACAAGCTTATCACAGAAATTATGTTTTTCCCTCAAAGAAATGCTGCCTTCATGTTCCGTCCAAGCTGTTGTTCAGATCTGTTCCTTTGCCTGTTTTAGACTTTAACACTACAGATATTGAGTTGTTCACGGTCTTTACAAATCCAGACATCCAAAACCTCTTTCATCATGACAAAGTTTGTGTTGCTAAACTTTAAAAACATTCTCCCTGTGCTACTGCAGGCGGTGTGTTCGTGTTTGTTTATTTTTTAATTGTCTGAACTCAGATATTTTCTGTTCCTGCTGGTGTGTGGGAGATATTGAGAGAGAGAGAAAAAACCCAGAGCGTAGCCAAAGTGAGAACAAAGGCATTGCGTGTTCCCTGTGGATTCGTTCTGAATCACGTGGCCAGGTTCGGTTTAGGTCCTTAGAAGAGATGAACACATGCAACCGTTCTGAGGAGCCCAGTGCATACGGTCATAGGCAGAGAACAACCAACAACAACTTGGTTAAGATATATGCATTTAACACATCTAATTTAACCACCAACTCTGTCATTAAAAGCACATCGCTTTATTCTTTTTGACATGAAGGTACACCTATGATCATTGTGAATGCTACTTTCATTCAGTCTATTTCTTGCTGTTGAATCAGCCCTGATTTTCCCGCTGTTTTATGCTTTCTCCAGGAAAGTAAAGGTTGGTTCAATTAAATTTCAAAGTCCTATAGATTTATTTGGTAACACTTGCTAGTGTGATACATTTCAGTGAATGTTCCTTATCTGTAAATGTATTTCTTAAGAATATATACTAAACAGACCTAGGGGAGGCTACTCATATTTAACTTTCAGCTTTCCCCCCAAAATAAAACGTGATTAAAAGTGAATTTGTGTTTCAAATCCTTTTTTTCTTTTCACTGCACAACCATGCTCCAAGAGTTGCTCTTATGGACACTTACTCACATCTTCTGACAACGAGCCCGACTTATAACATTTTAACTTACCCAGACATTTCTCCATTTCTGCTCAAGCAAACCAAAAGGTTTTGAACAGTACAATCATGTCAAATGATGAGACCATGTGTGTTTAATGTGTGTAGTAGTAGATATATTGCTGCTGTTGCAGGCAGAAAAAAAAAAAAAATTTTAGCTGAGAATAAAATTTTGGATGAGTTTAAGAATATTGTTTACCGTGGAAAAGTCTTGACCAAATAGCTTATTCGCATGTAACTTTTAATATCAAGATATTTTTGCTATATAACTTATGTAAAACAAAGTGCATTTCTTTTTATTTATGTATAAGGACATGATGAAAGTAATTTGGTCATCTCAAGTCTTAAAATGTGGCCCGTACAGATGAGTTTGGTGTGTCATATACAAAATCAAACCAGAATATAGAAGCAGTGTGTGAAAAACCAAACTTAGTCAATTGCTAATTTGCTTTTAGAAGCAGTAAGTTGATTTCAGTGCCCTCTATATATGGCTTAATCAGGCTCTCTGTGTTTTATAAACAGACTGAATGCTGTCGTCTTTAAGTAATATTGCTGTTCTGTATTTACTTTTTAGACTTTCACGTCTGAGGGATGGATTTAGAGACCTTACCTTTCGTAGCCCTCTTGCATCCATATTTATGGATTTCTTTATTCTGCATGCTGATCAATTCATTCCTCCTGAAAGCCTTTGTACGTCCACCACAGCCCACAAGAGGCATTTTACACAGTCAATAAGCACATTGAGCTCTTAAGCTTTTATCTATGAGCTCTGAGCTTTGGTGTGCTGCAGTGCATCACCAAAGGTTGTTCAAGGGAATATGAATGATGATTTTAAGAGACATGAGTAATGGCTGTTGTTCAAATGTTGTTTTAATATTGGTACATAAATCATATTTTAATTCAAGATAAATGTAAAACAGGGCACATTTCTGCGCTTTCTGGTGAATATTAATGAAGGTGACAAACCTTAAAATGAGGTTCAACTGTACCTTAAACCGCTTTACTTGCTGTTTGGTGTTTTTTTTGTTTGTTTTTTAAACTTGATTCCAATTTTAAAAAAGCATTTATTTATGTATTAGTTCGATATATTAGCTTTGATGTTAATCTGGTCCAGATTTAATGATCGTCTTTAAAGGCGTTTGCAGGAAGTCAGAGTTATTTTTATCTGAATCGATATAGAGACAGTTTCAGGTATAATCAGGCCTCAGGCTTTCACAAGATCATATATTCACATGTTCTGTGTGTGTAATTTTATCCTGCATCGTACTGGACATGAACAGTTTTTCTTTCTTTATACCTGCCTGTTTTTCTCACATCCACACATCTTGGTCAGCAATATGTTTCTGAACTGCCAGGCTGGCTCCGGGGAAGAGCTCTGGAGCTCATCAAATATTAATAAGACGGTATCTTTAGAAACTTGCTCGCTTATGTCAGCACAGCCAGAGCCAGTTGTATCTTTTTTCTTGTCTTTCATCTCATCGTCATCTCTCAGAGCATCTTGGTATTTCTCTCCTTCCACCCAAGTTTTACGAGATCTTAGCAGTTATTTACCTCACAGATGTTTTTGCTCTGCTCCTCCTTTTGAGCTGTTTGGTATTTAGAGATATTCTTCATCAGTATGGTTATTTAAAAGAAAGGAAATGTGTGAAAAATTAGGAACTCTTCCAAAAAATGTTGAGAAAGGTTCAGAAAGCATGAAGAAATTTGAATCAAGACATTTTCAAGAGATTACAAGAAAGTTTTCCTCCTTACTAGCAAAGCACAAAGGGAATGAGTGACGACTTTAGACTTTCACACACTACTGCACAACTTTAAGGCAGCGACTGAAAGGTTTGTGTTTGTGACAGACTTCTGCCAGGTGGAGCTCCGCTTGCTGGCCCACTTCTCCTCGGACCCGGAGCTGCTCCGCGTTTTCACCGACCCGCAGGCCGATGTCTTCGCCATGCTGGCCTCTCAGTGGTGCGTCTCCCTCACACACTCGCACACCCTGATCCCCCTGCCAAGGTGACCGTTGCCGCGCCGCAGGGAGTCTCCGATGGTCTCCTTCTCTCAGCCTCGCCGTTGCCTTTACTTCAAACGCTAATCGCCTTGTTGCCATGACGACCGGGCCAACTGCCTCCGTTTCCATGCCCAGGGGGCTTCTGGGAGCGTCACCCTGGTGATTGCTTTGTTTTGCTTTTGATGTATTTTAACGACTGGTGTGTTTTCCTCCTCCTCTCTATCGCCGTATGTATGCGGTGTTTACTCACCGGGTTTATCGTTTTGATCCGGCCTATCAGTAGCGTGTTGAACTAATCCTCCTGTCTCAGACGCCTCTGCAGCGCTGACTGACCAGTTAAGCAGATTACCACATTAACAGCCCTCTTTAGGCTTCACACTCTTTTCACCTTTAAGCATGTTAACTGGTGTCACTTGAGCTCTGCTGGGATTACTCAGTCAGAGCTTCTTCTTCTGCACAAAGTTTCCTCTCGTATGGCGTTCACATCATCTGCTCTTCCTTCTCTCACTTCTTGATTTCCTTTTCTTTGGTCTTATGCTATGTTTTGCTGTCTTAACTTTTGTTTCTAGTCATTCTTTCTCAAGACAGAAGTGAAATAAATGTTCACATAAAACAGCTTTTCTGCATGTCTCCTAGAAGATGGAGGAGTTTAAAAGTTGTTGGTTTTGAACATTTTCTGCTGAAATAACTGCTGATGACCAATTTTCAGATTTCTGACATTGCACTATAAAGATTCTTGATTTAAAATTTGTCACATTTGAAACAAACAAACAAAAAACTTTATGATGTTTTTAAAAAGTTTGACAGTTTTTGGGAAAGAAAGATCCTCCACCGTTCTTTGCAGTGGGCATGAGTTGCTTTTCCATGTATTATTTGTTTTAGCCGATTAAACAGCTGCTATCTTGGTCTCATAAAGCAGACATTTTGTAGTTAAAGCCCTGGTAGCATTTGTCAAACTCCAGGCTCCAAACATATTGACATTTGTTTTGGTATGGCATATAAAAGCTTTTCCTGCTGCCCTTTCCAAAGAAATAGTTTACATGTCGATGATATCTAATGGAGACTTGGTGATCCCATGATGCCATTCTTTGCAGCAGTTCTCTAATTGAAATTTTTAGACTTCTTTCAGTGGCAGCAAGATCTATGTTTGCAACAGCTCCAGCTGTTTTTGACTATCTAATCGTTGCTTTGACTAAACACACTAGCAGGTTTGGATAATTAACTATTTTCTTCCAGCCTTTTCTTGCTTTATGAAAATCAGATTTTCCTTATTTGAATGTTGTTTTTTCACGTCTTTCCTATTTCGAAGAGGGGCTGTTGCATTCTCTTTTGTACTGCAGGAGAACAGGCCAAAGGTTGACAAAATAATAAATCCCTGGATCACCTTAAAAATGTGTCATTTATACTCACTTTAGAGGATATATTAAGAGTGTCATTAAGTCTGGTACCAGGGAGTTTCTAAACAAGTCATTTAATAATTGCTACTGCAATGAAAATGTTTAGGTTTTAAATAAAGCATCTATGCCAGGGGTACTAACAAAGAATAAAATTACTGTACAACATCAGCAACTTGTGGACCATTGGACAGCAGGGGGCAATAAAAATCTAGTATGAACACTTCTCTGGCCTGATGCACAACAGGGGGGTAAATATTTGTCTTTAAAATGTCGGTACTCCCAGTCAGTCACTATATGACAGGCGAGTAAACAGAGGAATATATATGGATGATTAGAAACACGGCCTGAGAGGGATTTTTTGACTGATTATGCTTTTGAAAACCTTGGAGCGTTGAGGATCTTCAGACACACCAATAATTTAGCGTGCGTGTGTGGGGGTGTGTGTGAGTGATGCTGTCTGTCAACACTGAACAGAGACGGCAGTTTCTCATGAGCCTTTGCAGAAATGCCACTTTGCAGACGTGTCATTGCATCCTGTCTGATCCGCAGAACTACGGCTCTCGCCGAGTCACATCGCATAACTGTCACTGCATGTCCATCTCCACCACTCCTCTCCCCGGTTCCTTTACTTTTAGTAGTCCTTTACGTCCGTTTTAGCTCCACATCTTTTGAAGCGACGTGGATGCATGCTTTCTCTACACAGCAAAGTCCTGCCCTTGATGTTCTTCTCTTTTTTTTCTTTCAAAAATCAACCACAAAATTTAAGCTTTTTTATTTATTTATTTTTTTTTACAAATATACCATCATGTTTTAAATCCAGAATCTTTATTGTGCAATGTCAGAAAACAGAAAATTGAACACAAAAAACAACTTTATTGCCAAATAAACTAGACTTTAATTCTTGAAGACATGCTGTTTGTTCTGATCAACCTGAAACTGAACTGTTTGGCCATAACAATGATTGTTACAGTTGGTGGAAAAAGAGTGACACTCGCAAACTTGAGAACACCATCACCTGTTATGTGGTATGGTGGTGGCAGCATCATGTTGTGGGGCTGTTTCGGTGCCGGAGCTTCATAAAATGGATGACATCAAGAGGAATGAAACTTTATGTGGAAATACTGAAGCAACAATTGATTATGAAATGGCTTAAGGATTTAAGAACAACAGAATCAATAGTTTTGGTCATCTTGTGTTGGCAAGGCAGCCTATAAAACCTGACTCAGTTACACCAGTTCTATCAGGAGGAATGGGCCAAAATTACACCAAATTATTGTGAGAAGTTTGTTAAAATGTTACCTAAAATGTTTGACTGTAGTCACACAGTTTAAAAATCAATTCTACCAAATGCTGAGGAAATGGGGAAAAAATAATCAGTACCCCGGTAATCTAATTTAGACAATCCTTAGTGACAGGCTTAGTCTAAATCAAAGAAAAACCATTGGAAAACAGGGTTAAAAATATTGTTTTATGCTGTATTTAAAAATATTAAAAACTGACTTTAGATCAAACTCTTATTTGTTATACAAAAATGTAAAGGTGTTTTTCTTGATCTCTGTCACCCAGGAAAGCGGTGGGTGTTGATGAGGTGACTCCTGAAGACAGGGAGCATGCCAAACGCATCGTATATTCTGTGGTTTATGGAGCAGGTGAGAACAGACCGCCATTCAAAGAAGAGTAAAGAAAAGATGCACCCTGCTGTTCAGCTGAATGTTTGGTCCAAAATAAACAAAATACTCTCTGAATGACAGTAAGAAATAGAAGAAGACCATGTAAAGATTCAAATAAAGAATCCTTACATGGTCTCTTTAGTATTTGGAAAATATCAAAGAGAGTACAATTTGACCCAACAGTAGTATTTTAGCAACAACAAGGTGATTCTTACTGAGCTTTTTGCTTAAAACTTGGCAGACAGTTGATGACCAATTCAAATATCATGGGCCTCGGGGGTTACGGCTGTCTCTTATTGTTTCACCTCTGACTTATTCCCAGTTAGTGTAACCATGTCTGTTAGATTACTGTTTTAATACAAAGTTGTGGTCAGCTACTAGAACACCAAGGTACAGATTTGTCATTTTGAGTCTGTAAGTATTTGATATATTAAAGTTTTAGAGCCACATTTGGACTAAAATGGCAGCGGGGTGTAAAAAGTGCAAATTGTTTGGGATTTAAAGCTTACAACTAAGTTCCAATTAAGTAACATTAACAACAAAAAAACAAATTAACAAAAAGAAAGTTGCAGTAGTACATAAGCAAAATAATAAATATATTTGTAAATGAATAAAAAGAGCCACATAAGAAAGTATTAATAAAAGTGATAATACATCTAATAAGGAGCATCCAATAAATAATCAAATTCATGCACTTGTCGCATTTCAACTTCTTGTCGTCTGAACAGTTTGAAACAACAGCAATCTGAAATTGTAAATAAATCAGATGAACATATAAAAAGAGCATAAGTCATCATATTTTGTTGTGAAATAGTACAACAAATCGCAAAAGATCATCAATCACAATTTAGGTGAGCGGGGAACAGTACGGAGACACAAAAAGGAGGAGGACTCGAGGAGATCCTGATCAGCGTAGACAGACCACTCTTTATGGAGGGATGCGTTGCTATGGTTGCTAAATACCAAGGAAAGCTCTCTCGATGAGACAATCAGGCCGGGGAGGAGGGGCACAACAACAGCAGCAGCAGCGCTTCGGACTCATGCACAGACATATGTACACAAATAGGTCAGAAAATAGTGGCGCAATGCAAAGATGCTGGTGAACAAAGTGGCATGAAGAAGGTTAGTCGAAGGTAAACTGTCTGCTTATTAAGCAGAGCAGATACATATTCAGGTTTTCTTTTATTAAATTTGACTGAACTTGCATGTCTTTCCTTTTTATGTCTGTGTGTTGAATGAGCACACCTGAAAGGCAGTAGTAGTTTTTCCATTTCAAATTTACAGTTGAACGGGGACAAAGGCGTCAGGTGCAGGGCAGGGAACGTGAAGGAAAGGAGGAAAGAAGAAATAAAGCGGCGCTAGAGGTGTGAAAAAAGCAAGCAGCGCAGAGGGCGTCAGTAATGAAGGTCAAAGTTCACCTCAGTGCTGACCTCATTCAGCAGGAATGCGGGGCCCTGCACACACAGAAGAGCACGCAAAACACAACAGGCCCGAGTAAAGGCCTCACTTTTATGTCCAACCTCATCAAACACCTTTTTAGATACAACAAAGTTGTAAAACAGTGGATGATATGTCAATATGAATGAACAAAGATGTGTTAAATCAATACATTTAGAACACATTCTTATCCACTTAACAGGCCAGTCATAATAATAATTAAATCATTAATGGATTTTTCTTGATTCTCAGCACAAGTATCACGATGCATTATTCCAGTCACACTTTATAATCTCCTCTTAAAGCTGCTCTTGTGAAAATTACAGTAAAAACTTTACCAAAGGGACCTCAGTGCTTTTTATATTTAGTGACTGATCAGACACAATGAAAAAGACATCAAAATGAAACAGGCAAAATAAATCCGTTCAGTTTATTTGGTTTTTAATCTGGATTCACTGCTAGTAATTTGAGTGTTTGAGAAAATGGTGCAGTTTATTTCAAAGCTATGCATCAATTCACAGTGAATGCATTAAATAAACTTCGTGTTTTACTATAGCCGGCTCTCATCCCACATCATGTTACTTTTGTAGGCCGTGAGCGTCTGTCAGGGATTTTGGGGGTGAACGTTGAGCAGGCCAGTCGTTTCCAGGACAGTTTCCTCCAGACCTACAGAGAAGTCCAGGCATTCATCCAGAGAACCATCCAGCAGAGCCACAAGCAAGGTCTGACTGTTTCACCATCAAGGTTATTAAATATGAAAACAAACCGATACTGAAACAAATGTGTTGTAGGACAAATACACAGTAGAGCTGCAAAACTAAACACAGTCTTTTTCAGCAAGAGACAACACATTATCAAAAATCAGCAGTTTGTATATCTGACATCGCTGTTTAAAAGACATCTCACACACACACACACATATGTATATATATATATATGTATATGTATACGCAGAAACTCAGTTAAAACTGGACCTCAACCTTTTTGAAACACTAACAGAGCTGTGCAAAGACAAAAGGGACCAAATGAATTTCACAGTAGGATAGCAGCAGCTGCTTTTAGACATTTCTGCTACAGCTGGTTCTCCAAGTCTCTGAATCCTGCTGGATTATTCCCATGACTGTAGTGACAGTGACAGAAGCTGTCTTCGTCCAATAGCTGTATACGTGTTGATTAACCTCACTCTTGACAGTCGGGGTGCTCTCTGAATTTCTCACATGCACATCTCTGTGGATGTGTTTGGCTAAAGAGTTAGGAGGATGTGCTTGCATTGGCAGGAATGAGACAAACTGCCTCGGGTCAATACTTGAAGGGTGCTTCAAGAAGGAGGGGTTAGACTGGAAGGGTTTGATGGTTCCGACGGGACACTTTATTTATATATTCTGACTGAACTGCCAGCGCAGCACACCTCTGAGTTGCACATGCTCACACAAAATAGTGTGACGTCTGCACTTTAAAGCCTCGCTGAGCACAGCCAAGAGTGGACATGAAGCATGATGATGTCACAATGCACCAAACTGGATCCCCTTAATTCATTTCAAACAGTTTTGGTTAAAATTTCAGTCTGTGACCAAGCAGCTCAATGTCTCTCAAGCTCATTATTCATACTCCGGGTGGATTATTTTTTGCCTTCTTGAAAAAGGGTAAAGTTTAAAATATATAAAGATGCATTTGTGTAACAGTGTTTTAATGGAACACTATTGTTAATGGATTCTGAAAAGAAAAAACTTGTTTGGCGGATAACATCAAAGCTTTAGGTACTATTCATGTCGTCTTTTTTTCATTTTATCAATTTTTTTTTTTTTTTTAAATACTGCTTTGCAGTCACACACAGACTGGTGCTGTGACACACCCAATTCCTCGCGCTGCACGTCCTCTTTCTCCGTAGGCAGCTCCCTAATCGATGTGCTGTAATAAAATGCTGTGCACAGATCAGAGAGGCCTGCGCCTTCTCAGGTGAAGAGCGATAATTCACCAAACCTTCAGCTTCAGAATCTCTGCTGGGTTTATTTTCACCTTGAATCTGCTCTCTACTTCCTTTTTATCTCATTGGTCACTGATTTTTAAATTCTACTTCCTGTCTCGGCCTAATCCCATCCTGAAAATGAAAATAAAACGGTCCTCTGCATGGCAGAAGAATTAAAGTCTTGACAGAAAATTGTCTGGCTGTCTTACTGCGTGGGCTTGGGAATAATTTGTGCTCCTGGGTTTCGGTCACTGCGCCACGTTTACAGTTGGTACCTGATAGGGCAATATTTTGTCTCGGAGGATGGATGATGGCAGGGTAAGCGGAGATGAGGGCAGCCGTGCAGGCTCAGCTGCTGTCATATTTGTTGAAAATATATTTTAAAGGGCGGTGTGAAGGTGAGCCCAGTCTCAATGCAGCTGTAACAGCTGACAGAGAAGGTAAGAAAGCAAAACAGTGACAAAAGATATTAAAAGAGTTTACTGATTTTCATTCAGGTGCATTTTCTGTGCTGTTGTGTTGTCATGTTTTAAATTCTGTTTGACTTTTTTCCCTTGATGTTAAATCAAGGGAACTCACCGTTGCTCTTTATACCATGCAAATTTCATCAAAGCTGTTTGGATAAATGCTGCAGCATCACCTCTAAGAATGCCAAAAATCATTTTCAAAGGGAGGATTTTCTCCTTCCATTTTCTTTAAAGTCCCAAAGACTTCAGCTTGAGTCTTCAACCTCTTTGTTGTAAAAACATAAAAACAGACTGGCGACATCTCACGGCTGTGAAACGATCAAATCTTTTTTTTGTGCTTTTTAGCAGCCTTAAAAGATTTTAGCCGCTTCCTGATTATGACGAGCAGATCCGTTTTGGAGAGATTTTTTTTAAAAAAACTAAAATTTGTTCAGTTTAAAGATACAGCACAAAAATGTATTATATATATTAATTATTAATAGGTGGTGCTAAAATGTTGACGCCAATTTCAAAATATGGCTGAACAGGACTTTGAAGGAATAAGAAAAAAAGCTGAAATAATTTCTCAGCAACAAGGCTTATATAACTAAATAGTGATGAAATATTTACTGTAATAGACTGTTCTACTTTTACATGATCTCAAGCTTTAAAAAGACAGCAAGATGGATGAATAGATGGGTATGTAGATATTAATACTCCCGTTCAAACCATCAAAAGAACCTTATGGGGGGAAAAAACATGTTTTGTTTTTTAGTTACATGTCTTTCCAAGCAAAAACATCAGGGGCTGAAAACACATTCCAGCAGGACTCATGTCACACCTGTCTGGCTACAGAAACACTTCCTGGGATATTCTTTCACTCACTAAACATCACAGTTACTGGGCCCCATAATAACCGTCATATTCCTTGGGAAAGGTCACATGAATGCGCCAGAGGTCAGCAGAGCAGCAGATTTGTGGTTTTTGCTCCCTGCTTCCTACTGAATAGTGGATGTTTTTGAGGATGATTGTGTTCATAGGTCATTCAGGTTTCATGTCCTGGGTGGTTTAGCTGATGCTAAGGGCTACTGGAGGATTTCAGGTGGAAGCCTCATCCATTGTCCAGATTGGTGGAATGTACTAGTCACCCATGTGTACCAGCATGTGTTGGTTTTGCATAATTGTATATAATAATGTGTCTGTCCATGTGTTATGCATAACAACTTTTTGCTTATATGGAAAATCCCATCTTCATCTTCTTTACTTTTTTAAAAAAAAATCATTTTTAAACATTTAAAAATCTGTGGACGTTAATATTTTTGGAAGGCAATAAATGTTTTATTGTGGAACTCTAAAATATTAAGGAAGTGCAAGCAGACATTACTGAATTTTATTAGAAACATCTTGTGAACTGTTGCTTTTAGACTGATGCGTAATTTTCTAATAAAACAGATCCTTAAGAATAATGTGTTACTCTACCTCTACATCACTCCCTGCTCAGAGGAACATCGTGTTTAATGTGTGCATTACTGTTAAACTAGTTAGTGTTTTGATTTGGTTTTGTTTTTTTAGGTTATGTGGTGTCGTTAATGGGACGCCGACGCCTCCTTCCCAACATCAGCTCCCCAGACTGGGGGATCCGCATGCAGGCTGAGAGGCAGGCCGTCAACTTTGTAGTTCAGGGTAGGAGCTGTGATACTTTTACTGCCGGTCAGAACCAGCTCCACTCTGTTCCAGCTGTTGGCAGCAGGTTTCATTTTCAATCTGAAAAAGTCCTGAATTTCATAAAAGTATTTCCCAAGTCTGGAGAAATCTACAAGTGTTGAAAGAAAGTTGAAATGTATTTAACTGATAGTCTATTAAGCACAAAGGAAAGATGATCTTTTGACTTTTGAATGTTTCCTGCTTCATTTTGAAAATAGACAAGTGTATTTGTGTGCTTCATCTGAATCCAGGCTCTGCTGCTGATCTCTGTAAGATGGCTATGATCACCATCTTGAACCTGGTCTCCTCCTCCAGCTCGCTCTCTGCCAGGTACCAACAATAAAAATGAAACTCCGTATTAGCTGCCTTTTATTTGTAAGAAAAAGTAATGTGTACATAGGATCTTAGCTTCGTGTGCCTCCAGGTGGTCTTGTTGTCTCACTGGAGAAGTGACTGAGTCTTTCACACCAGAACACAGAAACAACACTCTCAGGCTCCCCAGCCAACTAAATTAGTTGAGACTGACTGCTGCTGCCAAGCAGTCAGCTAGAGTAAACACACTCGAAGCATTCGCCAAATTTATCAGTCTGATCATGTGTTAGCATAGCAATGTGCAAAGTAAACATGGCTGTACTGAAGCATTCACTCTGGTTTGTTTGAAAAAGACTGCTGTGCTGTCATCAGTAACTGTTCATTAGCAAATAGTATTTTATGTGTTTCTGAATGTTTTATGTTGCTGCAGGCTTTTAGCACAGCTTCATGATGAGCTTCTTTATGAAGTGGAAGACTCTCAGGTGGAGCAGTTTGCAGGTATACCAGTTTCACCTAAAGAAAAAAAAAGCACACTATTTAAATAACATTCTATTCAAAAACAAATGTAAACTTTATCATAGGGTCTCTCTTTTTGTTATGTGTGTGTTAGACATGGTTGATTGAATTCTACTTTATTTGTCCCTCTCAAAAATATATTACTGCAATATTACTTGTAAAAATATCAAAATATATTGACCACATGTAAAACCACATTGAGACTAGATGCTTGTTATTATAATATTAGGTGACTTATGCAATTCTATCTGTTGAAAGCCAGATGCAGATATACTGAAGTCTGTCGCTGCAGACATTTAAACATATATTACATTGCTCCTAAACTTGCTGAATCGTCTCTTTTACATTCAACATAATACTTAATAAATAAAAAAATTAATTCAAACTTCCTTAGAAACAACACTATTTGCCGGTGGTCATAACAAACTGAATTTCAGTGCTTTGCTTTTTGGTTACCTTTTATTATTTTTATTTCTGAAAATTTATTTAATTAATTTGCAAAAAAAACTTGAAAAACAAACAGTCTAATCTTAAAACCCAAAGTCAAAGAAAAGGTGTCGACTGAACCGGTGCTTAGTTCACCTTCTCTTTATCCATGATATTTTTAGGCAGGTTTTTTTAGTCTAAGTATTCAGATACATTAACACAGTCTAAACTTGTATTGTTGTCTTGTATATTCTTCTTGACTTGCATCTGCATGTGTTATTTTGTGCAGGTTTGGTGAGAAGCACCATGGAGTCTCTTCAGCACATCCACCATGTTGGAATCCATCTGAAGGTGAGGGGAGCGGACAGACTGTTCCTGGTTTGTTGTCTCCTTGAGAACAAACTCATTAGAAATACATGTTTTCTTTAGTTTTTTTCAGAAAAAGTGGATCTACCTTGTGGCTAAAGTTAATAAACCATGAGTTTAATGAAAAAGTTTTCATACCTCCCTGAATTTTTCCAGATTTTGTGACATCACTCAAACTTCTGTTAGGAATCTAGCAGTGAATGGAAACTTTTTCTACAAATGGAAAATATTTTTTAGAAAAACACTCAGTTGGTATGAATACGTTGCGCTGAGTGAGTGAGCATTTGTGACGTGACGCCATCATTTCCCCACTGTGTGTTTCCCAGGTGCCCCTGAAGGTGGCGGTATCTGTTGGCAAGTCGTGGGGATCCATGTCAGAGCTTCAATCTCCGACTTCTGTCTCCTGAATCTTCCTCTGAACCTCCGACACCAAGATAAATGATCTAATCTCCTCCTTTCTTATGGCCCAAGTTTTCGCCATTGACCCTTCTGCTGGCCACCTACTCGTCTTTTGACCCTTACTTGGTCTCTTATCCTGATCATCTCTCTCAGCTTCCAGTTTCTGCCTCCTCCTTCACTTGTCCAGCATCCATGTTGCTATGGAAACGAGGCAGCTGCAGCTCGTGCTTCTTGCCTCCACTCTTTCTGTTTCTGGGGGCAACCGCTGACTGGATTGGACCAGTTTCTCTCTCTCTCTCTCTCTCTCTTGTCCACCTCCTCCTGTTCTCCCACTCATTTTCACTCACACACACAAACGTCTCGTTAGGACTAAAAATGTTTCCTCTGCCTCGTTACCGAGGTGAAGTTTCATGTTTTAAAGAGGGCTCCATTTTCATTGGTTCCTAAAATTGGTTGTTAGTTGAGTTTCTAGATATAATCAAACATTCTTTAGTCTCTATTGTTAATATATTTTTGATGCTGAGACTGTTGGATTTACTTAAACACACCAGATTTCCACCCCAAGTTATATTTTTTAAGCTAATTTAAAAAGCATCATTTATTATTCCCATATTTGATGTTCTAATAAAAGAAGTGTAGTCCATAATGGGTTTTTCACAAGAGAAATCTGAGCCCAGGGAGTGAATAGACTCCATGAAATCTTGGTTTCATTCAGCTTCCAGTAAACTTTACCTTTCGTTGCGTGTGTTAACGTGATTTAAAGCAGTTGATCTAATTTTTGCTCGTCTTTCAGCATCCATTTCTTTGCTCTCTCTGGCTCAGCTTTTATCTGCTCACCCTTTTTGTGTTGTATTGCCTTTCTCTATTTCTCTCTCACACATTCCACAAATGCTCACACATTCATCTGCCCTCTGGCACACTGACCGAATTTCTTTTTGTCTGACAGCCACAGTAAGACTCCCTTTTTATATCTCCCTGTTTTCCTACCGGCCCCTCAATTAGCCTTGGAAATATATTGGCAGAGCCCAACATATCCACGTAACTTAAGCCAGTTGCAGGCGTTTTTAGTCATTTTTAATGGTCCATTTGTCTTCTAATGTGAAAAATGAACTCTGGATTTACTGACATAAGAAAAACTTTAATCACAAGTCCTTCATAGCAAGAGCAGAGGATAGTGTTATGGAAATCTGGCCCTCTATTCTTTCATTGTTTGGTGGTTTAAGTGTGCAAGCCCCCCAGCCTGCCTCTATTGAAAGGGAGGCGTGAGACTGGTATGTGTGTGTAGGCACTTGTGGAAACAGGAGTTTTTATTCAGTAAAATAAATATTGAGAAAGCTGAGATACTTAGTGCTAAAAGACTTGAGATTAGTGTTGAGTAATATCTTCAAAATGTAGCCGTTAGTCTTTTCCTGTATTAAAGTGAATTAAAAACTTGATAACAGTGTCTGAAATGAACTCCAAGAACCTTTAATTCCCACTGAACTCTGACCGGCTTTACTGTTCCTAAAATAAAAGTATCTCAAAGCATAATGCTGCTCCCTCTGTGTCACTGCAGGGATGGCGTGTCCACCAGACATAATCATTCGTATATAGATTTGCTTAATGTTTTTAAAGTTCCATATGACTATTGAAAAGAATCCTTATTTTGTTATGTAGATAATAAGAAATCTATTTTAAATAATTCACTTTTGTTGTAATTTATAAATAGATAGAGTGCTTTATCGTGATTAACTGCAGCACAGCTTAATTAGTTCTTTTAACTGGTTAATTCACTCTTTGACTTTTAAAGCTGCTTTCATTAAAATTACTTTGTTTTTTATTTACATATTCATTCATATTTGTTGAATGAATCACCATGTTGTGACAAGCTTTCTCCTGAGTAGAAACAAATAATTAGAGCAAGGAGGCGGGTCTTAGCGCTGTCAATCATCCTCTGCATGTATTCCCAGGCTAGTTAGCATGACCACCGACGATCGTGAATAAACAGTTTTTCTGTAACGTTAAGTTGTTTCTCCACTATTGAGATAACTAGCAGCATGTGCACAGGGATGATTGACAGCGCTAAAATCCTCGTCTTGGCTTTATCTTTGGAATAAAAAGAGAAAAACACAATTGACTATTTCAAGCATGTAAAAGCTCAATGCATTGTCTTTAATCGATACAGCATATGTACACCATGTCATCTTTCAGTCAATCTTTACAGCTATACAATGTCCAGTTGTCAGTATAAAAGAAATGGGGTAAAGTCGCAATAACAATAGCAAACCTGGTGTGGTAATACAGCATTCTGTCAAAGGAATGACACAAAGGGAGCTGAAAGCTAACAGACAGCTTTCCAGTGCAGTCTCACTGAGGAAGGGGCAGACTGATTGAACCCATCATGCCTTCATGGTGTTTTATTCAGTTTTATTCCCAGTTGGAAATCACCCATCAACCCTGGGTGTTCCCAGTTGGAACACCCAGGGCTGGTGTTCACACCAGCCCTGTTCAGTCCGCTTCACTTCAACTCTAGTCTGTTTGCCGAGAAAGTCTGGTTCATTTGGGGAAGTGTGAATCCACAATCACACTTTGATGCGGACCAAGAAAGCGAACTACAAACCTAGGTCTCAGTTCGGTTAAAGTGAACTCTGGAACGGTTCAAATGTCTATGTGAATGCCAAGCGGACCAGAGACGGCTTCAGAAGCAGGGCATTCTGGGTAAATACCACCAAAACAGAAAACGACCCATAGTCTTTTACCAAAGACAAAACCTGCAACCACTAAAATCAGTTTACATTTTGTGAAGAAGGAAGTTATCGCATGTCTTCTTCTGAGGACATGAGCTTCATGTTAGCTCATGTAGTTTCCTTTGGTGGCTATTGGTACAGTGCCAACACTGATCCAAACCCTTTTTTGAAAGGGTTTGGATCATTTGACACAGTGCAGTGTGAAAGCAAACCGCAGCAGTTGACAATATGACAAATCTTTTCCCCAATCGAAGAGAGTCTACCGGACTACCAGGTGTGAAACCATCCTAAATGTGCAAAGCTTAACTCGGCACTTTGCCTGTGTTTACCACAGTTTACACCCTACTTTTCTCAACCAATGTTATTCCCTTCCTTTCTTTTTGTGTTTTAAACTTTAAAACAATTGTTAAAGGGCTCCCCTTGTGCCAACTTGTGACATCCTACATCCGTCCATCCGTCCCTCCATCCTGCCTGACCAGTCTGCCTCCCCACAGTGTGGCTGTGTATCTGTCCTCTGCTGTGCTTTGTGCGGCTCAGTTTCCTGGTAACAGACAATAGCCACGACAGCGCTCCGGGGCACAGAGTGCATTTGCATCACAGCAGCTCCATGTAGCTACACAGGCTCAGTCCTGAGCTACAAGCTCACAAAGCTGCTGCCTCCAGCGCTTTGACACCGGTCTGCAGAGTTCAATCAGACAGGCATGAAGAGAAAAGGCCGTGGCTGAACCCGTCACTGCAGGACAAAGATCAGGTCACAGGAACCAGGGCTAAGATGGCGCTTACCGCTGCCTCTGAAAGGGTTTGCTCCCACTCATCGTGGGTTTGCGGTGAGGTAGCACCTGCACCACAGTTGAGGCTCTGAAACCATTTGTAAATATAATTTTTAATATAAATTTTAAATCCATATTCACAGTTATAAAAGGTGTAAAAATGACCCAAGGTACTATTTACATTGAAATATACTTTACAGTTTTACAGTTACGAGCAAGGAGATTTAAAGAAATGCTGTCAGTCTCACTTGCAGTGAAACATCTGCATGATTAACATGTTCAGTTGTCTTGGCGGAGTGAATTAACCAGGAGTCTAGGAGCTGAGTTAAGAGGTGTTTACAGCCAAAACCGCTTTCAGAGCAGCTGCGCCGTTTCCTCCTCATGTCTGCTTGAACTGCATGTTCTTTAGCATCCGTCATCCCTCTTCTGTCATTTCTTTTTGGCATCTTTACAATTATTCAGAGGTACACCTGTGTACTTCAGCTTTGAGTGAAAAAAAAATACAAAGCAAGAAAAAGACTTTACAATCTCCCCTTCAGGCTGATTTAATGAGAAGTCATTGCCAATAGTCTGCTGGCATCTGTGCCACTGCGATAGGTGCCACAAAAGGGAGGGATGTGAATGCAGCGTCTCATCTTTTCCAGGAAAATCTGTGTGGGGGATCATTACTTTCATGTTTTGTCCGGTTGTACTTATTGCTTAATTAGATGGCACGTGGGCAGGAGTTCTTTCCAAAAGAAAAAAAAACAAACAACCAATATTTTTAAGTGAGTATGAAAAAATGTGTGTGATGTCAGGGGGGGAAATAAGCAACACTTACAATGCCTCACAAAGACATTCACCCCTGGAACTTTTTTACATTTTGCCACTTCTGAATCACAAACTTCAATTTGTGTTTTTGGGATTTCATGCGATAGACCATAGATGTGGGTTTGCATTCTGCCCCTTTTGCTCTGACACCTACCAATTACATTCAGAGCCGGTACCACTTTATTGGTTAACGTAGTCTGTCTTGTGTTTAATTTAATCTCAGCATAAATTCAGCTAGGGTTGTGCGAGAACATTAGTAAATGAACAGCATCTCGAAGACAACGCAACACCTGTAATCACAGCTGCAGAAGAAAACCAAAGCACAAGATTCTGTGGTCTCTGTTGAGCTTAGAGGTGGCAGCATCATGCTGTGGGAATGCTAAACAGCAGACAATACTGAGGGGGAAAAAACATGTTACGTATCTTCCATATTTAACCCATTATGTCCTAAATTTAAATGGATTTGATGGATATGTTTGCTTATTTTAATTGTACACAGTTCTTTAAATGTCCTGTGAGTAAATATATTTTCCATTTATTCATAAAACTGGAACTTTCAATATCCAGAAGTTATTTTTCCATTTTACCATCTATTAAAAGATTGCCCCTCGAAATGATTTCACTTTCTGTTACAGCAGGGATGAAATTACCGTAATAACCCGATATTGGCTGGAAAGCGCAACGTCTCCTCTTTCAGAAACTGTTGGAATTTTTCAGATAGCAGAAAGTGTGGCGGATTCACGGTACTGCAAATTTGGCTGGATCGTCGGCGCTCCTTTGAGGATTTTGAGGGAAAAATTCAAACTATATACTTGCAAGGCTAGTAGAGACGTTGGCAATTACAATAAAAAGACAAGGTATTGACTGAGGGGAGTGAATGGACAGCACACTGATTTGTGGAAAAAAATGTAAAACAATTTACCCTTCCTCTAACTTCCCTAATAAACGCTTCTTTGTGTGTCTCTATCACATGAAGTACAACAAAAACTGATTTTTTTTTTAAAGTGGCAAAACCTATGAAAGTTCAAGGGGTATTAATACATTTTGTACATCACAGTACGGACACCTTTGGCAATTTTTTACCTCCACAAAAAGCAAAAGCCGATATAACCCTGCATATATCTGCTCATCATACATACAGCTGATAATACAGGAGAAAGGGAAACGGGATCCACAATCTTGATGGGAAATGTTAAGACGAAAGAGGAAAAAGCAGAACAATCAGTACTGTACAGTAATAGCAAAACAGGACACAGTTGTGCTACAAGTGCTTAGGCGTTCTTGGAACGTGTGGCCTCAGTCCAGAGTCCTCTACAGCAGCAGCATCAGAGAGAGAGAGGGAGTCAGCGCTGAGCCCCGCAAAGCCCCCTCTGTTTGACTGCCAGTGTTGGCACATTCCTCCCTCATCGTCCTCTTCGTCAGGCGGCGTGTTCCCCGGCGACACAAACACAAACTCATCAGGATCCGTCCAAACCAGCAAGGCTGACAGGTAACTAAGAATAAAAAAGCAGTTGATAGAGATACAGCTATTTACAATCACTCGAAATGCTAGATAATTAATAGGGCGGTTGAGTTAATTATTAAAAACCATCAGGTGCTCGAAACCTTCTGCAAAAGGTTTGTTCAGAACGTAAAAAATAAATTGCAAGCAGCAATCAAAGACAATAAAATGAGGAAAAAGTTTGGCAGTTTACATTCATACCAGCGAGCGTTCGTTCTTAACGCTGTTGCTTAAGAACGCCGCTCCCAGAATCCGGACATTTGTGCAGTTTCTAATAACATGAGCTTCTTTCCTCAGTAATAAACTGAAAGAAAATTGACCACGTTTTCAGACTTAAAGTGGTCGCTTCAAAAAGCAGAAAGAACCAAAGGAGATCCCCCTAAGCCCATCAAACGTCAGCCTGGTAAAGAAAGCGCACACTCTCAAACAGAAAAATACAACATAAACTCATTGTTTGGATTGTACATCAGCAGAATATTTAAAAAGAATGGAGCATAACTAAATGTACAGCATATGTCAGCTAACACTGATGTTCAATACAAGTCACTACATTCTAACATTAGATATGCAAGACCAAGTCTTCAAAAGAGGTAAGACTTCACAGGGCAAAGCATTCACGTGAAGTAGAAAACATACATTGCTCAGACCGTAAGTAAATGCATTATAGTACAGTCAGTGCACTTTGTCTTTAGGAGTCAAAATTTGCCCTTAGACTAGTTTATGCCATGCAGTCCACATGTTTGATTCCAGTGCATAAAGGTCTTGGCAGAAGCGTTTTGAATGATGTTGCCTTCCTTCGTAATAATGCTTGTCAGCATGAATGATTTCTCTCAAAATGTGTGAAGGAGCTTTTAAATCTTAGAACTGGGAAAATGACAGCAGCAGAGCTGACTCGTTTCTCCTTCTTCCCACAGCGGTCGGATCGAGCGTCTCGTCTGCATCAAAGTAAGTCGTCTGACATGTTTTCAGCGCCACTGACGTCTCGCTGTTGTGACACCAGAGTTGATCTGGAGTAAAATGGCACAGGCCAATTATTGTGACGCTGTTGTGCTAACATGTTGCCTATCACTGTGGTTAGTTTAGTGGATTTGGAGTTCAGTGTGAAATCAGGAAAATATTGCTCAAAAGAGTGTGAGAAAACAGAGTGGCTGTGATAGATAAGTGTCTCGTTTCACACGGTGTGAACAAAAAAGAGGTTTCTTCAGCCTCTGAGATATAAAATATGTGATTTGAGAGCAAACTGAGGTTAGCTTTTTATGTCTACTGGTATGATGCAAACAAAAATCATTGCTGTGGAATTTAAAACTAGCTGAAATGTAGGCATGGGCCAGTTACAGCTATCTAGGGTATACCAAGATGCATTTTAAAAGTAAGATTTTAAAATCACTCACATTTTGCATCATTAAATTTGAGCACTGCTGGTCAGCTTTAGGGATCCAACACCCTCTTCTTTTCCTTCACTGACAAGTTCTAGAAAGTTGTTTAGAGACGTTTCTGGACAGAGACAACGTGGAAACCATCAGTGGTGATACTGTTTTGAAGCTGCAGACAGTTTTTGTTAAGCAGCTGACTGTTGTCTCTACCGCAGCAAATAACCTGACTAACTGACCAGCTGACATCAGCTCTAATAAGCACTTAAAAACAACTCCTAATAGTTGCAGGTGTTTATTCTGCTGTTTTTTTTAAAGGTCAAATGTTATCAGCAAGATTATTATAATACACATGATTACTGTAATTGTACATTTAATGCATGTGTTGTACTATTTCTGCAGCAAGAAAAATAATAGTAAAGCAAATAAATGATGTGAACTATTTTAGTTTGAATTACTTAGTGTAACCAATTCGATGCAGTGAAAACATACTGAAGGTTACACCCTGAATCTCCCGCCGGCCCATGCCTAGAGTAAACTGGTACAATGTTTTAGATATTTAAATACGTTCAGTTTGAAATTCAGCTTTTACTTTGGTCCGCTGGTGCATCTAGTTTTGTAAACACCTACAGAATTTGTGCTTTTTGCACTTCGATCCAATGCCTTCGAAACGTCTTAAAGCTGATCTAATAGAAGATAACAAGAGAAACTAACCTTCTTTTCCCTCCGTCAGTGATGGATTTACTCTGAATAACCGCAGCTGTTAGATGAGTTTTGTCCTCATAAAGATTTGTAGTACTGGCTTGTGGCTGGTAATAATTATTAAAGATAATTTGGACCATTCAAAGTAATGTAAACAAGTGTTTTCTGTCGCCATGTGGTCAGAGTTCCTCTCCTTACAGTTATATTTGCATTCAAAGACAAATTTCATGCAGATGTTACAATTCTTTTTTCTTTAAAGAAACACATATTTATCTCATATGTTTATCTTAAAAAAGCGTATTTTCTCTTATTATATATATGTATGTATATATATATATGTATATATATATATCTTTTATATAGTACATATGTTGTTTTGTTTTTTGTCCTATGCATTTCCAGGGCAGGCACCAGACACACACTGGGTACAGAGGCATGCCACACTTGCATTGCTGTTTGCATTCTACAGTTGGTGAGCTGGCGGGCATAACGTCGTCCAGGCAGCGCCGCAGTCGGTAAGCGTGATCTGTACGTCTGCACCAACTCTCAGCCACACAAGCGCTCGCGCGCGGCCTGTCGCTCTCATCGCCCGCCTCCTCCGCATCACGCCCGTGCACACACACAACCGTACATGATGTGCAACCTGACGCCAGTCGGTCCCCTCGCTGCAGAGGCGGCGTCGCATCCATCTCTGGCCGGGGACCAGGTCTTGGGACTGGTCCCACCAGTTTGAAATGAAGTAATTAAAGCTTTGCAGCAAGGCTCTGGGTTGGGGGGGGCACATGCAGAAGGTTGTGTTCAGGGTGACGGGCTGTTTGGTCCAGCCCAGGGTTGCAGTCAGATTCATGAATAGGGAGGAGGGAAGAGGAAAGTGAGGGATGGTGCTGAGTTGTGACGATGACGTTCATGTTTTTCCCCCCAATTTTTTTTTTTCATTATGTGCTTTTTTTTTTTATTATTATTATTATTATATTTTGCTGTACATCTAACATTATAAAATTGGTTTGATGACACAACTTAGGCTCAGAGTCATGGATTGCTGAATCTGCTGCTGGTTGCTCGGTCGGAGTAAGCAGGTACGAGACAAACTTCGGCATTTGCTACATGAGTTTTCAGCTCTATACACAGTAAGAACACGGAACAGAAGGGATGGTCATGCCAATACATGGGTTCTAATACTGGGTTGTAATTTGTGCTCAGTTATGTAGCGTACATTTCAAAGTATTGCTTGTTAGTCGTGTTGTACCCAATGACCTGAATGTTTATTAAACGTAGACTGCAGCTACTTAGTCATTGTTGTAGTTTTGACAGTAAAATTTGCATATTTAAACGTGGAACTTTGTTAAAGTTAGAAAATTACAAATTTTCCAGTTAGGCTGTTAACGTATTCAAAATGTTAGACCATTACTTGATTTAGTCAGTAAACAATTTATAAGCACACGTATAAAGTAATTTAAGTCAGACAACCCTTGACTTTTAGCCAAAGAAAAAGATTCCTCACGCGCTCTGGAGGCTCGGTGTCACGTCAACCACACTTGCCTCCTCAATCTGCATACAGACGCCATGACAAGCTCTCAGTCATCACACACACATTCAGACTCTGAGCTCCACCCTTCCTCCACCTTAAACCAGAAACCCATCCACAGCTCCGGAGAGATAAAACGAGCGGCTCATCGATTAAATAAGTTAAAAACAAGAGGAGAAGAAGTTTAGTAATTTGCTTGGAAGGACAGTAGAGGCGAGTGTTTCAGGAGGCGTCGCTGAATGTGTACAGGATGCGCTGAGCGTATTCTGGTGGCCTTCCTGTTGTCCTTAAACCTCACTGCGGGACTCGGCTCTCGCTGTGCCTCAATATGGTTTTTTGAGACGGAGGCCAGCTGTCAGCTGAGTTCCCTCCGTGTTACACTAACCATCACAATGCACACAAATAAGACTGTCCCACACTTGCTTGCACCCCTGGTAAAGATGTGTAGAAAAAATTTTAAATTGTAGTAATTATGCGACAAAATTACCACTTAATTATTGTCAATGAAAATAATTCCCATTGCATCAATTTAACTGAAGCATTTTGCAATTTCTACCCTTGTTTTATTCTTTTAAGCGCGTTTTGAAGCTTTTAATTTGTAATTCTTGACTTCCTGTTTCCTGAGGCATCAAATAAAGTAAGAGCTGTGTTTTTATATCCCGCTAATGTAGAAAAAACACAGATTTTCAGTTTAGCTGCTTCCTTTAACGCAGTCAGATCAGTTGAAAGAGATTGCTCACCCCAACATCCTTCGACCACTTCCGGTCGTTTTCCTCGTCTTTTCTGCCAGTAGTAACATCCGCTTGTTGACAGAAAATGTTTCCACAGCAGGTTTGTGAAATACACTAATTTCATTGAGGTTGAAAAACAACCTCATCCTATTGCAAAAACGTTTTATTAAAACATTTTTTCGAAATTGCCATTACACAAGTCTATTTTGGATTCAGTTTTCCGAATTATGTGGTCGATGAAAACTGAGGCCCGTTTCTCTTAGCCAGTCTTCAGGATGGGAAAATGATTTTGAATTAACGAAGGAAGCAGGTCTTGAGTTGCCCTGTTGTCTTGAAATAGTTAGTTAATGACGACGTCTCCTTGGGTTGCCAGACAAAACCTTGACAGAAAAGCGTGTAAAAGGAAGCTTCTTCCATTTTTACACTCCTTGTATGGCAACGTTTTTGGAGAAATGCGAGACATAAAATGAGAACCGTTTACTTTAATGATGTGTCTTTTGTACACATTTTCACCAGGGCTGATTATTAAACTTTTTCACCTCTCAACAAAACCGTATCTCAACCATCCCGTCGCGTCCGACCCTTTCCAGTGGGTTTGGCATGAGTCGCATCATCTGGGGTCAAAGGCCGGACAGTGACTGGTTTGGATGCCAGCTAAATGTCTAATACATAGTTTTATTTCTCCGGTGGAGAGGGAGGGACAAGAATGCCAAAAAATTAGGTTAATGAAACTTAGAAATATATATATACTCAGTCAGTGTAAAATTAAAATACAAAAACTATAGCAAGAAAAGTGTAACAATAAAAAACATCTGCGACTTCACCGTGAAATAGTAAAAGGGTTACTCAAGCATAACTACAGTGACTCAAAATAAATAAAAGCTGTCAGAGGAGAGGATGCGGTCGGGGTTCAAAGGTGAAGGAGGGTGTTTGCTCTCTCTGTCCCTCTCTCCCTCCATCTCCCCCTCCTCCATCTCTCTCTCTCTCCGTCACCTCTCACTCCTCACGGAGCTGCAGGCGGTAGCGGCTGTGGCGGATCTGAAAGAAGATTCTCTCCAGCGGCGAGCGGCTCATCCCGGGTAGCCTGTAGTCCTCGCTCTGGCTCGTCCTGCAGAAGCCCAGCGACTCGTACAGCTTGTGGGCAGCCAACTTGACGGCGGTCGTTCCGAGGACCACGGCGGCGTAGTTGTTGCGCACGGCGTACTCCAGAACTCGGCGGCCCAGGGCCTTCGCGATGCCTTTGCCCCGGTAGCGAGAGTCCACGGACATCCGCCGCAGCTCCACGGTGTTGTCATCCTCGTGGCCCTGCGCCGCCACGATGCCCACAACGCGCCCGTCCAGAACCGCCACCCAGAAGCAGGAGCCTGATGAGGGTTAAGAGGAAAAGTTTAGAGATCGCACTTGCTGAATATGAGGCCTTTACGATTCTTAAAACTATTAAAGACAAATTAAATGATTAAAAGTCTTAAAAAGTTTAAAAAAAAATAAAAAATACTTGTCACTGGAGCAACCCAGAGCCTATAGCTTTGCTTGTTAGCTTAATGAGAAATTAACCAATAAGCACAATTTTAGACTGTTTCTTCTCTAAATCTGTTATTTGTAGTTTAAAAATTAACAAAAACTCTAGAAATGAGCACATGCTTTAAACATGTTGAATTATTCCTTTAATATAACTGTGGCGTTTTATTTAATCTCAGCGATTTGGTGTCTAAATCGTTTAGCATTGAACTGGTTACACTTTTACTTTTTATATTTACTTCAAGTCAAACATGAGGCTCCAGTGAATGTAGATCATGTAACAATGTTTAAATGTACTTCACATGAACTCCAAACCAAATCATTTTTGAAAGAATATATGATATGGATTTCAATCACTTTAATTCAGTATCAGATTGGTAGACAAAAAGTTTGATCTTAAATTTGGGGAAGAGATGTCTAAACTGCAGCTAATAGCAAATTGCTGCCAAACTACACTGTAAAATCTCAGACTTTATGTCACGTAAGTATTAAATCGTAATAATCTTTACTGCTAACTGTTTTCTATTGGGAGATCAATTTATTCAGCTATACAGTCCATTACATAAGATGTTTTTCTTTCTGACAGAAAATCCAAACACAAGCCTTCAGTTGCATGAGAGATTAACAACATTCTGCTGCTACATTTAAAAAGCATTGGCTTGAATCTGCTTAAAACACCAAAAGATAGAAAACCAGAGAGAGGCGTACAGGGATTTGATTAATGGCCAGTCTCTGGTGTCTAATGGCATACGCTATTCATTAAGACTCCACTAATTAAAAGCTCTGGGATTACAGATGGTCAATATGGGCTCAGAAGCGAAGAGGAAAGCAAAGAAACTGAAAAAAATTAAACCGTTTCTGCAGTTTTATCATATTTAAATCATATTTGTCAAATACAAAAAAAAACTACAAATTGAAACACAAATATTTAGTCTTAGATCATCTTGCACTGTGAATTAAACACACAGACAGAAAGACGCACACAGAGGTCAAAGGTTAGGGCGACCTGTCAGCAGATTATGCAGCTCCACCATGAGAACCACAATAACATGAAATATCAACTTTCACGTTATTCAAGATGCCACTTCTGATGTGTTTAGCTGAATAACAGTGAGTTAATTTTCCTTTTCAAAGATAATAACACACATTAGGCTGACATACAGTACGAAATTTCATAAGAACTTTTGTTATAATGATTATTTTGTTATGATCTTTGTTACTTTCTTTATTATTAAACAGTTTTCTGTAAAACCCTTTTGACTAAAGTCACGCGTTGGCCGCAGTAACACGCTTTCCTACCAAAATCCCATCTGTTTGCTACAAACAAACTAAACCAGACGATTCCATGACGGGCTGAGCCTGACTGACCTCTGACCTGCAGTCGATTACCTCTAAATGCGGCCTCTCGCTCTGCTTTTACACAACTCCTCTGTGTTTGTGTGAGCCGAGCATCTCACGCCGTCACACACAGAAACAGCTGATGGTGACATCGGCCTGCGCTGGAGTCCCAGGTGTTGGCAGGGATTTGGATGCCGCTGCAGGCCCGCGTTAAGCCCATCCGGACGCCTCTGTTGCAGAATGAAAGCCCTGTGATGTGCGACGCGCGGCAGCAGCAGACGGTCCCATGTTCCCTCTGTGCAAACACTGGTTCACTAATGGCTCCGCATCGCTGAGGATGGGATTTCTACGTAAACGCTGGATACTTATGAGATAAACATCCTCAGCTCACAGTTTAGAATGAAAGCAGCTTCAATGCAGATCAGTTTGAAAATTAAAAAAACTGGACAGAAGAAGTGAATAATCATGAAATTTACCTCAATTATAGACGTTAATTAGTGGTTGGTTATGTTCAGCCTGTAGTTATGGTTATGTTCAGGCTTTTTCCTTCCTTCCTGTCTTCTTTTTTATTCCCACCATTAGTTTATTATCTGATGTAAAAGAATCAGTCACAGAAATTGCTCTAGTTTTGTGCAAATACAAGTCGGTTTAGCTCTCTCCCTTCATCCTTCCTTCCTGTTTCCTCGCTGATTTTCTTTATATTTCTGTCCATCCACTTTAAATCTAAATAAATTCTTTCTTTATTTCTCTCTCTCTTTGTTTTCATTTGATTCTTTCTCTTCCCTTTGTTTCTTTTCTTCCTTCTCTCCTTTTGTCTTTCTTTATTTCTGCCTTTCTTTTTTTAATCGTCCTCATTTGTTCCATCATTTTCATGTAATGCACCGGTATCCCCGGCAGCTTAACTTTAAGCTTCTGGAACGGGCGAGGTAAGCCCAGTTTATCAGCTGTGTCTCAATGGGCGGTCCAAACCCAGAAACCAATTCATTCAGGTCAACCCAGAGCAGGGGTCAAATATCCAACCGTGGCTGCTACGTGTTAAGGACCCTTTTTAGTAAATATCGGAGAGGGTATGAATATACCCACAACATGTTCAAATTGGGAGCCTGAGCTGTTTAATTCAAGTCAGAACAAAGAACATTTTGAGTTAATGACAGAATGTTAATGTGAGTTGATCCTGCAGCTCGCAGAGTTTCCTCATGTCATGAGCTGAAAGTTTATGCTGAGCAGGAGTCGAAGCTGCAGTGTCGACTCCTTTCAGCCCTCCTGACCATCTGTCTGAGCTGAGCCGGCGCCAAGCGCGAGGGCAGCAAGCGGCGCTCTGCCTCCCTGCTCACAGGACGCCGGCCACTGCTTAACCCTGCCTTGCAGACACGACGCATGGGACAAAGAGCTACACTGAATATCCCCCCCTCACAACCACATCTCTTGTTTTTGTGTCGGGAAGTAAGTGAGAGAGACATAGTGACCACAGCGGAGATCCTGCAGAGAAGACAACACCGTTTTGTTGTGTTGCTCTGTGAAGAACAGAATGGCAAAAAAGATGTGATATTCTGCCCTGTTAGCATCGGGAAAGAACTGCTAAAACATAGCAAGTGTTTATGATTTTGCTGAAATAAAAATGTTGGCATGTTGAGTTCGGGTTATACTGGGGCCTACGTATTTGTCATTTTCACTCCTCATAATGATGTTGAGGCATTTCTGAAAATATTTAAGTAGAGATCAGCTGATACAGATAAGGATGCTGCATTTTTACACACGTTTTAGTTGAAGCCGTAACTGTTTAGTCAGAGGTTGTGTGTAGTTTTGGGGTTTATTTTTGTTTCTGTTTTCTGCTCAGTAGTTTGTGAAGCCGGGAGTCTGTCTGCACAGGCATCTTGAGGGACAGCTCTTTTTTTTTTTTTCATTGGGGCACTAAGGTCCCTGTTGATGCAGCTCAGCAGCTGCAGGAGCTCAGGACAGCATTGCTATAGTTAAACACCAGTAGTTTAGTGTTTGTGTGCGAGTCGAATGAATGAGCTTACTCACTCGGAAAAAAAAAAGACTTGGAAGAGGGGAGGAAAGGAAAGAAATTATTCATGTCTCATGAAGGAGTAGAAACTGGAGGGGCTTCTGGGTTGACAGTAATAGTGATGATCCTTAAAAGACCTCCAAGCACAAAGAGGGGAGCAAGGAATGATGAATAATCTGCCATTAATGCCGCGGGGGGAGGGGACGTCAACAGATGAAATACACCAAGGCGAGAAAAAGAGGAAGAGCAGCGGAGATCCTTTGTAATGCATCCTACATGAAGAAAAAAACCCTGATTGCTGCACCATACTGGCATCGGTGTGGGAGTGTCAAACACTCAGGGATACTCTGACTGGAAGCCTGTATGAAATCGCCCCAAATTGCGCGCGCACACACACACACACCCACACACACCCAGAGGAGCGCGTTGGGAATTGGATTTGATCGCTAACAGGATTATTCTTGTTTCCTTCAGATGAAACCTGCAGGGCTAATTCATTTGATAAGCGTTTCGTCTAGACTCAGCTTCACTGCGCTGCAGTTCACTTCCACAAAAAGACGAGCGCTGCGCGAACACGCTCAGAACGAGAGCGCCATTCTTTGTATCGCATCATTTGTCTCTGCCTATTGTCATTTTTGGAGGAAGCAATTTTAATTTGCTAGACTTCTTTAACTCCATTATACAACAATAAGAAGCTAAGTGAATTTATTAATTTTATTACTATTATTTCATCTATTCTTTTTTATTATTATTAATAAAATTATCTAGCAATGCATGGCAGCACATATACAGCCTCCTTGATGCACTCTCTAAGAAACGCCCCGCACTTTAGGTCAAAGTTCACGCCGGAGGAATGGATTAGCCCGTCACAGAGAACTCAACCATCAGCAGTTTCTTTCTCCTCCCCCGTTGAGCGAGAGTGGACTGTCAGACGTTGTGCCCGTGTGCAGAATCGCAGTAAATAAATAATTCATTTGTTGAGAAGTGAGGATTTGAAACAGAAGTCGTTTTCATCACAGCCTGAACTGTGATGCAGAGAAGATTGCTGCCTTGATGTGACATTTTGCAGACATGCTCTCTCTCTCTTTCTCTCTCACGCTCTGCTTTGAAATCTCCATTAGGAGCTCTCGCTGTGTGCTTTTCAGTCGTACAGCCTTGCTGCCCATCAGCATGCCTGTGCAGGTTGAATGATTTGTGCCTTAATTTTCACACACACCACTCTTCACCTGTAATCTCAAATGAACGCCTTAAAATGTCTTAAACTCAAGATAAGGTACCTTGAAGTAAGTAAATGCAGGTCTTAAATTTTGACTTTTTAAACTCAGATATTCTACGTAGGCTTTTTCTCACGCGTCTTTTCCATCAGGTGAAAGTGTGAGCTGAATGCAGACACCTTTGCTGACTTGTGATTCAAGCCTGCCGGTAAAAAGCTGCCAAGGCATCCATCATATTAAAGTGATTTAGGACCCAAACGTTTGGGTCCTAAATAGTCTTCAGAAGTCTTACGTTTTTCAGTTGGTGAAACCTGCGTAAAGCCGGTCTTAACTGGGTCCAGGCCATTATTTTTATGTTAATGCATTCATCCAAATTTTCAAAAACGTTGCTAAACTCAAACCTTACATGTAAGACCAAATCAAGATCACTTACAATGGAAAATGCTCAACAAATGCTTTGCTGAATCAGTGCCTTGCCAAAGATTTCAGACTGATCAAACATATCCACCTTTTTGATGTCACAGCGACATATATAAATATACTTTAGTGCATGTTTTATGTGACAGACACCCATAAAGTAGTGTAAAATTGGAAAGTAGGATGAATCTTCCAGCAGGACAAAAACTCTAAACATGCCACAAAACCGTCGATGGGGAGATTTTTAGATTAAAGTAGGTTCAAGTGTAGCGATTATTTTAAGTCTAAGTGAAGTTTCATTGAAAGTATGGCAGCAATTTCAGCCCCTATATTTGGATTTGTAGTTGCATCAGAAGCTGGTTTGGTAAAGTGTGGATTCAAAGGGTTGAATGCATGCAGTACGTTTGAGAATGACACATCACTTTCCTTCCACATCACAACCACATACTAGCTTTGTGTTGGTATTTCATGTCCTAATGAGAAACATTGAAGTTTGCAGTTGTGACATCACAAACGTGGAAATGTTCATGAGGTTTTCCAAGGCCGTAAAAACGAACTTTTCCCATCAGTGCAACATCCAGATTTATTCGACTTAAACTGCAAACGCTTAATCTTTACAGGGGACAAGTAACCGGTCAGATAAAAACAACAGACTTTTATGTAATAATTAATCCTTTCAATTTATTGCCAGAGACTCAAAAAAAGCTCAACGTGACAATGTGCCCCTCAGTTAAGTATTGTTTTAATAGCAACGTAAAACATAAGAGAAGGATAGTGAGACTTCGGTGTGTTATTAATGATTCCCACGTCTTACAAACGCTGGATAAACCAGACGCACGTCTGCATCAAGGATGACAGGAAGTGGAAAGATTTCTGCAGTGTTTTCGTCTTTTAAAGTCTCACAATGTGTGTGTGTGATGTTTCAGAGCAAAATGGAATTGATCAGTTTTTTAATTTTTCCAATCGTACTCCTATAATAAACATGTTTCAGTGAGTTTTTCCATTATTGTAACGTCACATTTTCTTTATCTTCTTGCTACTTGTGTTTGTGTATCCAAGAATATATTTTATAAGGTTCCATACATGGTGAAATTAAAATCTTTGAAGAATTGGTATTAAAATAGGTTCTGCTATGTTCTACTACTTCAGGACAGAGTCGGCCATTTTGTGTTTCTGTTTCTTAACTTGATGATGGCCAAATAATGTGTAACAAAAATCTTATTTGTCCTCTTGATTGCCGCCAATTAGCTGAAGTACTTTAAAAGAGATTGCCAGGTCCCCTGCTGTGTCAGCTACTTCAGGCTTTCAACATGTAGAGGTGACTGAATCTTCATGGTTGCAGACAAAGCCACTGCATAGCGTAACAAGAGATTAAATAGCATTATATGCAATCAGTACAAATAAATTTGTGTTGAAATGTTCTTTTTTTGTGAGGTATATATTACAACTCGGAGTTGTGATGCTCATGTTGCTGATTTTATTCAACATGGCCAAACTCTTAGCCTGACAAAGCCTGTGATCACATTGTGCTACAAAGTGATACGTCACAGAAAGTCAATGCTTGTGGATTATTTACTCCAGCTTAACCATCTTCAACACTTTAGAAATACAAATCATTCTGATAGAGATGTTGATGTTTTCTATATCTGCACTTTCTTTTGTCTCAAAAAATATCTTAAAACGCTTAAATACATTTTTTGTTGAAATTAGGGAACTACAGTTGGATCCTCCCATCAATCAACACTTCAGACGGCTTTTCATTGGAGAAACAACTTCCTTTGTGTCAAGAAACGTGGAAGAAAGGAAGCACAGTGGTTCAAAATACAACAACGGGAAGCGCTACAGGAGGTACATATGTCTTTTAAATCTTTATCTAGCTGGTGGCCAGGAAGCTTCTGGTGTCTTTATCCTAACATATATAAACATTAGTCCTTTTCATTGCCTCTTTTTCCATCCTGCCTCCCCTTCAAGCACTTTTTCCCCCCATTTTCTCTAATCTGTCGTCTCATCTTGTGGTTATGAAACCACACCAGTGTGAGTACACAGCAGGTGTCGCTTTGTTTTTATTTCCAGGGTTACGTGCTGAAGGGGTAACCCTTTGCGCTTGGCTTTTTCAGTCAGCTTCGCCTGTTCTAAACCCAGTTAAACCAGTTAAAGTGCCCAATGATTAAAGAGATTCATCTGAAGTGAGATAAGAAAAGCCGATGAACATGAATTCGTAAAGACTAAAACTCATATTGACCTATTTAAAAGGTCAAAGAGTCCAGCATCCTCGCTACTGTTGACTGGGTGAACTGCAGGATAGATTCAGCGATGCAGATTTTTCATAATTTTTGATGTAACAAGACAGATAAAACCAACAAATGTCAAATTAAATGCATATATGACAGTTAAGTCACATAACAGCGATCACTTGTATCTGCAAAAACTTTAGCAGTTTGTACAAATAAAAGGTTATTTAGCCTGTTTCCAGTAAATGATTGTCGACCATCTGGTTGTTGCAGAGTGTGAGATTATTTTTGCCTTAATGACATAAAGACGTGTCTCACCAAGCTCTGCCGTATCTGCTGCCGTCCTGTTCAGGGTGTTTAACCCCAATGTCACACCCATATTCATGAATAAAGACGGAGGAATGGCTGCACCACAATCAGTTTAAACTATCATGTTGCTGCTTTTAGCACGATTTCAGGTAGGAATCAATAAGCCGCAGTGACGAGAGTGTTCATGGGAATCACTGCAGGCGTTTGCATTAAAACGCTCAGCAGAAGAAGAACCGGAACCGACGAGCGGGTTCCACAGGTTATTTCAGCTGGAGGCGGGGACAGTCTCATGGAGACTTGGGCCAGTCATAATGTGGCAGGTTCTGTGTTCAAAACATCTGAGCAGTTGCTGTTCTTGCTCACTTGGCTGGTTCAGAATGACGATTAGTTCCATTTTTCTGATGATGGATCGGTATATAAATTAATCTTGCTTTAAACTTCTTCACAACTCTCTCCCTGACCTGTCTGCTGGGTCCCTTCTTCTCCGAGATGCTGCTTGTTTTTCTAATGCTCTCCAGCAAATCTGTGAGAACTTCACAGAGCAGCTGGATTTCTGCCCGAGTTTAAATCAAACGAATAAAAACACCAGCTGCGTTTCCAGCAAAACTTGGTTGATGTTCCGTTAATGTCATAAAAACACAATTTCAGTGTTTCCACTAAACAAGAAGTGCAATCAAAATCACACGTAAAAACATTTTTTCATGCGATAAGTGATTTTTAAAAATGCTGCGCCGTCCTCCTCCTACCACTTCCTGCCGTCTTCTCCGTCTTTTCCCCCAGTAGCAACATCTGATTGCTGATGACGTGACTCGTGTGATACTTTGCAGTTTTGTAAAAAAATGTTTGATGCAGCCAGATAACCACCGCATCATATTGCATAAACTTTTTATCAAAAGATATGAGTTGTTGTTTTTTTAATTGCCGCATTCCCAGTAAGTGAATTCATATGTAATCATATATTGAATTCCAGTTTGTGCAGTTATAGAGACATGGCTACTGTTTGCTAAGGCATTTGGTTGAACTGGATCTTTTTCTTGAAGTTATTGCTGTAAAATATTTTCTTTATTTATAAAACAATTCTCTTTTTCCATCTGATCTGTGCTCTGCTTTGTGTTGCTCTACCCTATAGAGCAACAGCATAGGACATAACGTTGACGTTTTTGGTTGTAACAAAGCAAAAGCGGCGCAAATTTCTGCAGCAAACGACAGCAGCGTGAGTCGTGCCTCTCCATCGGACCCCGGTGTCCGTCCCTCTGGGTCCACTCGGCTTGCGCGGCTGTAATCATTAGCATTGTCCGGGAGCAGCGACGCCTGACCCCCTCTGAACCGCCGCGGCTCTGCAGCGATAATGGGAATGCTAAACTGCAACTGTGTGCTGTGGATTACCAGGCCAGCGGGCGCAGCGCTAGAGAGCAGCACACAATGGGAAGGCAATTGACTGGCTTTCCTCACACCTGTTTCTGGTGTCGGCCATGTGCGTCGAAGGCATGTCGACGTCGGGGAATGTGGTAAACCCAACACATATTTGTAGGAGGAGGATAAATAGCTGGATTGATTTTTCTAATTAGAAGCCTTAGTGGAGGAAATGAGGCTCGACAACACCGAGCTCACTGCAGAGAGAGTATCAGCAGTCTCCCCAGTGCAATCAATAGGCCCTGCTTTGCCCTCTACCCCCACTCCAGAGCAGCGAGGGTAGGAAGCCGGTGGGGGGAAGGAGCAAGAAACACACAGGGAGGAGGGGTGAGAACAACGAGGAAGGAAAGCAGAAGGATGGCCTGCTTATTTAACTATTTTCCTCTGCCTGAGGACTAAACTGTGTTCTCGTCATGTATCCGTCAGTCACACTGACTTTCATTTGGCTTCATCCTCTCCGGCAGTTTAAAGCTGCTGTGTAAAGCGAGCCGAGGTCTAGTTTTCACCGGTCGTTTGGATTTATCTTGTAACTACGGGTAGAGCCGCCTGCTGACAAATCACACATACCAATGGGACGTCAGGGAGAAGAAGCAGTTCCTTACCTGTGGGCTTCATGTAATAGGCCTCAATGTCAGCCATGTCGGTGTTCAGAGCACAGTCCAAATAATTCTGGATAACTTTCCTGCTGTAGTAGTAGCGTGCACCCATGAGAATGAGCGGTGCGCAGCAGGTCAGCGTGACAGATTTGGTCATGTAAAAGCACATTACTATGGAGAAATGGAAGAAAAGTAAACGAAACCTGTCAGAAGAGAGAATCACAAGTTTGACTTTTGGCAGGGTTTGAATCCGACAACAGACACAGAACAGCAGGACAAGCATGGCGACACGCAGCACCGCAGTGGAGAAACATGAACGGTTTGTTGACGGCGAGCAGAGTTATCCTGCATCCAGGGTTCCTACACACTCTGGGGAGGTTTGGCGCTTCCGGGGAAAAACCAGGAACTATTTCCAGATTTTGATTCCTGCCTCATTATTTACACCATCCATAAATTCATCCATTTTTCTATCCATCCAACTAGTTTCTTTTTTGCAGATTTTTATCTTGATTGAAAGCCTGACCTCTGTCCGAACATTTCCAGACGATTTTATGGTGAACTTTGCTTTTCATACTTCAGTAACTGAATTTTCCCTTTAAGGATGTATAGGAACCCTGAGAAAGACGCATGAGTTCAGCTGCAACGCTGAGAGAAATTATTTTACCTCTTTCTGAACTTTCTGGAGCGGAGCATGCCGGTCGGGCCGTGATTGCGTTAAATCAATTTTTTTTTTTACGCGATTGGAAACCAGTCGTGTGCGACGCTAGGGGGCGCAAAGGGAAACACAGACAATCGGGGTAGATTGGACGCGTCGCGTGTTGAGCTGCACTATTTGCTCAGCGGAGTGAAACGTTTTTAATGTTTGCAGCAAACATGAGTTTGTTTGTTGTTGTTTTTACTGGTCACTTGGATCAGAGGTAGAAATCTGTTACTTCACCCAGTCGAGAGGTTTTCATTTGGATGAGGATTTCAGCGGCGCATGGAGGGATTTAACTCCCGTTCTTTTCCTGCCCGTCCTTTTGTTTTCGTTTCCCCGAGCGATGGGCGCACCCTGTGGGCCGACCGTCCAAACTGACTCCCTCGTTCATCGAAGTCACGCCGGCATGTGACCACAGCATCAGCACCATCAGCCTAACGACACATGCTCCGTGCGCCTGGCATCAGCCTTTTGTTGGCTGCGTGGCGGAGCGGAACGCCGGTGCGCCGGTGGGCAAAGTTTAAAAGTGGCAACGGGTTTCTGCGTAACTGCGCATTGCGTGGTGCTGATTACAAATATGATTAAATGAGATTGGAGTTACCATATAGATTTACGGTGGTGGTGGTGGTGGTGGTGGTGGTGGGGGCTCCTTTAACCGCTCACCTGTCAGAAAGGCGTATAAGAACTGGATCCGGGGCTGCTGCCAGATCCCCCTGAACGCCGAGTTGGGTATCCGCTCCATGATCCCCTCGTGGAAAATGCGCAGCACCTCCTCCTGGTCCTCCCGCTCGAACTCGCGGATAAAAACCCCGTCCCTCCGCACATCCTTGGGCTCGGCGGCGGGGCTCAGAGCCGCGCCGGGGGCCGCCGGGGAGCCCCACATCATCGGCTCTTTTTTGGTCCCCGCTATAGCCTCGTGTTCGTCCGCAACGATTTTAGTCTCGCAAACCATTTTGGGAGACGAACAATGCATGCAACTGGCCTGCAGAAAGACGGTCCCGCTGCAGCTGTGGAGTGTGGCGGTGGTGGATGGGGTGAGGATGGATGATGCGTAAAAAGAGTCTCCTAAAAAACAGTGAGAGGATGATGGAGAGGGGAGGGATAAGACGGAGGAGGGGGGATGTTCTGCTGCAACCCTGAGCGATTCTGAAGACCCAAGACTTTCCGGCGCGATCCGGGCCGGCTTTATAAGCGCGCAGGGGCGGGTATAGCCGCGGGTTCAGGGGGTTGGGAAGGTCCTCCCGCCCACTCAGATTGGATGCCGAGGGAGGAGGGTGGCGATGAGGGGCGAGAGAGGCCCGGACGAGCTGCTGTGTGCTGCGCCAAGGATGTATTTCGAGAAAGTGGGCTCATGAGGAGGGGTGAGATGGTGATGCGCAGAAAGGCTGGTTTTCCTTCAGAGGCGCCACCAGGGGGGGCGTTGGGGTGCCTTTAGTCATCAAATATATATATTTAACAATACATTTTATCCTTAAGTAATTCATTTTTTTAATATCCCCAATGAAATAATTATGACTGGAAAAACTTTAATTAAAAGTTGAATATAGTTATTTCAGTGTTGAAATCATTTTATTCTACAGTGACGTGAAAGCACATCTTGAATTTATCTGGTCTTTTAGCCTTGCAAAGTGAAAAATGTGTCCATGGCAGCAAGACTAACGCTGCTATAAACCAGCCAGTGAAATCTCCAATCAAATGTTTGGATCACTTTGATCGGAAATAATTCATCACGGGGGTCCAAACTGCCATGATCAAACAAATCTAATAAGAAAATCATTAGTGGAAGCAAAGCTCATCTAAACTTTCAGACAACTCTGGAAGAATCATGTCAGATAAACAACTGCATATTTGCATGAATGTTTGGACTTATTGAATATTCAAGTCATGAAATATGCAAATTATTCATTCAGTCTTGAATTTTTATTGTGTTTAAGTCATAATATGAGACCTTGTAATTAGTATTAAGGTATTAGCGCCATAATTCAATACACAAATTACTTGATAAATATTCATATATGTTCAATAAACTGGACCTGAATTAATTTAATGTGTCTATGTCATCTAAATTTGTCAACAATTTTATAGTAGATGTTTAACTAAAAATATAAATCCTTTCAAAGTCATGATTTGTTTAATCTGTCGGCTGCGCATCCGTGGGCGGGTCTAACGCGACTGTGGACAACGTGATTGGTCTGTAGTTAAACTGCTGTGCAGGTCAACCAATCAAATGTTTGCCTTTGTTTGCACAGACATACCTTCAGTTATGATGATTTCCTGATGGACCACGTCAGGAAATATGAAATAAACAGATAAAATAGTAAGTTTAATACATAATAAACTACAACTTAAGTAATAGTTTATACATTCATGTAAAAAATAAAATCTATATTTTTTCCCATATTTATTCAGTTTTATTTGAAAATGATTAAACTGTTTCAGTAATTAACTTTGAATTAAATTAAAATTAAAAAATGTAAGTATTTCAAATAAAAAAAATTTAAATTAAATAAACAAATATTTTTTTACAAATAAAAAAATAAATGTGTATTTATTATTGTTAAATCCATATGTTATAAATCTTTATTTGACAAAATTTTCAGGGTGATAAATGCTTGGCATGTAAGCCAGAAAATTACAAGCTTGGCACTATTTATGTTTTTATTTATTTTCCATTTTGAAAGACATCCTTCTGGAGCTTTGTTATTTATTTCATGAACTGGGGAGAAGTCAACAATATCAATTTATTAAGTACCGATCAATATATGGACAGAAAATAATAGATTCTCTGCTCCAGTCCCTGGTGTTTCTGCTTCCTGCCGCTCTCCCAGCTCATTCTGCCCTGGGCACAGAGCCCCGTCGCTGCACAATCAGAGGCTGACGTTTTATGGGACGCGGACACGCGGCGAGCTGCGTCACAGTGGATCCACTGCAGACCCCTTCGAAACAAGAACTGTTTGAGACAAGTTCTCAGAGGAACTGAAACACAGACGAAACGTTCCTGTTTTCGTTTTACACGCGGCTGCCCCTTGTGGGATTCCTCCAAATCCATATCAGAGCAGGATTTGTCCCGAGGAGGCTGGCAGAGCGAGGCAGACTCACAATGCGGCTGAGTGACAGCTCTGCTGCACTGCAGTGATCCTCCGTCTCTCCAGCGCCACCCGGCTCCTGCCACAAATCTCTCCCTGCACGGAGATTATCTTCGCCTTGCTGCCCCATCCATTAGTATCTATTGGACACTGGTTGCGAATTAATAACCTGCAGCTTTTTTTCTTTTTTTTTTTTTGTTGAGGCGGCAGTGGTTGGGTTGATGATGATGATGATGGTGATGATGATGATGATGATGGTGATGATGATGATGGTGATGGTGGTGCAGGAGCTGCTCCTTTGTTGTCTCCCCCTCGCATGCTTTGGCGGTATTTAACCGTTCACCGGTGCAGCTCACTCGGACTGATCATTAATATTGCATTGATTGTTTTCCCAAAGACTTGCAGGTGTTATTGATCTGAATGCACGTTTATGACGCACGCGCGGAGATAAAAACGTAAGGAAGAGCGGACGAGCACCGGGGAGGCGAAAGGTTTCGCCGGTTTGCGTAAAGTTGAAGCGCAGATCTTCCCTGTGCGACTCTGCCCTCTGTCTGCGGCGTTTAAAGTGGAACTGCGGATCCCCTCGCAGCCTAATAAGGCAGAACTAGTTTGAACTGGATCAGAACTAGTTTTCTATTGATGAGGCTGCATCTTTCTCCCCGCCTCCTCCTCCTCCTCTTCCTCAGTGAGCACCAGGAGGAAGAGGAGGAGAAGGCGCAGGCAGACATCCTGCAGAAATCCTCGTACCGTTGACTCAGCGTGAACATTTTCTCCTCTAAAAAGATACCTTAGAAGATGTTTTTTCTTTTTTTTTCTCTCCCATTAGTTCATCTACAGTGGATTCGACTGAGCATGCTCAGTGCGTCACTTTGCCTGCCCTGTTGGAGTGGTGCCTTTATAATGTAGCAGCACGAGGCTCGTGTGCATGAGTGGGAAGGTTGTAAACACAAAAAAACTAGGCAATAAATGTTACATTGAATTTGTGCAATTTTTTTGCCATTCGCTCCACCCGTATGCCTCGATTGCAAAGAGACAAAATATTCTTTTGTTGCCTTAAAATGGACTTTATTCTGTGAGGTTAAAGTCAGTTTTTGATATTAAACCAAAACTTTCAAATCAACAAATGTTCTGTCGGTTATTCGCAGCAGGGGAAATAAGTATTGGACACAGCTGTTATTCACCTCACATGCCTGTTATGATCCAGATAATCCACACATACATGGGAATGGAAAAATAATCCTTCAGTTACCTGGAACAACAAGGGAAGACGTCACATAAGTTTTGGGTGTTAAGTTTTTTCAGCCCTTGGTAGGAAAGTTTGTGCTGATAGCTTTAAGACAAAGTGTGACCCCGACCCATTTTGACCTTCAAATTGTCTTTGTATCTTGAAGGTTTTGTCTTCTATGAACTCTGATCTTTGATCTCTGATAGACCAGCTCTTTTCTCCTGAAGTGAAACTGCTAAGAATTCATGGATTGTCCGGATTTTTCTTTTGTCCCATATTTTCAGTGATAAGCTAAAAATCTAAATACCACAATGTGTTCTGCGGCTTGTTGTGTGACAGCCGCGCTTTGGGCTTGTTTGTGTTTGAGACTCTGTTCGTCGCGAGTCGGAAGATGAAGTTGGGACGCCACTGATTCAGCTGACATTTAGGTGCCGTGTTTCACAGGAAGCTACAGAGACCTGATGCATGTTTGAAGTGAAAACAAAAGCTCAGCAGGTTGTGAATCATTCAAGCTCAAGCAAAGCGGGGGGTCTCTGCTCGTGACATGTTTAGGTTTCTCAGCTGACCGATTTCAGGACGACAGAGAAACCCTTTTCGGCTTCACGTTTTTCAAGTTAGAAGTGGAAGTTGTGTGGCTTTTCAGAGGAGCGTTGTGAATGGCATAATGGAGGAGATTGGTGGTCTTGATGGCTGTAAATTTGCCACTACTCCCGTCTGTTGCGATGAAGGAAAGTTGAGATAAAAATGGAAGCTGTCGGTTTACCGGCCTGTCTGGGTTCTAACATGATGCTCTGGATCAAGACCGACGGAAATGAGCTGCTGCTCCTCTGTTGATGTGGTCCAAATATCAAATCTCCTGACTGCATCCCTCTTGGAGGAGACTGAGAAAGACCCAGACGTCTTTGTAGAGACTTTACTCTGCTTATGGCCTGGGAACCCGTTGAATCCCCCATGAAGGCTGTAGGAGGTTAGAGGTAAATCTGAACCTCTCTTCGGCATCCGTTACCTCAGCAACCCAATCTCAGGTTAAAAGAAAACGTCTTTCTGGTGAAGGTGCCTCACAGCGTGAGCTAATTTATCCGTTTATCTCGATAAAAACGCCTGAGGGTTGTAAATGTGAAAAGCTGAGCAGGTCGGTTGACGATGCCCATGATGCGTGACGGTGTTTCCCTCATAGCGAGCCTCGTCGTCTCGACTGAAGTGCAGAGGAAAATACAGAGCTGACATTCTGCAACCAGTGGCAATCCCACATCTCAGATCTGCCCTCCGAGACGCCAGCGCCCCCCGCAGAGCAGGTTTTTATCAGACGCCCTCGGCGTGTGGGAACGGAGGAAACAAAGGGCTGCCTGCGGCTCAGCTGTGAACAGACTGGTCAAGCTGGAGGGCAGAGCCGGCCCAAGGCATGTGGGAGTTAAGCAGTTGTTTAGGGAGAGAGCGCCGGACGGATGCGAGAGTCACGGCTTTAACACTAAAGTGATCATCTACGTTTGGTGATGCAGTTCAGGATCATCGCCCGCTTGTGGTGTACAGTCATCCTTTCATTCATCAGTCTTTAATAACTCAGGAGTCTGACTGACTGGACGAGCTGGAAATAAACAAAAAACAAACCTTAATTGGGGTGCAGCTGATTTTTTGACGCCCTGGCGAAGTTCCTTAAACTTTGTCTTTCTTAAATGATTAGTTGAAATCGAAATAATGCTGCCCATAATTCTTTCTAATGACTGCAGTTATATTCTGAGCCCAGCAGCTCAGCGGTTCTGCCCGGGTTTCCCTGCGATCTGCTTTGAGAAGCTGCAGCAGAACAAGGAGTGGAAAGCCTCTGGTTTGGTGAGGGCAGTCCCGAAGCGAGATGAAGGACGGATTAAAAGGGACTGGAAGCATTGAGGATTTTCCTCTGGAGACTTTCTGACAGCTGGTTGTCGATGCAGTCAGATTCTCCAGCAGAAGATGAAAGAGAAGTTGGATTTGGGGGAAGAAGTTAGCGAGTTTAAACCTCAGCAGGGCAGCAGAGGAACCTGCCAGCTCACTGCAGGCTCTTCGCCGGCCGGCGGGGCTCCTCGCCGTTTCCCTGCCTGTGTCTGTTTCCAGAATCTCGCCCAGGAAACAAGAGAGTGGCGCAGTGCTGCGACACGGCTGCCCGCCTGCCTGTACTCGGAGCGCCTCCTGCTGGTGCAGAGAAGAGCCGAACCGAGGTGATGGGTCGCGTTTTCTGTCTTCCTTCTCCTCCTGGTGGTAATCACGGCTGTAAAATATACATATATTTTAAAGATGTTTGTATGTGTGTCTAGGGAGAGACGAGGGAAGCAGAAACATTATGTTCGAGCTTTTCTTCGGTTGCCTCACTGTACAAATAAACCCAGAACTTAAGAGGCGCCAGGGTTCAGAACGTTGCTCTAAAGCATTTTTATTTGTTTGGAAGAATGGCGAAAGAAATCCTCAACTTTCTTCATATTGTTCCTTTAACTTATTTTCCATGTTGCAACCACAAACTTTTAACTTAATTAAGTAGTAATGTGGTACTAAGATGAAGTGGGTCATTCATCCTGGATATAAAACTATGTTCCCATACAAACATGTCCGCCCATTGAACAGGCTTTCCTTCATTCCTCTCAAAGCTGCAGTTATTTACATTGCTTGTACCTTTTTCCTTCCACTCAACTTTCTACTGAAACGCTTGAAAACAGCATTCTGATTCTCAAAGGTGTCTGCGACTGTCTTCTCCAAGTTTGAGTTGACCACAACGTTTTCCTGAGACCATATTTTGTATCGACGGTTTGGAAATATTCAAATCTTCGGAGAAACATTTTGGGTTTGTTGTGATTAATTAGGTTAACAGGAATAAAGTCATCATTCTGTGTGTGATGACTGCCGAGTTTCATAATTGAATTGAATTTACTTTTATTCTAATATATTAAAATGCTCCTGTGTAAAGAAGGACGTGAATTTGGTGATGCTGGAAATACTTGATGACCAGCAGAAAGCTTTTGGTTTATTTCGCTACCTAATCATATTTTTTTGTTGGTTTTAAGCGTTTGCTGAACCACAACTGTCTTCTTTTCCAGTGGCACGAAAATAAATTGTTGCATTTATTCACAAATCTGTATTTTCTCTCTTATTACACGTCAGCCCCACAAGAAAAGCAAACAAACAAAGACGGTTGTTTGGTGATTTTATTTATAGGTACGACATTAACACTGTAAGTGGAGCCTCTCGTGACTTGCAAAGTACATCGTTAATGAAACGGTGAGACGGTTTTTCTGTTCCCTGCTGCAGTTCTCTTCATCCCCTCCCTGCTGATGCCGCAGCTCCCCCGATCCCGCCCGCCTCGTCACTTTTTTCTGCAGACGCCTGGAAATCGGGCCGAGCTCCGCAGACGCGCGGCAAAGCGCGTTCACACCGTTTGCACACACCAACCTTGACCACGGGAAACGAAAGTGCTATAAATTCATGCTACAGTGCTGTGCTAAACCAAGACCTACAAGTGTTCTTCCTAAAAGTATCTGCACAGAAACAAAAACGTCTCCACAGCTGACCGTGGAGGAAACAGAACCTTCCTTTGTGAGACGCTCCAACAGGCTCTGAGTCGGCTAATTACAATTATTCAAATGACAGTCAGGTTATTCTTATTATCTTAAATTACTATGTCGAACTGCTGTTATTGTGAGCAGTTAAATAAACTCTGATGCTACAGTTCAAAGTGTAAACAGTGACCTCATACAACACAATCCTATACAGATGCATCCTACCTTGTCTACGTTTTAGTCGGTTACTAGAGTAGAAAAACGCGGTTCTGCTTCGACGAGGACGATGAGGACAATTCAGAGATGTGGGGATTCGCAAACGTCAGCGTCTTAAATAACGCAAAAGGAAAAAAAAAAAAAAAATGAAAGAAAAAAAACAAAACAATGACGCCCCCTGTGGTGGAAAATCAGAGCTGCACCCAAATGTGTTGGAAACAAATCATATAAAGTGCCTGTCGTTCAGAGAAGTTCAGATGGGAGTTTCTGTACACGTGTTTGAGACGGGTCGCTGTCATGGTGTCGGGGCGGGCGTGGCTCAGCGCAGCGTGGTGGTGGGCATGCAGTCGCACAGAGCCCTCCTCTCGGCCCGCAGCACCAGAGTCTCCGTCTGCAACAGGAAGCAATCCGGCGTGAGAGACGAAATGCATGAGATGCCATATTATGATTGTTTGGCCTGGTTGCTGCCCAAAGAAACAACAGCTTCCATTAACTCATTGTCTGGATTAGTTTTTATCCTCGTTTGGACATTTTTAATAATGCGATTGAATTGTTTCTTCTTCTGGTTTTTCTAGGGTGGAATGATTATTAATCTGCAAAGATGCAATATTAAAAAGCCAAGAATAATGGGTATTTTCTGACTGGAGCTGCAACAACCAAATGGGGCTGGACTTTAAGTTTCATCACGATATTTTGTGGTATAGTTGTGATAACAAAAGTGACAGGAAGATATATTTATTGTTTCTTTTTTAAGTAACTATGGTTGTGACTGCATGGCACAACAATTGTAGCCTCACAAGCACAAACACGGCTCTCGAAAAACATGCATTTGTAATACGGTTCTTTACCATGATAAGGAATTTGTCTCAATAAAAGATCAATGATATGATAAATGCCCTATAAGACACAGAAGGTCAGGTTGGTGGTGAACTAATCAAACTCAAGAGGTTGGACGCGTTTAATATGTCTAATTCATTTATATTAAAGATCAATATTATTTCTCTTGTAATTAACATGAAGCGCACCCGCTGGCCTTCCGTGTTGTGAAAAAGTCTTTGCCCTTTTCCCAGATTTCTCCAGTTTTCTTTTTTGTCAAACGTAAACGGCTTGGCTCATCCGAGTCGACGCGAAAAGCCACTTTTAAATAACGATCTCATCCACTCAGAGAGAAAGAAAAGATACCCAGTCAAACCTGGCCTGGTGTGAAACTACGATCGCCTTCCTTGTGGTGATTAACCGTGATCAGACACAGCTTCGATTCAATCTGCCAACACCTTACTTACACCTTACCTTACTAAAATCAAGTAATCACTTCGAACCCGTCTAACAACACGAAGCAGGTTTAAAGCAGTGAACCCAAGTAAATTCAATTTGTGGCGTTCTCATATTAAAACCAGCTTGACGAGCAAAAGCGGAACAAACCTTCCGAATGCAAAGTGTCTTATTTTGATGAATAAACCGACCCTATAAAGACGGTTGTTAAAATTTAGAGCAGGAACTGAAAGTTTCCCTGACCCTGGCATCAAGGTTAAAAGCCGTCTTCTTCAGATCTTGCAGCGCCCTCTGCATGAACTCAAAGGCATGGCAGTCAACGCATGGACGACCTGCAAGCACAAAGTGTCAAGAAATGGAACGAGTTTAGCTTTTTATTATTATTATTTGTATTTTTCATTCATACCAACAGGTGGAGGTAATGTTAGTGCAGATCCAACTTGAGACAAGACAATGATCCTCTAATAAAACTGCAACAGGAGACTAATTGAAAATTGGTTATTACTAAACGCGCTCAGCCTTTGTCTTAAATCCAGTTAACATCCACAAGCATTAATTGCATGTTTGTTTGGTTTTTTTTTTTGTCATCTTCGGTCTTATTATAGACAAATGATGAAGAATGACCCAATCACTTCCACTGTGGGTGAAAAGCAGACATATTCCCATTTGATCAACCATTTGATCGTTTGTGTTTCATTAATCCACCTACTTTCTGCAGGGATGACGGTCCCAGTCTCCTGATCCGCCTCAGCGGCTCCGACACAGACGAGCTGGACCGCCAGCAGAACCAGAACCAGCGCAGCCTGCACACCTGATCCACTGGACGCCATGGCGACGGTCCGGTCAGCCTGCTGTTATTTATAGATTGGAGGAGGAGAGGGGGAGGGAAAATAAATCATCATTTCAGATGAAAAACCTACGGAGAGCGTCATAAAAATAATAAAAATAAAAATAAAAAGAAGGCCGCCAGTAAATTAAATCACAAAATATTTGTTGGTCAGATTTACACGTTCAGCCTTTATAAACCCGCTACATGCAGAATCACTGCCCAGCCTCCATGTCTAATTACCTTCGATGAGCCGAGGATGTTTTTTAAAGCCGCCAGGTCAGCCTTAAAATGCCCACCGAGCAACGGCTTATGCAGCGGAGTGCGCATGCGCCGGAGGATCCCCGCAAACAGCTTGAGCGGAACAGAGTTAAAACTTCCGGTGGCAGCTTTCAAAATAAAACCCTGTGCAAATTGAAAAATAAATAAACGAGGAAGTATGAAATGTATCAGTGAACACAAATTATACATCTGTGAAATTCAACTTATTCTTATGTATTATGTACAAATATGAATTATATAATTAATATAATATTGTAGACTATTTATAATTATAACAAATTCTATCTAAATTTAAATATATAAATTATAGAATTTGAGTTTTGCAGTATAATAATTCTAAAAAAAAAAAAAAAGTCACTGGGACATCGGACTCAGAGCCAAGTGAGATTATATGTCCAGGGGACGACAGTACCGTCTCTGGACAAACCCACCCGGCTGGGGAAGTTTCACTGGAGGCGTCGGTACAAACACGTCGGCCCCTGGACTTTAACTCAGAGGACGGAATTGGCTCGGATCTCCCTGCTGCACTGAGGACCACAGCTGCAGGACATGGACTAGCGGAGGAGAACTTCTTCAAGTTCTCCAACAAGGTGCACAACAGCTGGGTGAACGCTGCCCTCCAGAGCACCCTAAACCTGAGCATCACCGCGAGGTGTCTTGCTCAGGTCAAGGTTTCTCTGGAGGCTTTGTCCATCCCCTGTCGTGTAAGACTTCGCCGCTCCTCTGTCCGCCAGCCTGGCAAACATTTTTGTCATACAGACCTTTCCCCAGTTCTGATGGAGCTGAGGGAGAGGAAGCTGCCGTCGGATATGGGGAGGGCCAACGACGTTAAATATTTGCTGGAGTATCTGTTGGCCTACTTGGGTTCTCTTGGCGGAGACACGGACAGGGAGCTTTATAACAAAAATTATTGCTCCAGATGTCAGACTTTGTTCCTAGAGCAACTGAACAGTGGCCCCCTGATTCCACCGGCAATGTTTTCAACCAGTATTGCCTCCCTTTTGTATGACTGGTTGGATCAGGGGGGCAAACTACACTGTTCAGGCTGTGGGTCAGCCTTGAAGAGGAAACAACTGCCTGGATAATAACATTGTCCTGGTGTTTCTTCGACATAGGTTGACCAGGAGACACCAAGTTGTGGCCAACCGGACCCTGGATGTCCCTGCAGACTGTGACGGTGGAACGGAGACGTACCACCTGCCCTCAGTCATCTGTGGGGATTCGACCAATTTCTACTCGTACCTAATGAAAGGAGGACAAACCGTGAAGGCCGAGAACGAGCATGTCTTCACTGCAGACTGCACTGAAGACATGTGCCAAAATGGACTGATTTATATTTACGAGAAAATATAAAATATATTTATTAGAAGTAAAGAAAGATGTTACAGTTTGTCCAGCCCCTCCTCTGGAAGATGATAAAGGTGCTTTTGGAGAGGAGCTACAAATATTACATTTAGAAGAAAAAGAACCTAGAAGAACTAATTAGTAACCGTTTTCCAGCTGGAGAAATCTGGGACCAAACATGTGTGACTTGAATTTTGGGGACAAAAGTGTAAAAAGGTTAGACAGGTTTCCTGTTTGCAGGTTTCTCTCCGGGCGCTCCGGCTTCCTGCCACAGTTAATTGGTCTCTAAATTTGTTAGGATTGAAACGCTTATTTTTGTGAATAAAACCAATCCCTGGGTTTGAATCAGTTCCTCGGTTCTTCTGTCTTCACGGCTTGTTCTCCAAGTGCATTAGTGGGTTCTCTCCGCATTCTAAGGCTTCGTCCCATAGTCTAAAACGATGGCTGGCTGACCTTTGCCCCGTGTCTTCTCCCCCTTCTTTTGCTTAAAAAGTAGTTCTGCCTACTAGGGTAGTTTTGCAGTTAAATTGGATAAATGTCAAAATGCAGTTTTCTGTTTGCAGGTTTCTCTCCGGGCGCTCCGGCTTCCTGCCTCAGTCTCAAATTACCATTGTTTAGTTAATTGGTCTCTAAATTCTGCTTAGGCATAAGTACAAACATTCATTTGTAAATAAAATATCAAAACTTATATATGACGGCATAGTTAGTTTGAAAAAGTAACTTTAATCGGATTCCTGATTACTCCTTGAAAATGTAACTTAGTTAGATAACTGATGACTTGATTTGGAATCAACTTGTCATTTGTTCTGTTTTTGTGAGTTTCTATTGTCTGGATTGCGTTTTGTTGCACAACTTTACGGACTCGTTCATTCCTGGCAGTTTTCACGTTCATTACACTGTTTCTATTAATTTCGAAGTTTGCAACGTAAAGCTTGACGTCATTCAGAGACAATATAGTAACTTGACATTGATCAAGACGCAGCGGGACAGATCATCCGGAAAATGGTGGACTAAAACCAACTGGATGCCAGACAAATTCTGGGGTTTATTATGAGTCTCTGCTTATTGCCAAGCCCAAATAAGCAACAGACGAGCCCAAAACGGCGCAAGAAAGGATTGAATAAAGACGCCGTTTACTGTGGAGGATGCTGTAAACTTCATCTGCTGAGTTGGATGCTTACAATCTTTTTCCTCCTGGCCGCGGTTTGTGATCTCAGTGCGACATCTAGTGGTTTGCTGTGGTACGGCAAGATGCCTGTTTGACACAGGGTATTAAAACAGTGTTATTTATTTGGTTTTATTGTGTTTTAAATAAGGTTGAGTGACTATACATTAAATACATAAAAAACCAAAACATTTTCAACATTTTATAGTTGGTAAACATTTTTGCCATCTTTTCTTTATACTTCACATATATTTGTGATTTTGTGTTGGTTTATAACAAAAATACCAGTATATATTTATATAGCACCTTTCAAGATATAAATCACCAAGTGATTTAGTGGATTATCTTTTGTAATACCTGTCCATACCAGCACCGGGCCTCCACCTTTCTGGTGGTTGATGCGAAGAGGAGCTCTGTGCCCATTGCTGATCCAGCAATGGGCACCATCCATCAGGTCCATCAAGAGTCACCCTCACATCATCAGTCCATAAAACCTGTCTTCAGGTCTGTCTTGGCCCAGTCTTCCTAACCTTGGCCATGTCTCTGAGCTGTGACCATCTTTTACTACTGGGCTCTCCGGCTAGGTTGCCATTCGGGGACATGATAGCACTGGAAGATGATGGCTTCTTGGTTTGATTCTTCTCAAATCTTTGGCAGTTAATTCTCATCTCTTTTTTTTCCACTCTCTCTCAACATGGTCCTAGCATCAGTATTGACCGTTTGCAGCAAAATTATTTAGATGATTCTGCGATCACGCCCCAATATCTTAGCCATTCCAAGAGTGCTGCATCCCTCCGAGTTACAATTTTGGACTTTCTAGGGTCACTTAAATCTTTTTTATGGCTATAATTCCTGAGAACAAGAAGTACACCTTGGTATAGGGTGTTGACCACCTTAGGCCCCGCCTTCCCTCATTAAGCAAATACACATCAGCTGATGTATCTATTTTCAATAAGCCTTCGAGTTTATACAGCTTGGCGTTTTATAAATATGCATAAAAATGAAGATACGGTCCAAACTAGAACTTGCCTGCACGCAGTGTACAGTGTACTTTTGTATTTCGCCCCCTTGTCTCAAAACTTTGTCGAGCCACCAAGTGATGCAAATGTAGAATTCAAAACGCCAATCAGAACTGATCTTTCACACAACGGAAAAAAGACGCAATTGTAAAGACGGACATTTTTCCCAGCGGGGATAAACTCCTGCTCTCCTCCCTCGGTACTTTTCTTAGTTCAATGTTTGTGTACGTCGCCCGGACTGGTGTGGGCGGGGTCCTGACTGCTGCTTTTCTTAGGTAGCCTGTTAAAATGCCCGAACTCAAAACACTTCTTTTTCCAAGATGGCGTCGATGAAGGACAGCGACACCGGCCTGTGGCTTCACAACAAACTGGGCTCCACGGACGAGCTGTGGACGCCTCCGAGCATCGCCTCCCTTCTCACCGTGTCAGTGATCGACAATATTCGGTTATGTTTCTCGAGCCTGTCGCCGCCGGTGAAGCTCAAGCTGCTGCTCGGGATGCTGCATCTCCCCAGGCGGACCGTTGACGAGGTGGGTCGCGGAGCTTCAGTTAAGTCGCCCTCGACGGCGTAGAAACGGGATGCGCAGGCAGACACCCGTTTATATCCGGGAGAGGAGCTCCGCTCGCAGACGGCGGAACTAAACCGCAAAGCGGGCGGATAAGTTTGTCTTCTACTCGAAAGCTAAAGCTAGACGCTGTTGTCGTTAACCGCTAGCAGGTCGAGCTAACTTTGGAAGCGGCAGGCTGACACTCTGCGACTAAACAGGCGTTTCTGCCGCCGTTTCGCGTGTGACATCGATGGGACGCGGGCGGCGGGCTGCTCCGGGACTGGATTAGCGACGCAGGAAGTCTGGTCTTCTCCGCGGAAACCCTGCAGCTTTGCGCGGGCGACATTAGCCTGGCGGCTTCCTGCTGACATTGTGGTGGACGAGGGGCAGACGCGGGCTCTGGCTGCGCTGGAGGGCGGTACCAAAACTCCCGGCCCCGACATATCAGCTTTCAGCTGCGCAGAATGCAGCGCTCGGTCGTCTTGTTGGACTCGCAGGAGCCCCGAACCAGAACCTCCTGTGATATCATCTCTGTGTCCCTGGTTGGGTCTACAGATTAAGGCGAGCAAGAAAATGTACTGAAGGTCACAAAGTTAAAAGTAATCACTAACAATAGTATTATGAAGTTTTATAATATATTTGAAATTAAAGACATTTTAAAAAGGAAATAATTGTGTCAATAAATTAAATAAATGAATAGATCATTATAATAATGACAATAATTCACGTTATTTTGGCTAAAATGGAATTGTTTGTAGGGTTTCATAGTTTGATTAGCTTGCAGTTTGGAAATCACCTCGTTTGTGTTGAAAGATCCTTTAATGATTTTCATTGATAACCTAATTGCAGTTAAAATATATATGTCGCGAAATGAAATGTACAGCAACGTCTCATTCCTCAGGCTTGAGTTTTTATGTCTCAGTGCAAATATTGATTGTTTTCTTGAACAGTATTTCCCGGAAGTTTTGTTTTCTCTGAGGAAGAACATGAAGAAATGAGAGGCGACTCAGTTCTGCAACAGAGCAGTTTTACTTGTGAAAGGAAAAAAAATCAATCGATTACACACCAAAATCCATTCGTTACCTTTTAGCGTCTTTGATAACGACTGAAGCATCAATTTGTTCACCCTCCCTCCACGTTTGTTTGTTCTTTGTCATCTCCTAAACTTTACTTTCTGCACACCAGGACAAGCAGACCAAGTACATTTAATCAACATAAACTTAAAATGCTGACACGGTTGCCATCAGTAGTGACTTATTATTATAGTTTCCTTCTCCTTGAATGGAGCAGCCGCTGAAACGATCAATATCCGCACGGCTCTCATCAAATTGATTATCAATTAATTTGAGTTGAGCTCCAGCTGTTCCAAACGGTCAGTGTCTGACCGCCCCCTCCTGTCCCGGCAGATGAAGGAGGCTCTGTCTGAGATAATCCAGCTGGCCACGGTGGATTCAGAGCCCTGGGTGCTGATGGTGGCCGACATCCTCAAGTCCTTCCCGGAGACCGGATCTCTCAACCTGGACTTGGAGGAGCAGAACCCGAACGTGCAGGACATTCTCGGCGAACTCAGGGAGAAAGGTCGGGAACCGTTTGCTTTTTATTTGTTTGTTTTTTTGTTTGACCTGAACGGTTTTAATCAAATGGATGAACTCGTTTGCTCCCGTCAGCAGTCACAAACGCACGCGCCTCTCTCTCTCTTCAGTGGGCGAGTGCGAGGCGTCCGCCATGCTCCCCCTGGAATGCCAGTACCTGAACAAGAACGCGCTGACCACTCTAGTGGGACCGCTCACTCCCCCCGTCAAACATTTCCAGCTCAAGAGGAAGCCAAAGAGTGCAACGCTGAGAGCAGAACTGCTTCAGAAATGTACGTCGACCAGGATCTCCCCAAACCCGACTGGAAATGAAATCGGACCTTTGGCTGCAGCATCGACACGGAAAAGTCTTGACGAGTTCGGTTTCTCTTGCAGCAACAGAAACGGCGCAGCAGCTGAAGAAGACAGCCGGAGTGCCTTTTCATGCCAAAGGGAGAGGACTGGTCAAAAAGATTGATACCACAAGTGAGTTTGTGATCATGAAATCACCAATTTCAGTTTTCAACTTCTTTTTTTTTTTACGTATTAGTTACTAAAAGCCTTTCTGTTTTGTGTTTGTTTCAGCTCCTCTCAAAGGAATTCCCAAGGCCCCGTTCCGCAGCCCCACTGCTCCCAGTTTATTCAGCCCTCCCAGTAACCGCACACCCATCGCCTCCCCACGGACTCCTCTACGGAAGGAGAGAGGGGTCAAGGTTGGTACCTCCTGATCTGATTTCTGCATCATGACGACCGGGAGCTGCAAAGACGTATTCAATTAATGATGGATGAAAATGAGATCCATCTGATGGAAAATATTTTTGAATGACAATTTAGGTTGCAGAAAACACTTTTCTTTGCATTTATTGCTTTGGTTGTTTATTATGGATATATAAAATAAAGTCTTTGGGAGGTCAAACGTGCATTGTTAAGCTATTATTAGTTGAAAATGGTCTCAAAATGACAGTATTATCATTTATAGATGTAATTACTGAGGCAAACAAATTTAAATCAAACACTTTCTCAGCACTGGATGTTGATTTTACTTTATTCTGGTGTGAAATGATTCCGGTATACTCTGCGAAGAAAAAAAAAAGTAAAAGTTTTTATTTTTTAGCTTTTAGATATTTCAGAGTTGGACATGGTTGGAGCTGGAAGAGAGGCGAAGAGGAGAAGAAAGACTTTGGGTGAGCATCTTCACATGTTTCCCCTCTACATGAGATTGCAGGCTGTAGAGTTCTTCCTGTGTTGGTGACTGGATGATGTGTTTTGCTAACCACAGAACCAGAAGCCGGAGAAAAAGCAGCCAAAGAAGAGTCGGTGGTGGAGAACACCACTCCAGATTACGCTGCTGGCCTCGTCTCTGCTCAGGTATTCGGATATGGTTTCCATCACGCAACACTTCCACGTCTTTTCTTTGTCAGCTTTTACTTCTCTAGAATGTTTCAAATCTTTTCTTCTGGTTTTCAGAAACTTGGGGCGCTAAACGAGAATCCCCTGCCATCTACCAGCTACCTGCCAGCCACGCCCAGCATGGTTCCCTCCTCCTCTTACATTCCCAGCTCCGAGGCGCAGCCAGGTCGGTGAAGCAGCTCGACTCGCTCCCTGTGTTGCCGACTCCTGGAGTGATTTGTAACGAAAACGTCTTCCAATCCCCTCTGCAGCCAATGCCGGTGGTTCTGGACGGGACATGCTGCAGGCAGCTCGCCAGCCAGAGGAGTCCACCGCAGCAGCGGCCGGCGCCGGCTCCACCTTACCCAACCAGTACAAACAGCGGACGCCGATGTACAACGCCGGCTCCACGGCGAACCCCGCCACTCCCACGTCCCCCAGCACGCCCACCTCCACGCCGGCCAACAACGGGCCGCCGGCGGCCGCAACCGCAAGCCAGCCGGAGACGCCCACCCAACCCCCCACAACACCACAGACCCCCACACCGACGCCAGCACCTACGCCAGCGCAACCCCAACCCAAAAAGAACCTCTCACTCACGGTATGAAGGGGGGCTGAAAAATCCCTGGGAGGTTTAGAGTCAGAATGATTTAGGAAGACGTGATGCTGAATCTCGGCTGTTTCCGCTCCTCAGAGAGACCAGATGTACGCCGCTCAGGAGATGTTCAAGACCGCAAACAAGGTCACCAGGCCAGAGAAGGCTCTCATTCTGGGGTTCATGGCTGGATCCAGAGGTAAGAGAAGTCGAGTTCCACCTGAACTGATCTTTTAACTGATCTTTCCGTCATGGTGATCCCTACAAATGCACAAAACTGGATATCAAAAAAGCCGTTTTGCAAAAATATTCACTTCCCTTTACCTTCGTGTGTTTTGTTGGGATAGTCGACACTCGGTGGAGCCATTTTTTGTTACTCTTACATTTTTGCCCATTTTTCTTTACAAATTCAGACAGATTGGAACAGGGTTCCTATGCCGTCTGAATATAGTCTGACATATTCAGGGTTTCTGCAGGTTGCATCAATTCAAATTTTTAAGACCACTATGAATCAAATGTACAACAAAAACTTAAGACTAAAACTGTACCGGCTCTTCAGTTTTAACCCTCGTAGTGCCAAGCACTTTTTCGGACAGTATTCACCCAGCCTCATACAGGTTGACAATGGAAGTGAGCCATTGGTGAAATCAGATGCAAAACAGTTAGCTGGCAAGGGTATTTTAGCAGCTAGCTTACGGTAGCCTCAACAGCCTCTCAGAACTCGATGAAGACGTCTGCGTGCAACTCATAATTTTTGCCTGACAGAAAGTCCTGTGAGGGGAAAAGACAAACCTACACAAGATTAAACAGCTAATCTTGTGGCTACCTGAAGGCTACCTTAAGTTATTTTGTTAAAATTGTTATTATTGAATTTAAGACTTAACGATGTGAGGTCGTCCTGGTATTTTCCGGTACTCATATGTGTCGGCCTGTCAGAGTTCAAACAGGCATTGAAGTTCATAGTTGTAACTTGATAAATGATGGAGTTCAAAGGGTTGAAACATGTTTGCAACATTTTGTTTCCATTTCTTTAACTCGAAAAGATATTAAGAAAAACGCCAGGAACCTTTAAAGTCACAATTGGCTTTAAAAGCCTTGTTTTCAGTGTGATGATCAACCTGATTGATTGCTTTTCATCAAATATTAGACTTTTGAAGATGAGCCTAGCGCCATAACTGCATCAGACTTGAATCATAATCTAATTCCTGAGCTCTTGTACTTCCTGTTTGGGGCTACATGTGACCCATTGTCTGTCTGGGCGCCCGTACAGAGAACCCGTGCCCGGAGCAGGGGGACATCATCCAGATCAAGCTGAGCGAGCACACGGAGGTTCTGCCCAAAGCCGACGGCACCGGCAGCACCACCATGCTGGTCGACACGGTCTTCGAAATGAACTATTCGACAGGACAGTGGACCCGCCTCAAGAAATACAAACCCATCACCAACACTTCCTGAAGGGACCCAACACGCACAAAAACCCACGACCCAAATTTCACTCACAGACACACACTCACTCACACACACGTCACCAAGAAAAAAAATATAAAAAATTCTTTATGTACACAGACATTTGGGCCAAATCAAGCTCGCACAGGTTGTCAAGGAGAGAAAGAATCCTCCCTTTTACCAAAATGGAGAGCTTCCTTTTTTTTTTTTCTTCCTCCATTCCCTCCTTCCCCTCTTTTATTGTTCATTTTTAGGTCCGCTCCAGTTGCTGAGCAATGCGGGATCAGGATGGGCGACGATACGTCTGGCGCCTTTGAGCACCGAGGCGAAAGCTGTCTGTATTCTGTATTTAAAAAAATAATAATAATTTTCAGCTGCGGCCCTTCAGGATTGAATGTTCATCACTGAAAGGAGACGTTCTCATTGCAGGCGACGCAAAAGAGAAAAGAGAAAAAAACAAACCACGGGCGGGTAACGCCTCTCGATACCGTCAAGTTGTGTTAGGAGCTTTCTGATTGGTGTTATTATTTTTCAGCCTTTTTTTCAAAGGAAGGGAGAAAAAATAAAGATACAACAGACTCCATGTTGAGTATCTTTCATCATTACTTCTCTTTCGATTCGGTCCAAGTTGTCAAAATGAGTTTCATTTGTTTGACCTGGTTCTAACCTGAATCATGTCGGCGGCTCGCCGCAGTATTAAAATGTAAACTGACGTGTCATCGTTTTAAAGTTTTTACACATAATGTGACATCTATCCTGTACAAGTCGACTGGAAAACAAGAGTGAAATGAAATAAAACTTTAATCCATTGGTTGCATTAATGGGTAGAACTTTAAAACTGAAGTTCTGTTGAAGCATCTGCTTGAGCTCATATGTAATGAACCATAAATACAGTTCGGCTAACCCACTAGTGATTTGCGCCATGTGGAAAACGGTGGCGGCGGCACCATCATGCCTTCTGGTGCCGTTTTGGATGTCATTTAAGTTGAAATGACTTCCAAAACCTTCAGATTTGATTTTGATTCAGAGACCTTTGGAGTAGTGAGACCAGATGCAGGATGCTGAAACCGATTTAAAAGGTGCTTCAAGAAATTATTAGAGTAGAAATGTATGCAGCCAGCTTCTTAAATACTATTCCTTCCATTTGATTTGATTTTGTTTGAACTGTACTGTATTCATGTCACATTAAAGGTGTAACAAGTTTTAAATAATTAATCATGGTCTTGTTTTTTTTTTGCACCACAAACCCTGACGCTTTAACAGTGTCAACCTTTAAGAGGCGCTTCCTTTTGAAGGATTTTCTACATTGATGTGTGTTTTTCTGGACCTGGGGAAACTGAGAAGTTGAAGCATCTCGCTGTTTTATTAACAAGCAATCAGATCTTGTTAAATGAAGGAGCGAAAGCAAAGAGCAAAGCTTTTGTTCTACCCATCTTTTCCCGTTCCGATTTATAGTTTTGAATTATGAGCAAGAACTCTTCTTTTAAAGCACTCGGCTGTGGCGGTTCAAGAAGAAAAGGATGGATTGACATCAAATCTAAAGTCGCACGACTCCAGTCACAGAAACCATCAACTGCTTGTATTTGAGCTTTATTTAGATTCACATATAAATTAGTGGAAGACTTATGAACACAGTGGTGGTGAAAAGCAAAGTCTGCACAGTGCTACAGCTTAACACTCCAACAGTGTTTCCACTCACTGAGAACTTGGTCTGAAAAGGGAAATTGTGCCTCAAAATCTGAACAGGCTTCACTTTTAAAACATGATTTGGTCCGAGGTCATGTGACGATGCCGACGCTTGTACTGGTTGCAGTCAGCCACAGCTTCCTTCTCGCTCTAGAGCAGCGGTTCTTAACCTGGGTTCTAGTCGGTCTCAGGGGTTCGACTTTACACTTCTGTAAAGTCGTGACGACGCGCCCCGCTCGGCCATCGCTTGCTTCAGAGGATCATTTGACATTGCTTGGCCAATCAGTGGCGTGGGGGAATTTAGTGCGTGCAGTATTCAACGGCGGTCGTAGTTGTACGTCACGTGGTTTCTTTAATATTTTTAATTCATGCTAAATATGTCGAGCAAAAAAAAAAAAAACAGAAGAAAATGAACAGGCTTTGCTGTGAATGACATGAAAGCGGCGCTTGCTGAGGTGAAGCCACACCCATCTGAACTGGTCTCCCAAAAAACAACGGCAGAAGTCACACTGATTTGCAGGCATGTCATTTTTGCAATGCTTTATTCTGGCCCCAAAAACACTATTTTGTGGATTCAAAACCACAAAAAGCAAATCAAATTTAAAATAAAAAAAAAATAATTCTTCAAAAATATCCACATTTATTTTTAATTAGTAAAATGGTAAAAATATATATATAGTTATATATATTTTGGGGGGCTGAAATTCCTTTATGGGGCCAAAATATTTTTGGTGGGACCAGAATAAAGCACTACCGTAATTTCTTGTGAATTCATGATTTTATTGAATGTTCCTGATAATAATAACTCGGTTTCGAATGGGGAATAAGAATAAAGCAGCAGATTTAAGGTATTTCACTCAAACCTTCTTATAAAACCTATAGAGAGAAAATTCTCTAGTTTTAATTCACTAAAACGAGAAATTTTCTCATGTGATGAAGTTGGTGCTATTATTTCTCTGCTTTCATCGCCTCTACTGCCGATGTCAGGAATGTGTTTGATTTATTTTAGTTTCTTGTGTTAAGATTTAGCAGCTAGCCTCACACCTTCAACGACATACGTCAACATCAGTATTTCATTTTTCTGGTTCATTAGAGCCTCCAGTTTAATCTCCATAATGCACTTTGGTCAATGATAAAGTTACTGTTTCCATAGAATTGAATGTTTAGACTCCAGAACGAGGATTTAGGAGTGTCGACCGTACAAGCTGCTCTTATAAAACAAGCCAGATGTGACAAAAACCCCTGTCCCCCGTGAAAATGTGAACCATCCGACGCCTCCGAGATAAAAACATCAAACTGAAACGAGTTTTTCCTTATTAGTTCCAGACTTGCACACAGGCTGTGTCTGTGTGCGGTCGGTCGGTCGGTCGGTCGGTCACGTGCTGCAGCAGGGTGACGAGGCAGAACGAGGAGACGGCAGCTCTCACATCAACGCACCGTCAGTCTGTCGGTCGGAAGGGCTTCACTTCGCTCCGGGGTCCCTCCATCCTCCAAAGGTCTTCTCCAGGTAGAGCGCCACAGCCAGGGTTAGGTGGTCCTGCAGCTTCCCGGCCACGACCTGCACGCCGAGAGGAAGACCCTCCTCACCAAGCCCCAGAGGACACTGGGTAACCGGCAGCCCGAGGATGTTCAGAATACCTGGAGACGGACAGTCAGACATAACGATGAATGGGTTACGTGTTTTAAATGGGGAAAAAAGTGGCCAGATTCTTACAGTTTTGATGACGATATTAACAGCTTTGATCTTAACACAAACGTTAAGCATGCAAAGCTCTTTGCAACGTTTACCTATCAGGAAGTGACCTGCAGCTGTAAACTGTGACTTTATTATCTTTCTGTCCAACTTCCTGATTAATTCAGGCGATAATAATTTATTTCTAAATTAAACTTCTAAGCTCTTCACTGTTATTTGTTCCTTAAAAACAAGAAGACTAAAGCATCACATCAAAAGTAACGTATCCTATCCTGACCGGCTGAACTTTACACCCTTAAGCCCAACACACACACTCAATACACAGCAGTTGTATATTAAGCCTGACACATACTTTAAAAAGACAACAAGACATTTCCTCACATTTAGACCCCCGGTGACGTGTTTTTAGATCATGCAGAGACAGCAGCGTTCGCTTTATTTGACACAACCAAACCTTAAATCGGTCGATTCTGAGCCTCCATCACTAACCTGTGTAGCTGAAGTCAAAGGGTCTGAAGAGCGGGTGGTGGTGCTTGGGTGCCACTCGGGGGTGAGGCGGGTAAAGCAACACCCCGTCGGTGCCCAGCAGGTCTTCCATCTTCTTCTGCAACGCCTCCTTCTGCTGGATGATGAAAGGCGATGGCTTGGACACTTGGGTCTTCTCGAAGAGGCCCAGCACTGAAACCGGTTGCACAACGAACACATTTCTCATTAACTTTGATAACAGCGATGTAAATGAGTGCCAGGGCTTCTTTGTGTCCTCTTCTTACAGATAGCAGGTATGGTGTGCTCGGATTTTCCCACCATCCGTTTCAGCAGCTCCCAGAAGGTCCACGCCGGTCGACCCGGCTCGCCCATCAGCTCCGCGAAGGCCAGAGGAGGCTGGATGATGAAAACATTTGCGCGTGTTTTTAAAATCCTGGCGGAGATTTGTTTTCATATTTCCTTAGCTCTGGAGTTCTACAAAACCCTCATTGAAAACAATGTGTTTCACAATAATCAGCTGCTTTCTATTAAATGTCACAGGGCTGCTCTGCTGGAACAAAACAACACTTTTTCTTTTCTTGTAATACAAAGAGCAATAAGAGCAATAATTGAATCCCTCAAAATCAGATTTTAATGTTGATCTTAAAACACTTTAAATTCACAAAGGGAACCAATGAGACGCTGCTTTTTGTGCTGCAAACAGTGAAGTTGTGAACGAGTTAAAGTATGGACTTAACAAGAACTTATCAGATTATCAGATGGACTGTGAACTCTACAAAGAAGGGCGTAAAAGTCCGATTGGATAGTGAAGACTAAACTCTGTTTGGTTGCATCAAATAAGTCAAACTGAAACGGACGGATGAGATTCGGTTGAACCGACGATTGGTGGAGGACGTTTGGTCGACGCGGTGATGTTGAAATGAGGTTCGAGGTTCAGTGGTGGTTTGCAGGCGGCCGGCAGCCAAACAGATTAGCTACATTTCCGGGCTGCAGACTACAATCGGTGCTGAGGCTAAATCCCTCACAGCTTTCTTACGCTCTGAAACATAAACCCTCATATGATATTTGTGACAAATTCGTAAACGGGCAGCCGGACCAAAACATCCTCATGGTGGACTCAGTTCTAAAGTTAAAGACAGTTTTAGGTAAACAGGGATTTGTTGTTCATCTCCACATCCAATACTCTCCATTTACAAAGACGGATGAGAAAGTTGGAAAATACATTTTCATATTCTATTTCCTTCTCTCTTTTGTTTTGCTCTCTCTCTTAAAGCTCTACTGTCGCTGAAAGTTTCTCCATATTTACATAAAAACTTTTCCCTTCTCTCCATCCGCACAGTATTTATATGTCCTTTTGCTTATTTCTCTTTCATACTGACAAGTTAAATCTATATCTAAAGATCAGTTTAAATAAGCCAAACATTTCTATGACTCACTTCTCTTCACTGTAAACATGAACAACCAGAGGATTGATCTGGCTCACAGCGCAGTGCAGAACGTTCTGTGGCTGGACGAAAACACTTTTCTCTCTTCTTATCTACGCTCGCATTAAGCTGGACAAAAGAACTTGAACGAGGCTCTCAAAAACTAAGTCAGATTTTAAAAAATGAGAAATTGTCTTTAACTATCACTATCAAAACAGGCACTGAAGCATATGACAGGTCATTTTTTTGGCTACTGTAAAAATCATGACCATTTATCCTTCTTTAAATTCAGTGTTTAAGAGTTTAGTGAAGCTTAAAAAGCAATTAAATCCTACAAATCCATTTTACAAGCCCGTTTGAAAGGGTCCCACTTAGCAGTAATATTTTACAGTGATTTTCATGCGATCAGAGCAGCTGGGAGTTCGTACCTTGCCTTCTTTATCAGGCAGACCCATGTATGTGTCCCAGATCTGGAAGCCGTAGCGCAGCTCAGGAAAGCACACCTTCTGCACTTTGACCCCGAGGTCAGCCTCCAGACGCTTCACCACCTGCAGAACGTCAGACCCAGAAATCAGAGAGAAACGCCCCGGCTTTTGGTGTGTGTGTTGCATATCTGGAGGTGTCTTATTTTGCACACACCTTCTCCTGAGAGTCCAGCAGCTCCTTGCTGACGGGGTACGTGTAGATGGAGCCGCCGTCGTGAGGGATGGAGAAGAACCGCAGCTGCTTCAGGTCCACAGCCGTGTTTAAGGACAACCTGATCGGACACATGCAAGCTGATTAGAGCGGTGATTAAAAACAAAACGAAAATCACTGATTGAGTAACACCTCAAGGGTCCGGGAGCGTCTGCTTGTCAGCTCAAGAGCTAAACTAAGTTGAGCTGAGTCACTGTAAAAAGAGTCACCCTTGCTTTTTTATACGAGTAAGAATACAGTGCATGAGCTTTTATCACATTTATGCAACCACAGAAATGTATGTTATTGGGGTTTCATGAAATAAGCCTGTCAGAATAATCAATCGATTGTATGATAAATCAAAAGGGCAATTTTGTTTACAAGACTTTGTTATGCCTTCTCCAAACACTGAAACCCATCTAGAAAAAAAAACTATTAACATTTGTGATTGTAACATGGCAAAATGACAGAAATGAGTTCAGAGGGTCTTAATACTTTTGCAAGACACTGTGGAACTAAAACATTCAGCTCTGGAAAAAAAAAAAAAAAACAAGAGTCCACTTCACTGAACCCCATTGAAAACCTCCTGGTTATTCCACCAAACATTGATTTCTGAACTTTTCCTGAGTGAAAATATTAGTATTGTTGTTTCTAAATGTGCAAGAAGAAGATAACGTCTTTTTCGTTATTTTGAAATAACAATGAAGCTGTGCTTGAAACTTCCGAGACACGTTGTCAGTAGTTCATAGAATAAGACAACAATGTTCATTTTACTCAAATGTGAACCTATAAAAAGTCAAATCAGAGAAACTGATCAAATAAAGTGGTCTCTTAATTTTTTCCCAGAGCTGTATCAAACATTATGTAGTCAAACATTAAGAGCTGTTCTTTTTTCCTCTCCAGCTCTAAGTAGTCTTCCTACCTTATCTAATCAGTGGAGAAAAACAGAAAGATAATGCAGAGATAATGACCAGAAACATCCAAGGCAGAGGAAGCTGTGTGTGGGTTTTTTTTATAAGGAAAGCTTATACCTGTAATAATTATCCACATGCATTGACCTCTGACTGCAATAATTTGAATATAGACACAGTAATAAAATGTTATGATTTATATCCTGTGAGGACACAAACCCCAGACCGTGATTAGGGACACATCCTGACTCACGACTGAATTTAGCCCAACATGATTCTTCTTATGTGACGTTACAGAGAGCAGTACATGGAGAAATGTACTGATAAAAAATATAACAGAGCTAAGTGATGTTGCAGATGCCTTACTTGTGAGCGTTTGGTCCGGCCATGATCGTGAGCATGGGCAGCAGGTCTTCAGCGTAGCGGCACATGGGCCCAGAGCTGAGGTACTCGTGCTGTGTGCCAGAGGTGGGAGGGTACTGGTTCTCACAGGACACCACGCCTGAAACACGCCACCAACAACTCTGAGCTCCCCCAGAAACACACACCGCTTCACCCTTTTCGGGCCTCGAGATTTCCTGCCTTTGAAGAAAAATCTGAAAAGTTTGGGGTCCGGGTTTTACAGTAGCGAAACTTCCAAACGGTTGTGCAAACAACTGAGTCCATTTCAAAGAAAGAGCTGCACTGACTGAGCTGGTTGCCCCAGATCTTGATAACTCTAAGCCTTTTCTTTATCGAAACAATGTTTTTGTAGTTAAAATTGTGTCTTTATTCTGCTAATATTATGACTATAGTCTTGTGATTAAACAACAATAAATTGTAACCTGGCCTTAATAACTCAGTTATATGACTCGTAGAAGGGACGGCTGAAACAAAAGTCCCTTTTGAAAATATTTCCAATCACTTGTATTTTTTATTTTAGAAAAGAAAGAAAAAAAATCCATTAAAATCTGATTTTTTTTCCCCAATTTTATTATTGTATTATATCCAAAGATAGATTAGTCCACAAATGAAAAGTTAAACAGTATTTTAGCAAACCGTACTAAAAAACTGCTCTATGCAACATGTCTTTGAGCGACATTGTCGCCAATTCAGGTGATAAATCCCAGCAGGTTTGAGTCTTTTTACACTCATTCTCATTTAGAAATCCAAATAAGGGGAGGATTCAGGAGTATGAAATGCATCAGGCAGCTTCTTTTACCTGGAGTGGTTTTGTGGCCGAACACACCATTGAAGAAACAAGGCATGCGGATGCTGCCGCCGATGTCTGACCCCACGCCGATGACCGCCCCTGCTGCTCCCAGAATGCTCCCCTCTCCCCCTGAGGACACAAAGACAGAGGACGCTCCACATGTGATAAAATCATTCCTGGAAGCAGAGGAAGTGGCGAGCTGACGACGGGATGAAACGAGCTTCTGTTTTAAGGACCTGAGCTCCCTCCCGCTATCCTCTCCAGGTCGTACGGGTTGCAAGTGATCCCGTACAGGTGGTTGTGGGACTCCAGCCACATGCACAGCTCGCTGGTGTTGGTGACGCCCAGAGGGATGGCGCCGGCTCTCTTTAGCAGTGCCACGGGGGGAGCGTCGACGGAGGCAACAACCCCCCGCCTGGATATCAACCCCGTGGATAAGGGCATGCCTGCAGGAGGAAAAAGCAAAAAAAAAAAAAAAACACTGACTGGTTGGTCAGAAGTAGCTGCATCATGATGGATGTGGATGTTAACGGGAGCATTCACCCTGCAGGGAATAGGACTCTTTGACGGACAGTGGGACGCCCAGAAGAGGAAGTCTGTCCTCCAGAACGTCTTCTCCTCCCGTCTCCTCCTCTATGAGCTTGTCAACCTGGGCCGCCTCCTGGAGGGCAGCTGCAAACCTGAAGGGAAACAAGCTAATGTCTTCATGTGATTCATGTCAAGGTGGTAAGTTTGGCTTCATTGATTAGACGTCGAACCTTTTGACTGACAAGAATTTCAATGTATTATTGTTGAAATTTAGCGAGAGGCCACCGTAAAAACAGCGAGTTTGCTTTAAACCAATACAAATCTGAAACGTGTGGCCTGAATTTGTATCCACCTCCGTTTTAGTCCAATATGGAAATAATGTCCATCGACAGGCAAAATACACAACACCTTGAACACAAATCCCCATGGTGAAACATGGTGGTGGCGGCATCATACTGTGGTGATGTTTTCCCTCAAAAGGGAGCAAATGAGCTGCTCAGAGTTGACATCTGCAACATAGGTTTGCAGATGTAATGTGAAAAAAATGTTTTCAATAAATGTGTAGCACCATTAATTAAATGACAATAAGAAAGTTATTTGTCTGGAAAAGACACAGAGTTACAATTATCGCTTATCATGCAAATGTTTTTAGAAGAATTTCATGTTCTCAATAAATTTCAATTAATGATGTTAAATAAAAAAAAAATGTAAAAAAACTGACAGACTCAGGGTTTCCCTCAGTGTATTATAAGCCTGGCGGGCGACCAGGCTTTACCATCTTCTCCACTGCTTGTTTAACAAGAGCATCAATAAATATCGGGAAAATCAAAAGTAATTATTAAATGTGTGCATGTTAGTGATGTAAATCACACTTCTTTTAGTAAGAGTTTTAAATAGAAACTCTTACTTAGAGACATTAAATAGAAATCTTATAAACAGTATTTGTGTTTTTGGTGCAGTGCCATACAGTCAAATCCACATAAAGACCAAAAAGAAAAGAAATAAGTGGTTTTGATCATAATTATTATCACAATAGTTCCACAATAAGATCCCAGATCCCTATAATCACAATATTCAGCCTAACGTCAGGAGAGCAGACAACAACAAAGTGTTGGATAATGTGCTTCTTTCTCACCTGTCTTTTACAACAGCATTCACAAAAGGGTTAACTTCCTGGATCCTGTCAATGTAAGCCTGCACCACCTCCACACTGGACACCTGCAGAGAGATGCACAACATTTAGACCACAGGACATGGATGCAAATAGAAACAAAAAGTTATGCGTTTTTAAATAATATTTTTTTAAACAGTTCAGTGTTGCGGTTTTGAGCTACAAATATTTATGTTATAAACATGTAACCTGGGTAATGTTCCCTGGTTGTAGGTCATTTTGATGACCTACAACCAGACCTCTGAGTGTCAAAATGACCTGCATCTGTAGTTTGCAAGCAGAAACAAACTCATCATATTTCTGTTGCACATAATGACTCAACAGAGTCTGTTTCTACTGAGCAAACAGTAGCAGAGGTGTGTTGCTGTTCAACAGGTGCTGTGGTGTCACTTAAACTACTTTAAGTCGCAGCACTGTCGCTTTAATTGCAGAGAAACGTTACGGCTCTATAACCGTTGAGCTCAGTCCTGAGGCAATAAAGAAAGTTAAATACAAATGAGGCCGAGTTAATGCTAGCTTTACAACACGTCTGTAAAGACAGAGTGGGGGAATAAACCGACGCCGGCCTGGCGAAGTCGCGTGCACACCTCTTTCCTCCGGATCTTCTTCGCGAGCTGCGTCGCTGACTGGAGCAGCAGCGGGTTGCCGACGGGCGGCAGCTTCCTCGCGGAGGCAGCGGGGCTGGAGAGGAGCTGGAAAATCATGAAGAAGAAGGACGTGACAGCTCTGAAGAGCCACGCCTGAGCCTTTTCCAGGCGGCCCAGAGCCATGTTTCCACGGCCGAGTTGGAGGACGGAAGGTCAACGGTTGCTCGACCGCAGCGAGCCGCTCCTGATGTGGAGTACCTGTTCCTGCCTGTCAAGATGGCGCAGCTCAGAGAGGCTGGCGGAGCGAACCGGATGTAGGGCGGAAGATTTCAAAATAAGATTAAAATGAGTCGTTTTCGTTACTGGTTGAACCAGTATACATATATATTTATTTTTGTATAAACATGTTTATAGTTACGAGTTGAACTTTTATGGCTTTAATAACCAGACATGTTAAGTCAAAGAAACAATATTACTGTAAGTGAAGGAGAGCTATAAAATGCCGTAAAAAGTTGGTTACAGTTGTACTTTGAAAATCCATTCCGGAACATGTGTAGCATACAGGTGGTTTTTCTTACCTGAACCTCAATCACACACATCAAATGTAAAGGTTCAGACAAAAACGCTTTTGCTTTGTGTTATTTTACATTTCAGTTTAATACAGCTGTATGTTTGTGTATTAGATTTCCTTTAATAAATAATTACTTATATGTTTGCATCAGACAACAGTTGATTAAAGTTGTGTTTTGTTTTCAACAAAGGCGCAGTGGCGGTAATAACACAATATAACCATGTAAAGAATCACTACTGAAAAACAGCAGAAGTCTCATTGTATTCATTAAACAGCAAAGTCGTTATTTTCTTTCTGACAAGGCCTGTTTTTATGGAAATACATATACAATTCTAATATGCTTAATTTACTACTGAGACTAAAAGATCTTCTCAGTTCATGTGCATTTTTTGTAAATATTCAATAGGACCTACTTTTTTTAAAAAGTGAAGTTCTGTTTGTGAACCATGAGCATTCATCCCTTTGCTTTCTGCAAATGCACATGCGCGTTTGAAGTGATCAATAAGTCGATCGGCATCATCTTCATGATCTGATGTAACATGGCTGCCGAAGCAGAGCGATTGAAATGAGCAGAGTGAGGTCGTATCATTATGAGGTGAAATGTTGTGTCAGTGACTTTTTTACCTGTCCACACGGAGGACTCCATGTCGCGAGGAAATTGCTTTGTGGTGCAGTAACTACACATGACCGCTAGAGGGAAGCACCGCAGAGAAAACTTCAACCACTCTGGGCTCTGAAATGAAAACTACTGAGACAAAGAAGAACCACTGCATTGCAGGTTGGTTTTGGTGGAGATTCCAGACTGTGTTTTGTTTTGGACAGACCTGCTGATTCTGCTCATTTGACCTCAGCACGCTTTTTTTTTTGTGAGTCACATTACCAAAATAAAAGCCTTTGGGGCAAAACATTGGAGGGTCACACCTTAACTCTGTCTCTTTCTAGTTGGTACGATAAGAAAATAATTGATTTCTCTGTTACTACGTTTCACTGAAACGGCCTCAATGCTAGATTTTGTTTTCTACAAATTCAGGTAGATTTAAGAAGAAATATCAAACAGTAAATGCATTTTAGAATTTATTAGAGTTGAGTGTATGTAAATGTGAGCTTTATTGTAAAAAGCAAATGTATTCTTTTAGTCCTACATGCAGAGTGCTGCGTGTGGCAATAAAGTAACAAGTGCCCATCATCCGGAACACACCATGCTTATGGTGAAGCATGGTGGCAGCAGCATCATGCTGTTGGAATGCATTTCTTCAGGATGGACAGGAATCTGATCAGAGCTAGAAGAGAAAGCTTCAAAACTGTCTGAAGACTGTTAGTGAACTCAAAAGGACTACAATTAATTTGATTGCATTAAACAATATTTTGTAAAGTTTGAAAAGAAGAACAGGGAAAATTTTAAGTCTTTATTTGTGGTAAGCTGATGGACATTCCCCTTCAACATGCCACAAAGGCATGTTAAAGTACATTGGTTGTATTGTGTGAGAAAGTGGGAACAAGTTCAAGTGGCATTTGCAAGACACTGTAAATATGAAAAACCTCTCACACACAGACTTACAACCATTCTGTCCCATTAATGCATACCTGAGAGGCTTCACTTGGGCAAATAAACGACAAATAAAACTAAAAAAAATCAAGTGTTGCTGAGACAACCAAAAGATAAATGCTGTGTCACAGGGGAACGCCCCAGACTTTAAAAAAACAAACAAAAAACAAGCAGTCTGATCACCTGTAAGGCGAAACCTGAGGCTCGCACGTCTGCCGAGCGTGTTGAGACAAGAGGGGGAAAATGGAGGAAACTCTCAAACTGCCGGGTTTATGTCCTGGAGCCGCAACAGAAAACGCTGCTGTACTCCAACTCCTTCCAGTTTCAGGCCGTGCTGCGTTTGCACTCCTGCACGAATGCGTGCCCTCAGGTCAGAGTGATACAAGATCAGACGACATCAGCAGAATGACTTCAGGCACTCCAGTATTGATTTTCGCCTTGCTGTCTGTCTGCTGATGGACACTGCACACCGAATGTTGTGACACTTGGACGTCTGCAGCGTTTGAACCGTGGCAGCGCAAACAACAACACGGCTGATGATTTCCATGTCACCTTACGTGGCCCATGCGCAGCATTAACCGCACATTTCATTTTCCTAATGAGTTCAGCATCCAAGCCCCCTCTGCCTACTCCTTCCCTCTGAGTGGGCCGTATTTTAGTTTTACTGTTTGTTTGGAGCTTAAATTTCCCTTTCATCCACTTCACAGCACCTTTAGTCTTCCCCCAGAGACCCAAGCAGGCTGACTTGTGGGTCTCCTGGGTGAGGAGGGTCATTCAGGATCCTCATATTCTTCCTGTAGGAATGTCCTCAAATACGTCCTAAAAATCTAGATTTATGGCTTTATGATGCTTCTGAGTTTAAAGGTTAATGTCTTTAACCCACTGCTAAATTGAATTAACAGACATAATTGTAATGGAAGTTGCTTTATTTCTTTTTTGCAACTTAACTGACATTATAGTATTTATTATAGATCTGATTACCAGAGAAAGCCATGAATTTAGTTTTTTCTTCACTCATGTAAATTCAGTATCTGAAAGAGACAAACACAAAAGCTTCTGCGAGACGGTTTAGCAGACAACAAAAATAATTAAGAATACAGTTGTGCCCTATTTATGGTGAGTCAATTGGGTTCGTTTAAAGTCATAATGACAATAAAAACTACCAAAATCACTGTGATCTACGGTTTTTATGACATGCAAGTCTTGGTCTGCCCTCATAGCAACAAGTTGATACACAGGAACCTACATGACGCCGTCATCTGTGATCCGTTTGATTGATGCGTTTCTAAAAAGTCTGTGAGTTTGTGAGACTCCTGCGTTTTCTTCCTGGTTCTGACGGATGATGTTGCTGGATTCAGAGAGGTGGAGGAAGCGGTATGATTATCAGATTGCGGTTTTATGTAATGACAGACATCCACGTGATTGGAGTTGCCCATCGGCAGCGTTCAAACTGTGGAAAGTGATGGTTTCTGTTGAAACCGGCCGACATTCCCGCCACAACTGACGGGAAAAGCGCTTAAGATGCGAATAAAATGCGCAAAGTACCACAGACAAGATATAACACTCAGTGGATAAATGGCTGTTTTAAGATGCACAAGGATGAGACGGCAAAACCAATCTGTTGCCATGCCAATGCCGCAAAACAGCCACTTGTAGTGCAGCGTACGGCACAGCACTAAAAACTAGATGACGTTTTAAGGCTAACCTCAACCATAAATGCTGAATTTGAGTCAGTATCTGGTGATTAAAAAAAGAAAAGTGCATTATTTCTACTGTGAAACATGGAGGTGGATCATTGATGGTTTGGGGGAGTGTGAACATCAAAGGCACAGAGAACAAAGTCAGAACTGATAGTCAAATAAGTATAATTTGCTACAGTTGATGTGAAACAACCCAATAAAAAAACTACAGGGATTTGGAGGCTTTCTTTGCCAGAACTGGTAGAAATCTGAGAAAATAAAACGTCTAATCCACAAATACAACAAGAGACCTCAAGCTGATGCTGAGACGGATCAGGAACTGAACTTGGTAAACTTTAGACTTCAGTCATTATGACGTTAAAAAGGTAAACATGATGTATTTATAGCCCTCGACGATAAATGGCTACACCAGAGCATTAACCAAGAGTGGAAGAAAAGCTTTTGTTTCCATATTCTCTAAAATAAATAACAAAAACCTTTTTAAAGATTCTGCCTATGAGCACATATGATAGGTTAAACATTTTACTTCAGGACTAATATAAATAATATTATTAATGTATATTAACACAATAATACTAATGTTTATCTTTTAAGAAACTACAGCCCAAAAAAGTGTCAATAAATGTATTTATTTAGTTGGATCAGTTAGTTTATCTTTCTTCTTTTACTAATTTAATTTAGCTGATAAGTGTAAAAACAACAAACATGTTTCTCTTGTTATTTTGTAACAATCTAATAGAAATGACACGTGCATTCTCCATTTGTTGCACATGTTCTTTCTTTGCCTGCAGTCGTCCCTTCATGAAAACATTTGTCCTTATGGGTGACCCGTCCCTGTTCTCTGAACACCAGATTTCATCGAGTTTCAGGAGGGAAGAGACTGAGGAGGGCTGGGGGACAGAGGGGTGCAGTGTCCCATTTGGTGACCCCTGCAGCCCTCCTCCTCTCCCCGTCGCCTTGTGCTTCAGGGACCTGTGTGCAGCCACATAATGACAGCTGGTGTGCTGCAAGAAGCCAATAATCACGACCCCGGCCCCTCACCCGCCTGGGCAGGCTGTAAGGCCGGGTGTGATCGTTAGGACCCCCAGTTGAGCTTTGATGGGGCTGCCATCAGAGCAGCAGCTGGCTGCTGAGGTGAAAATTGGCAATTTCAGAAGGTCAGATCAGTGTTGCATGTTTTTTTTTATTTCCACTCAGCGACTCCGACTGCAAGGCAAAACCACCCCTAAAATATCTTAACGTAATCAGAAGTGGGCATTGTCTTTCAGGAGTGTCTAGAAGAAGTGGGATTCATTTATCAGTAGGAGCGTTAATGTGGAGTGGAATGAAAGCAAAGCTGCTGTGTTTAATGCTTTCCTCTTTCGGAGGCTGATCTCTCCCATGAGGACGACCCGAGTGGCTCAGGTGGAAGCAGCAGGACGGAGCTCATTGATCCTCCTCCTATAGAAAGAACTCTTCAGGTCTTCCAGCAGGGCGT